TTTACCCAAGAAATCGAATATGACAGTCTCCGGGGGCTTCAAAGTGATATGCTGGAACTTCAGCGAGCAGCAACCGACCGTGTCGGCTTCATCCTCTCCCTTCTCGTTACCAGCACGGAGTGCAAATTGATCGATGAGGTAAATAGCAGTAGCACGCTGGCGGTCAGCCATCATCTTCGAATTGAGGTCTTTTCGGTAGTCCTTCCGAATGCGATCGATGTGCTTCTTGAGTTCTCGTGCCTTCTCAAACTTCTTGAAGTCACTCTGACCTTTGATGTCAGAGTTGGCAGCAAGCATGACGTACTTATAGGCACCGTTGATGTTTTCTTGCCACATGGCGAGCCATGTGCCTTCATGATCGTGCTTGATCTCCTTCCAGCGATGACCTGCGGGCGGCTCAGGAACCTTAGCCTTCTCACCAATATTGATGGTGATCTGCTCGGGCATGACGCGCTTCTTCACGCGTCCAGTCTTGGGATGCTCGCCACGGCCACGGAAAAGACTAGGAGGTTCAACACGGAAATTGCCAACCTTCTGCTTGCGCCCGTCCCACATGCAGTACATATACTTAGCCTCGGCGGCCTCCTTCTCGGCCTTGAGCGCCTTCTTCTCTGCCGCCGGGAGAGCCTTTTTCTTCGCGCGTTCCGCATCGAACCACTCGAAGATGGGCTTAAAGTCGCACTTCTCGAACTTCTTGATCTTGACTGTGTTTCCGTCTTTGTCCTTGCCGTGTCCAGTCTTGTCCAGGTAAGTACTAAAGTCCTCAAAGAAGTTCTTGTTGAAAGTTGGGTTCTCGACGTTGTGAGCAGAGTTTAGCATACTTCCGTAAAAAGTAGCCACCTCCTCAGCCTCCGGGTGGAGAGTAACAGGTACGCCGTCGTACACCAATTTGACGTGCTTAGGGAGCGGCTCGTACTCAGGGGGAAAGACAACGCCGGCGTGTTCCAGTGTATCCCACTTCTTGGTACCGTCGCTCTTGCCTGGGTCTTCCCACCAACGGTACTCATCCTCCTCTTCCTCAGCCTCGTCGTCTTGCTCAGTCTCTTCCTTCTTGACTTTGCCCTTGCCCTTCTTTGCAGGTGCGGCGGTGGCGGCGGCAGGCTTTGCCTTGGTGGCTTTCTTCGGAGCAGCCTTTTTCGCGAGCGGTGCGTCGGAATCGGACTCTTCTTTCTTCACGCCATTCGCCTTCTTCACTGGTGCCTTCTTTTTTGCAAGAGGGACATCATCGTCACTGTCGCTCTCAACTTTCTGCTTGCGTTTTGGGGTCGCCTTCTCCTTGTTGCGCATAGCTTGGGCTTCCTTTGCAGCGGCCTTCTCAATAGACTCCTTCTTCTTTGTGAGCTTCTTGGCAAGAGGCACGTCAGAGTCCGCCGACTCCCCGATCTGTTCGGCGCTTGCTTTGGGGAGAACTCTAGCCTTCAAGGGCACGTCGCTGAGTTCGGAGTCGGAGTCGTCTTTGAGAGGTTTCGCTTGCTCTGAGGTCCGTCGCCGCTTGCTCTACTGGAGGATCAGCTCATTGTAACGCGTACAGAATGCGTTCAGGATGACCTACCAAAGGCTTATCATCATCCTCTGAGCTACTCGCGTCTTTGTACGATTTGCCGTTCGTGACGCTGCTGCGCGACTTGCGCTTTCCGTTGGTCTCAGGCGCATCCACATCCATCTTGTCGTCGTCGGCAACTGGCCCCATGCGAATTGAGATGCCAGGCTCGACGTGACCGTTGGAAGGAACTTCGGCGTCCATTTTCTTATCTTCCTCTTTGGTAATCTCTTCGTTCGATTTGGCTACTAGGGAATTATTGTTAGTCATCTTGGGTCTTGGATACAGTTGCAGAAGTCGCGCCAGGAAGAGCGAGTATTGGGTGGAGGTGAGGGTTGGTGAGGGTTGGTGAGGGTTGGGTGGTGAGGTTGTTGAATTCGTCAAGGGCAATCGGCGCGCGAGAGGGAGATAGTCGTGGCGCGTGCAGATAGTCGGGCGCACTCACCTTGGTCTTTTCCTCTCACAAGGGGAGTGTCGTCGTCTGAAGAAGACATGATGCGAAAGGAAGGCGCGCGCTGAGATTGTGGATAATAAAAAACAGGATGGGCGTGCTCAGCGAAGTCTGGCGCCGATCGAGGAAACCTAGCGGATGCGAAAGAGCGGACCCTATGGAAGGGTGGTAGTCGTTGAGATGGGCGTGCCAGGCGAGGGCAGGCACGTCGTGCGATTGAGGCGATGTTGAAGGATAGAGGAGGGAGGACGCAGGTGATAGACGAGTGACAAGAGGAATGCTGAGTTTAAGTGAAGCGCAGCCCCAGGGAGCCACGACCTGCCCAGCTGTGCTTCACTAAGTCCATCGGCGCACGGGCGTTCGGCCTTCATCAAATCTGGGCCAGTGACTTTGGTAACAGATGCGTAACCTCACCACTGATTCAAGCACTCGGACACTGCAAATAAGCTACCACAGATAGCAGACAGCATGCAAACTGCTTGCTTTTCCCAACGAGACGGAACTATGTGTCAAGGCTCTGGGAGATGGTGCTTGCCACCTGTTCGTTCAGTTGCTCCTGCCTATGTCCACCTAATGTTGTCATGGCGATGTCGTGTTTGGGGCCATTTTTGGGCATCAAAGGCGTTATTGGCAGACAGAGACGCACTTCATACTGCACTCCAGCTCCCATCAGCGTGGCGACGCGAGTAGAAGGCATCGCATCCGGCGTGCTGTATTGGAGAGATTCACGTGACACTTGGCGTGTTAGCGCGCAAAGCAATTCAGCATCCCGATTGCCCGACACAGCTCCCGCTCAGCAAAGACAGCAGTGAAGCACCACCACACGGCTGTCGCCATCTCCACTCATCTCAATTCGTAGCCATGATGATCTCACGAGCTGCGCGCCCGGCCTTCAAGGCGGGCATGGCCGCCGCCGCCGCCCGGTACGCTCCCACCTGAGCCCGCAGCTTTTCTCGCGCCCTGCAACCCCCCATTGCCGGATCAATTGCATCGCCAACTGCGTCAAGTGCTGACTGGAACTCGTGTATATAGTCCTGCCACCCTTACTGCCTCCAATGCCGCCGGCTATGCCACCCTCCGTGAAATCGAGGGCCGTCTCAAGTCGATTCGCAACATCGAGAAGATCACCAAGACCATGAAGGTCGTCGCCTCCACCAAGCTCACCCGCGCCCAGAGGGCCATGACCGAGTCCCGCAAGTACGGTCAGACCTCCAACACCGTCTTCGAGAGCGCCGAGACCAAGCCCATCGAGGGTGAGGGCAAGAAGAACCTGATCATTGTCTGCAGTTCCGACAAGGGTCTCTGCGGTGGTATCCACTCCGGAATGTCGAGGAAGGTCAGAGCCATGCTCGCTGAGGCTCCCGACTCTGAGCTGGCCGTCATTGGCGAGAAGTGCAAGGCGCAACTGGGTCGTTCCAACGGAAAGAACATGGTTCTGTCTTTCGCTGGTGCCGGAAAGGACGTTCCTACCTTTGGTGACTCCCTGAACATTGCCGACCAGATCTCCATGCTGCCCACCGACTACGCTTCCGTCAAGATCGTCTACAACAAGTTCATCAACGCTTCGAGTTACGAGGCCACCATCCAGGAGGCTTACTCCGAGGAGGCCATTGCCCAGTCTGGTACGTCAGAACTCCATAGCCAGATGAACCATGTCTAACTAAACATCTAGCCAACTTCGCTGCTTTCGAGATCGAAGATGAGGTTCTGCCCAACCTCCGCGAGTACGCTCTCGCCAACTCGCTCTTCTGGGCGCTTGCTGAGGGTCACGCCTGCGAGCAGTCTGCGCGTCAAAACGCCATGGACAACGCTTCCAAGAACGCTGGAGAGATGATCAACAAGTTCCAGATTCTCTACAACCGAACGCGTCAAGCTGTCATTACTGGCGAACTTGTCGAGATTATTACCGGTGCAGCTGCTTCCGAGGGTTAAGCGCTCTAGGAGCTTTAGACTTGATATCCCGGGAATCTGGTTCCATCTCCCTTATGGGCTGTGTAGAATAAACCTCTGTTCATAGCTCCTTTGTATCAGCCAGTTCGTGGAGATTGTTCATGGTCTAGATCTTGTGTCTGCGTGCGCCATGTGTCTTCTTGACCGCATATACGCCACGGCGTCTACGTCACACCTGGGCAGCACCGTGCATGTTTATGGCGTATCCATCACGTGCGTCACCCCTCCTCCTTTGTGGTTGCAGACATGTAGGCTAAATGTATCTTTGGAGGTTGCCTACGCGGAAAGCGCATCGTTCTCATGTAATCTTGCTTTACCCCTTCACTAGATCGAAACCCCGGCCTGTGGGCATGTTCTACGGCGCATCGTCATGGGCCTCTGAATCAGCCACCTGAAAGTATTTGCGAATTGTCTCAGTTTTCAATTGGACGTACCCAAAACTAATGTACGGTGTGAATTCCGGCAGAGCCCGTGCGCCCAAGCTATCTACGCACGCAGGTACCAGCAACCAAAGAATCTTGTGGCCAGGTGACTATACCACTACTCAGCGATGCGGACACTATGCACACCAGCACTTCTGACACTGCAAATCAGCAGTGCATACAGGGTGCTTCAAACCTTCTGCATGCTTTAGCCCGTTGTGATGCGGTACCTGACCCTCTCCGGCAGGTTTAGCTCGCGATAGCTTATTTATGAAACACAACCTACGTCGTTGAAACGAATCGCTGCAGGAATAGTTTGTCAGGGCCTCAGGCACCTTATAACATGCCCTACTAGGGGCGTTCGCATTGCTTTTATTATCCGTCGCATTGCTTTTATCGTCGTTCGCATAATACTCCGCAGAGTGCTCCGGTAGCCGCAGTATAACCAATCATTTTCACAGAGCTGGCTTCACTTCTTTCATTTGATGAGGCTGCGCTTCCTTCTTTCTGTCCTGTCTCCATCCTAACCACCTCTCGTCCAAGCGCACGTTCCCAACCATCCTTTCCTTACTGCGCTTTCTTGAATTTCGATCTGGATCGACTCTCTCTGACCGACAACCCCAAACGCTTGAGCAACATGTTGGCGCAGGCTAGAATTAATACGTTGAAGGAGAAGATGAAGGTTCTCAAAGATCTATACACGAGTCGGCGCTACACACAGTGCGCAAACCTTGGAGAGCATCTGCTGGCCGAAGTCGACGACAAGGTACGTAGCGATGCACATGACATGGCCCACCCTCCTTGTGTTGGGAGCTGGCTGAGGTAGACGTGAAACGTCGGAAGCAAGAGCTGACCATCAACAGGTCCATCCTGTACATACCGCTTACTTAAATTTCTACATTGCACTCTCTCACGATACACTGGCAAGAGAAGCGACCCTTAAAAATCGCTATAAAGAATTGAATGCTGCGGAGAAGTACTACAAGGAGACTATCGTCGCTCTTGCACCACCCTCGCCATCTTCTACTGCACCGACCGTGGACGACGAGCAGCCCATGACACCAGACTCCGCCACCATTCCAGACGAGCAGGCCTGGTTCCGACGATTGTCTAGAACGAGATCTTTCGACTCCACTAGCAGTTATCGCAGCTCGACCTCAAGCACGGCTTCCTACGCCTTTGACTTGGAGCAGGACCCAGATCTTGCGCTTAGGAATTTCCGCTTTCCATCACCACCCGGAAAAGACGCGAATTGGGGTACGCCTGCCGAGTCTAAAACCCTATCACAGTACTTTAGCAACGACAATGTGCTATCACCGCTATCAACCGAGCAGGTGCGATCGAAACCAGGGGTCCGGTTACCGAATGGCACCCCCGCCTTTATTCGTATGGTAGAGGGTCACCTTGCTAGTGTTAAAACTCTTAAAGAGGCTACTGGTGTACGGGGTGTCCGATTTGCCTTCCCAACACCTTCTCCCTCGCCCACAAAGTCGTGGTTTAGGGATTCGAGGAGCAGTCCCCTATCAGAAGAGGAAGAGAGGGAAAACCGACGACAGAAGAGGAGGAATGTGACATTCCGACCACGCTTTGATCCTGAGAGTGTGCGGCAGCTGTGCAATGATGCACTGGCAGAGCTCTAATCAACGTCGGAGCTACATTTGAGTGGGTCGCTTTCTAGTACCCACATACACGACAGTGAAAACGCGCATAATGAACGCACAAGGAGGTATTTCTCTCCCAAGATTAACAACGATGCACATGTTTTATACGATTCTCTTTTGTTTATTTAGCAAGGTGTCCCAGGAGGATGAAGTCTCATATACCCCAGTTTAGAATCTTTTGGTTGGCTCTTTTGTAAAGCTATGATTTCTGTATATCCACGCCTTGGCTGCGAACTTCTAGTTGTATCAGTATAAATAAGCTTTCTCTTCTACACTGCACGTTGCTTCAGAGTCCCCTGAATATGTGGACCATACTTCATATTCCTAGGTAAAAACCCTTGAGAAGGGCATTTGCAAGTCTCACACGTGATGATTGGCACACCAAGTGGCCTGCTTCAAGGCTAGATGAATGCATAGTATATTCATATGTTGAACCCCTCAATGCATGCTCGTAGGCAGTGTGACAAATGGTCCGATCGGTGAAGAAAAAAACTCGCTCCGTGATATCGTACTTTTTGAAACCCGCCACCGTAATGCCCTAAACGCCGTTGCAATGCAAGCTCCACCACACTCCCAGATCTTGTAGATATGCTCTATTTCTGCATCTCATCCAACCCCCTCTTGATTCTCTGACACTTGATCTTAAGAAGCTTGACACTCTCCAAGAACAGCTCGTCACTCTCCCACTGTCCTGTGCTCTCCACCTTGAAGATGAAGTGATCCCGTATTCTGCCTAGCTTCACTTTGTCCTTAAACTCGGGATGCCTTAGGCACTCTCTGCTCACAGTGTCGTTCATGGCGTTCTCGACTACAGCTTTTGGCTCGCCTTCCTTGCCTTCTAGCTCAGCATGTTTCTGGGTGTCTTCGGAGGTGACTTTGTCGAGTTTGATCACCCCGCGGGGGAAACAGCGGGCGAATTTCTTAGCGTCTGCACCGATGATAGGCTTCGTGATATCGATGGTAGGCATAAGGCGGTACGAAGCAGTCGCTACGGGCGAGAACTTGGCGTGGTCTTGTCCGATGCCCTTGATGGCGTGCATGCTCAAGGCTATGCTCTGTCCAGGTCTCATCTTGGCGATGAGAATGTCCGGGTTTGTAGATCGAATCTCTTTTCCTTCGCTATGCGCAAACACGTCGTTTTGGCGACCATGAGGCTCAAAGACAATATCTTTAGCGTAGACATTGTGACCGACGTAGAGCTTGTCGGGGTCGGTTTCTCCAGCTACTGCTCGCTGAAGACCGCCGTCTTGCCATTTGCACTCTACGTCCAGTCGTAGTACTACCGTGTTATAATCGGCAGGTGTTCCTGAACCTGCATCGTCGTCTGTAGGTTTCTTGTACCATTTCATCCAGCGTAGACCCTCGCGGTCGCCGCACAAAGGGATCAGACCGAGGCGGTGGGCGAGCACCTCGTCCTGGATAATGGATGTGTTTTGGTAGATGAAGACGTCTTCTATGGCGAGGGTAGGGATTTCGGAGAGGAGAATGCGGCGAAAAGCGTTGGCAACCGAGGTGTCGATACCAGTGAGAGAGAATTCAGTGTTATTGGGGGAGTGCTTGTGGAAGCTAACGTTGAAGTTCTGGGTCCGTGATTAGTATAAAGCCAAGTATATGGGTGAGGTTTGTGGTCGCGCATACATTCTTGAAGTACTCCAAGTCCCATTCATGATTCTCACCAGGCCAGTGTCCTGGAAAGTCGGTAGACTGCTGGTTGGTGACAGTCTCTGGACCCACTCCAAGCGTCTAGTCGTTGCATTAGCGAGAAGCAAATGATATATTCCAAGTCGCGTAGGTACCTTGCGCTTCATCAGCTCCTGTGCACTCGGTGTCGACATGGTTGCGGTGTTGAGGTCAAGTTTGGTGTGCTCGGTGGGGAGCACTTTCCATGTTCACAAAAAGTTCGAGGAAGGCGCCGGCGCGCCAAGACCCACCCAGCCAATGGCGGTAGGCTCAATCTGGTAGCATCATCGATATGAGGAAAGCTCCCCTCCAACGCCACGACCTCACTCTCCACTCTACACGCCCATTGAGGCCCATACATCGACGTAGGGAGAGATACAACCACCATGCCTGTCTCCTTTGCGCGTCTGGCCGGCCCCGCGGCGAAGCGAGTGTGCCTCAACGCCTCCCGACCCCAGCTCCGAACCGCAATCCCTTCACGACCCATTGCGCGATGCCTGTCGACCACATTCCCCCGCCGATACGCTGAAGTCGAAGAGAGCCAGCGGACACGATTGGTGGCGACCGATTCCAACTTTGGTGGCGTTGCACCGGCCGAGACAGCCCAGGAAACGAGGGCTGAGGAGGACGACCATGTAGACACCAGGAAGATCCGGCATTACACGGTCAACTTCGGACCCCAACATCCCGCTGCCCACGGTGTGTTGCGCTTGATTCTGGAGTTGAACGGAGAGGAGATCGTGCGCGCCGACCCACACGTTGGACTGTTGCACAGAGGAACAGAGAAGCTTATCGAGTACCGCACATATCTCCAGGCCCTGCCCTACTTTGACCGACTCGACTACGTCTCTATGATGACCAACGAGCAGTGCTTCTCGCTGGCTGTCGAGAAGCTACTGAACATCGATATCCCAATTCGCGCCAAGTACATCCGTACCATGTTCGGCGAAATCACCCGCATTCTGAACCATCTCATGTCGGTTTTGTCCCACGCCATGGATGTTGGTGCTCTGACACCTTTCTTGTGGGGTTTCGAGGAGCGTGAGAAGCTCATGGTGAGTTCTGTGTGTGGCAATACTGTACATCACGCTTGCTGATTACATGCAGGAATTCTACGAACGTGTTTCTGGTGCCCGTCTCCACGCGGCCTACGTCCGCCCTGGTGGTGTGTCACAGGATCTTCCTCTCGGTCTGCTCGACGACATCTACCAATGGGCTACTCAATTCGGTGACCGCATCGACGAGACTGAGGAGATGTTGACAGACAACCGTATCTGGATTGGCCGTACAAAGGGCGTTGGTGTTGTCTCAGCTGCTGACGCCATCAACTACTCCTTCTCCGGTGTTATGCTTCGAGGATCTGGTGTTCCATGGGACGTCCGCAAGTCGCAGCCATACGACGCCTACGACAGGGTTGATTTTGATGTCCCAGTTGGCGTCAACGGCGACTGCTATGACCGTTACCTCTGCCGTATGGAGGAGTTCCGTCAGTCGCTTCGTATCATCCACCAGTGCTTGAACGACATGCCAGCTGGCCCCGTCAAGGTCGAGGACTACAAGATCGCGCCACCACCACGTGCGGCCATGAAGGAGAACATGGAGGCGCTCATTCACCACTTCCTGCTCTTCAGCAAGGGTTACACCGTCCCACCTGGTGAGACATACAGCGCCATCGAGGCCCCCAAGGGAGAGATGGGTGTCTTCCTGGTCTCAGACGGTAGCGAGAGGCCATACAGGTGTAAGATTAGGGCACCCGGATTCGCCCACCTGGCCTGCATGGACCAAATCTCAAGAGGCCATTTGCTTGCAGATGCCGTCGCCATCATTGGCACAATGGACTTGGTAAGAGTTCCCCCCGAATCACATGATAATATCGCTAATCCGGGACAAAAATAGGTATTTGGTGAAGTTGACCGATGATCAAGAAGTAGAAGAAAGGAATAGAAAGGCGGTTGCATTCTGCTTCGAACCGAGTCGGAGCCGCGGGTGTTAGGTGACCAATTGTACATATGGTACTTTGACAATTTCTTGAAATTCAATGACATTTGTATGTTTATCACCTCTCTTCACGCCTGTGCATCCACGATGGGAAGTCACTTGAAGAAACGCTGTTGATGAAAGGCCCATGCTGGAGGACGATGGTCAGTCAATGCAAATACACGTACAGGAGGGAAACTGAATAGGTATTAAAATTACACGCCTCAGCTTGCAGCCTACGTTAGCTCCTAATAGAAAAAACCCTAAAGAATAATAGTATTATAGGCTTCTAGATTCTCTATTACTATCTACAAAACTCTTTACGTGCGTTGTTGTAGTAGGGAGAGGTAAAATCTGTTTAAGGAAGTGTCTGGTTCTTTCTTTGGTAGTACTTGCAAGAGTCAGCCCCACATATTGTCTCCACATTCTGACAACGACAGCTGCTCCCCGACCGAAGCAACCTCTTCTGCTCTTTACCTGCAACATATCTGTCGGTTCCAACTCCCCAAACCTTTAGGTGTTGCTGACACATCCCATGCATCGCGTCTCCTTTCGTCATCTCCTGAATACCGCGACTTCCCCTACGTCCTACTACCATTTCTACGGTTGCTAAGACGGACAATACAGAACCCCACAAACCCTGTATCATAACTCGACGTGACAGAAACAACGGCAGCGAAATTGAATCGGTAATTCGGTAACTTAGTGTGTAGACGAAGCATGAAAGAGAAGGACTCGAAGCAGAATTTGATATCCGATGCATGGCTTGTGATTTGTTCCAGCTTGAGCCAGTACTCTGAACGGAAGACACATGTCGAGACTCAGTTCCACTTGCATACCTCCTGTCTTTGCAGATACGGAATTGTGGGAGTTTTGCAGCTCGTGTCTTCGACTAAATAGCTAAGTATCTCGCTGAGAACCAATTCTTGTGCTCTTATTGTCTGAATTGTTACATACTTTAGGATGGTCGATTTAGCATATAGTCATGCAATTCGAGCAGAAGTAAGCATAGGGTGAGAATTTCTGGCCCCCACAGGCTTAGGATTATACCTAGGTAAGCATTGACTTGGTGGCGTTCGGACGCTCCCCAGAGAGTACCGTGAGTAGATGCATCAACCACTTGCTAAACATATGCAGTGGAGATGAAGCAGCCGATACCTGCCTAAAAACTATTTCTGGCCAATACTTCAACATGTAGAGTGCAGATCCTCCTAGAACAACTCGTGGCTATTCGGTCCATGTGATAAGCGACGTCGCTCTTTCCCAATCAGTGTTCCAGAGCTTCAATATTGTGCTCGTACTGCAACAAGCAAGCTTCTGAGGATACGGTATAGAGCCGAGCTTTCCAACTTGGGATGCCGCCTATCCTTTCGAAGAATACTGTCCCACTGGCTAGAAGTACCTAGATATCTCAGCGTCAATGCGAACCTAGTTTAATATATGGTGGCGTCCAGGCAACAACGCCGAATACCAACGTGCCGCCCGTCGGTGTGGCTGGGAGTTGCCGCAAAGGGGGCGGCCTCTCAGATCAACACGAACGAGACCTTGGCTCAACTTCCAATGACTCACCTGCGACACGCTACAGTCTTTCTTCATGCTCCAGAATCATCAGCTCCAAATCGCAAATGCTCGATCAAAGTCACTAGAGTCTTCACCCCTCGAGGTCTACGCGCGAAAGCCAGCATGTGAGACGGTGTTCAGGTTATACAGTCAGTTTCTTGCGACCTAGCAGGTCCGTTCATCACAACTTTACGAAAAAAAAAGTTACTTATACATCCCCAGGCTAATCGCAGATCAAAACTCTCCTTCTTCCGCCAGCCCGATCGTCGAAAGCCCAGATACCTAGCTCGCTTTCGTACATCCAACCACGCCTCCTACCAGGAAGGGACTGCTTGCTCTCGATACACGAACGAGCGAATTTTCCACCAATTGTATCCATGCCGACCAGCACCTGTCTCAGGCTTGCCGACTTACCTTCGTATACACTCACGCTCATCGATAAGATGCTATAAACACCCGCTATTGCCTGAGAACGAGTCTCGATTCGCACGCGGATTCATTCAGAATATACTGTAGGAACCTCTGCATTAGATCAGGGCAGCCGACACACTTTGTTAGAGCCGTTGCTGTAGACTTCTCGGTACGTATCGCGTCGGATCATATGAGTATGACAAGAAGGTTGCGGGATCTTGCAACTTGGAGGCATGTGGACTGAGGTTATAACGAAAATTAGGCTGACAGATTCTGATCACCGTGCAATTTGTGTTCAAGAGGAGCATCTGTAAGGGATTGCACTTTTCAGGCCGTTCGATTGATCGCACTCCTCCTGCATACCCTACGCTGGGGATCCACGCTGCGGACTATAAACGTACCAATTGCATCAGCATGCCACCCTCCTGCTCACTTTGCCTGCATCGCGCTTCTCAGCGGCCACTCGCCAAACGTTTGCCTACTGCAGCCGGCGCAGGATGCTTATTCCAACTACATACGGGGGATGGGTTGCACTGTATATTTTGCGACATCGACATGAAAGCGAGCATATGGATGAATACCTAGTTTCGTGTCGCATGTGATGTAGAACGCATGTTGCTTGTGATTGTATGTAGTAGGGAAGTATTGGAAGACTAAACTGAACGGATCGAGTTGCTGCCTGCTACAACATGACTCTATCAGCTTCTCATGTTGGTTCGTAGTCAGTATGCAATTTGTAGCCTCATGTTCTTCCTATAGCTCGCCCTACAGACCTGGAAATCATCGTGAAGATGCTTTCGCTACGAAAAAATGCTGGTGTTGTATTCTCAATAGCCATAGACTACTGCGAAACCTGACGTAGTCCTTATGTTTGGGTAGCTGCAGGTGGTGGATAGGTTGCAACCGCTCTACAGTGACTTTGAGGTATTAATAGCTATATGAATGCCATTTGAGATATCGCATGCGCATGTATAAGGATCAATCAAATCGTATCATGTGGCATAGTGCCGACATACGTTTCCCTCTTGTACTAATCAGGCTTACCTATGTACCTTCGCTGTTCGTATAATCAGCTATCAGTCATCGACATCAATCGCACATGAAACATTCTAACGGTAGATCTTGCAGGGGCAGGACAACGATAGGTTCACCGTCCCGCGCGGATGTTACTCGCCGCTCCAAGGTCCTTCATCCCTTGGCACATTGGGCCTGAGGTCAGTGCTCGCCCGTCTCCTAATAACGCGACCCCACAAACACTCAGACTTATCTAGTCATCCAGAAAATTGGCCTCCTTTTGCTATCTTTTTACTTTACACCTTGCTATCATGGTTCAGGCCGCTCCTTTTAGTCGCTTTCGAGCATCGACACAAACATTGTATCTTCTGCACTGGCTGAAAGGACTTTGGCGATAGCCAGTTCAGCCTACCGAGATTCGAGACTATGATCTTCACAGTATACAGGTAAGTGAAGTTGGATCGACGCGTCGGAAGCTTCGAAGGCTCTCAGTCGCGCATTTTGGAGTCGACTGACTGCCTTTTTATACTGTCTCCATTTCCGTAATTCTATCCTCTCCTCAACAAGAGCTAACTCGTCCCGTACTCACGTTTCTAGATTCCCGGAAGATTCACAACCTCCAGAAGGCTAGCGACGCGTACTCTGCCCAACGTCGAACGAGCAGCCCGGAAGACATCTGCCCTTTTCGGTCGACCCAAATCAATTCGGGGAGACCCCACATACAAGTTTCAAGCGTACTATTGTATAGTGTGAACGCGGCGCTATCTCTAGCTCGACACTGGGTTAAACGAGTAATACGGCCGAACTGTCAGTCAACTTGATGGCATCTCCGATGGATACATCGTCCGGAAACGAACACAATCTACTTGGTGATTGAAAGAGTCCCTAAAGATTCTGTCTAGATATTTCGGAGCTAGGTTGCGCATTACTGGCACTGTGTATTGCGACGTTGAGGAATTGGAAGGTCTGACGACCCATGTATACAAGCGAGGAGACCGCTACACGATCTTGTGGGAGATGTGTACATACGGATAAAGTCTGCTTTATTAGTACTTGCAAATTGAGCGGCAAGCATTGATCGTAGCTCAAGATTTCTTATGATGGTGGTCGAAACTTGCTTTACGCCTACGGTGCCGCACACGTTGCAAGAACATCAGGAGAATTCAGTTACACAAGTATTACATAGCGATTTCCGTCTCATATGAGACAAATTGATGTAAGCAGATAGCTAAATGATGGAAAAGTGAAAAAATCTGTCACATTCTTAATGAGTGAGATAAGACCCGCAGTGTGCCCCCTAAAATAGTGTGCCCATCCTGCCTGATGGCCGTAGCTTCAATTTGGAGTCTGTCATATGTGTGGGTGCGTGGGAGGATGCCCAAGGATGCGACGCGTCGTGAGGCTGCACTGACGGCGATGCCGCGGACAGTGACAGTGACGTGGTACTCGAGTCGTCCGGCGTGCTCTGCTAATGTAGAGACTAGCTCATTGTTTGGCTCTTGTCTTGTCGCTGGTGGGTTCGTTCTTCTCGTCGTGTTCGTTCTCCCCGTTGTGTGTGCTCCTCCGTAACGGAGGGCTGGGTCCCTGGCTTATGGTCGAGGGCGGAGCAGCAATTCGTTTCTCTACGATGCAGTCAGCTCATCCACAGTCTTCTCTTGATGAAAAAGACTCATACTGTCATCTCTCAGATTTTTGTTCAAGATCACTGGTTTGGCACGCTTACGACCTGCTGTCATGGTGTTTGTGAAGCGCAAGCAGGACGCGTTTACTGTTCTTCTGTTGGGTGTGAGAGGAGGTAGAGCTTGAGTTATAGAGAACAAAAACCCTTGAAGTGTGCTTCTAAGTGAGTTGGTGCTGTAGTCGCTGTAGGATTTGTGAATTTGAACGGTGGGACCGGCCCCTAAGCGACGGTGTGGCTGAGGGGTAAACAAGTACGATCGATGGTTAAGGTAGGCGATAGAAGCCAGCCTTGCACTGGGGTTTGATAGTGGGTAAGGCAGGTTCACATTTGGGTTCACTCGAAACAACGCCTGCTCGGCTCCTACACTTGCCTAGCAAGCACTGTCGATATGGCGACACTGTGGGTGACACTCCATTGCATCAAAGCCGCTCGTGATGAGAGACATGACGGCAACTCATCTCCTCTCGGTATTGAAGATCGAACCCGTGCTAGCTGTCATTAGAGACATTGCGCAGAGTTAGCGATGGAGTGGCAAAGGTTGCGTTAATATCCAGCCTGAATTGTTAATATTAAGCTGTACGGCCGATACGCAAGCCCGTGATAAGTATTTTGGTACGGCATCCTGATACTCTCTCTAGCAGCTGGTGGTGTTTTGAATCTTGTTACATGGGGCATGACTCGTAGTGCTTGCTTGGGGATATGGCGTTCCGTTTTGGTCTTAGTTCCAATCGGCGGTGAAGCAAAACAGTCATTCGGCGTCGTCGTCAAACAACCGCCATATTACAACTTACTATCCGTCATTCGAAGAACCCACGAAAAAGATCATTGCCTGGAAGTACCTTTCAGTTCGTCAGTAACTGCTACTGAAGGTGAACGATGATCGTGCGTCCTTACCCGATCACAATTGTGTACCAAGGCATTGCGTCTGATCCCATCAGCTGTGCTGACCCAGCCAAGAGCAGACAGAACAGCGGCATTATTATGATTCGAAGTGACTGCTCCTTCACAACAGTGAAGGTAGCAATCGGGGCAATAAGAATCAGTATCGCTAACACGTATACGAACGCGTTTGCAGCGGCCGATACTGTGTTGCTGTTGATAACCCGACCATTACTGTTCTGCTCCTCCTCTTCCTGATATCTGCGCCTATACACCGGCAGTCTCATCAAAAGGTCCTGAGAAGGCGTAGCGATAACATCGACCAGAGGATTCAGGAGCCAGTCACGAATGAAGAGCGCCATGGGCGGAAGACCTTCGTCATCCACCGCGGCTAGATTGGACGGGATTGGGTCGCCCTCCTGGCCGTACATCGAAGCCAACTCCCCATTTGCACTGCGCATACCAGTTTTGTTGACAAGGCTGTTGATGCGGTATTTGTTCATGGATGCCATCGAAGGCGGCGTCGACGAGCTCATCCTCGGAGAAGTCTTGACAATACGTTCTGCCCATATCATCAGCCGCTGGTGAGAAAGTATAGTATGTCGATATAACTACCGTGGAGCAGCAGTGAATTAACCAGATTATTCATTGCGCTCTTGTACTCAGCCTCGGATGGCGAAAGTTCTTCACGTTGTGCGTTCTTTCGTAGGAAGTCTTCGACTACTCTTCCACATTGGTGGACCTCGCCCTCGACGTGCGCTAGGCATAGTGCCCATTCTCTACCGAAAGTCTCGTGAATTCCAAGTTGTGGACAACCGGCGGTCATCTCGAAGAGTTCACTGTGGTTGTATAGAGCTTCGATGCGCTCCCTAACCGATGGTGCATTATTGATTTGACGAGAGCTGGCATTCGTTGCCATCGCGATTGAACGTGATAATCTGGAAAGGTATGTGACAGCTGAAATGCCTCTGAAGAGTGATTGCTGTCACCTAGCAGATTTCAGTGTTATAAGGAGTATTCGCTGACAGTCGGGTCCTCTGTCGGGTGGCAGGTGGTACCGCATTAACTCTCTTGGATCTTTTGCCACCTCTTCTTTCTCAAGAGCCTCATGCTGAGCTGTCTGATAAACATGCAACACCGCATTGGGGCGCCGCAGCGTAAGCCCGAGTATGCACGAGTAGGCTTTGATGGGTCGAATCAAAGCTAATGTTTCTTGCTATCCATTACACCGCTTGAGACCATCTCTGGGACCACATCGATCGGACACACATAAAAGTTCACCGGAAATGAGAGTCTAAACACCGTGATAGGCTTGACGGCAAGCCCGGAGGAAGTCAAGGTCGCATACAGCAAGAGACAGCCACGTTCGATATCCATGAGCAGTCAAAGCCATAGCAAGCGCAGATTGTCGTGGCCTTGGGAGGCTATGCCGATACGTCAAAAGAGTTGACCGGGATTGTGGGATGGTGCGCGGACGTGCATGCTGTGAGAACATCCTCTGAAAGCTGATCGTCGCATGCTAGGATCGCTGGCTCGACCCGTGCCGACAAATCCGGGCCAGTTTGTTTCTCTCAAGAGAAGATCAAAGAATCGAAGCTAACGGATGTAGAGAAGCAGTGTTGAAGCTCTTGAGCTTTCCTGATGCTCCTGCTAACTAACAAGCGAACTTCTGAGCCGAAGGCCGCCAAACCTCGTCAACCCCGCCATAAACAATCGTCCTGGGATTCATGCTATCAACTCATGGGCTTGCTCGCTGCATTTTCGGGCCGATACTGTCTTGGGGACGGCCTATCGAGAGTGCGCACATTATATACAGGCAACACTCATGGTGTCTCCCTTTTTCGCTGCGCAATGGTTCTCTGACAAGGACAGGACGGCTCCTGTTCATTCGACGTTCGTGTGTACCACCAACGCGCTTTTGCGCCATCATATGACTCTGCTTCGCAGCAGCACATGCTGTACGACCATGGCGTTACAAGGGCCAAGGTCGACCATGTCTGTCAGATCAACGCGCTCTTGACGATACCTTCCCGAGACGATTGTCATGGAAACTGCATTGAAAGCCCTGCGCCTGGCTATTTGGGATCATACTCTGACAAACGCTTTACTGGCTTTGACGACATACACCATACTTGCGGTTCGAACAGATCCTTCGATTCTGACAGACAGCGAAGACAACCACTACACCACCAGGAGCCGAATGATATCTTTTGACGACCCTCCTGGATTGAGGACCCATGCATCTTGGGTCTTCAGCGTTGTTCCGGTAAGATTGGCCATCATAGGAGCCTACACCGCCTTTACGCTGAAGCTGTCAGCCTTGTCGTTGTCGATCCACTCACGAAGTGATAATGGTTACCAACTCGCTCATCAACCCAGTGACTTGTAACGTCATCGTGGCTATTTAATCCAGTTCAAAGAACAAGAAAAGCTCGAACTGACTCCCACTGTCTAGACATGCATACTGCCGTCCCTCAAATAACATGTGAACGTCTTTTGAAGACTTTTGCTTCGTTCTAAACTTTCTATCAGCCTCTTGATCGTGGGCTAACCCCTTGTGGTGCTTTTTGTTGGGTTGTCTTGCGATCAGAACCTATTGCGATGAAGACAATGTTCTACTCGTATACGTTCTCGGCAGTAGTGTCATCAGTCGTAGTACTACGACATATCATTTGCGGGCTAAAATACCACGACTAACAGCGTCACCTTCATGCGGAGAGTCGGGTTTCACCAAAAGCGCGAGGGGAGAAGAAAACATCATGAAGATCAATTACTAAAGTAGTCAAGGACAACTTTGGTGTTTGTCCTCTAGTCACCCAGCGTCTTCTTATTCCTGAGAAACTGCATTGAGCTTACATTAAGATGCAAAAAAAAAAGACATGTAGGTAGGGCAGCTCAGACATGACATCCATTCTTCATTTCCCTCTCTTTTACAAGAGCATGCCCGCAGCAGAACCGAACGCCATGATGCCGAACAGCAAAACTCCGGCTTTTGAAGACGCACCCTGTGTGACACCCACTGCGCTGGCAGCTCCTGTCGAGTCCGCAGCTGAAGTACTAGCACTTGCGCTCGTGTCGCTGCTGGCGCTTGCACTTCCGCTCTCACTCAGCGTTCCAGCCGGAGTCGACTGCGCAGCCGTGCCGCTGCCACTACCACTGCTAGCTGCGTCTGGATCCGTCGAATTCGTATCAATTTGGTCGAAAGGCGGGCTGCAGATAACAATCTCGACCCTCTTGCTCAAGCATTCCCCTAGGTCCAAGAAGCTCTGACCATCGGTGATTGAGCACGACGCTGTGCAGGGAAACGGACTGCCTGATGCAGTGGAGTCGTTGCTTGAACAGCATGCATACATGTCCCAGAAAGCATGATCGTTGATGTCAGCGTCGTTGCTGATGACACATCCGCCGTTGCGACCCTCTGGTCGGCCGATAGGATAGCTGGATGGTTGCGCGGATTGTTCAGGAGCGACAGAATTCGAGGCACATCCCACTGCAGGGCCGTAGCTGAATATAGACGGGAACTCTGTAGGTTTGGTGAAAGGGCTGGGTGAGGCGTTTGTATAGGTGGTGTACGAGTAGTTATAGGTTGTTGTCGGCGTTGTTGTGGTCATAGACGTCATCTTGAACAGCTGTGTTGAATGTGGTGTCAGTGGAAGGGCCGGCAGGGTCCAGTGTTATTTGAAGAGGCTGAAGGCGTCAGAGGGACCAAAAGCAAAGAAACAGACTTCAGCTATGAAGCGACGAACGAGCTGACGCGTCTGGAGAACCGAGCTATATAATACTAAGGTGGAGAGATGCGATGTCTCGAACGCAGGCGGAAGGATACGAGGTGTGACAGGTCATTGATACGAGCTTAGGGGGCCCCAATTTAGAAGGTGAGCGTACCTAGGTAGGCTGCCTTCCTGGTTTCTCCAAACAGTAAGTGAGATCATCGAGGTTTGCAGAGCACTTGAACTTTCCGATACCGAGGCGGATGCAGAAGTTTGAAGATCTTCCAGATAGCGTTCGGCGCGCAGCAAACAAACAAGTGACGTGAATGAATGTGCATGGAGGGAGGCCAGTGAGCGCTTGGATGAATGCGGGGCTGGCTGGCTTAGCGTAGCGGCTTGAGCTCCCCGCTAGCTCCCATTGGTCGCCAGCTCTCAGCACCAAATATGCCATTCTCCAACTTTACGAGACTTGTAATCGTAAATCAGTCTCGATAGCACACTTTAGAGCCAAATACTTACGCAGCTTATGAACGTACAATAATCTCCAGACGGTTTCCAAATTCGATCAAGAGCAATGAAAGCCCATGAAGCACAGCGTAAACTTTTTATTTGTTTCACTGTTCTTATGGAAAAGGAAAGGCTTACACAAGAAACAACGAAGCAATAGGTAAATGTTTTGAACAATTGAATTCTCATCTTGGTATCATAGCTGCTATGCAGAATATAGCACATTAACATCATACTAACATCATCACACTCATGCGCTTCCCATAAAGCACCATCTATGCCTTCTCGTCAATAGAGTGGTGTACACCAACAGTGCGGTCTCCGTGCACACTGCTCCTCCTCATTGTTGGGTCCTTATCGTAATCCTGGTCAAGCTGGTTCATCTCATCCTCGGTGTCGTTGAGGTGGTGGAACAGAATCCAGATGATGCAACCAGCAATGAACGACGAAACAGCAAGACCCGCAAACATCCACTGGATCTTGGGGTCGACAACGAGCGGGTTGAGTGCCTCAGAAATAGCAGATCCGAAAGCGTTAGTAAGGAGGTACATGGACTGAACGAACGACTTCATGCTGGGCGGGGCTTTGGTGTATGCGTACTCGAGACCAGTGACAGATGCGAAGATCTCAGAGAGACCGATGAGCATGTAAGCACCAGTTTGAGCGGCAATGTGAATGTTGTTTCCCTGGTGAACGCCATCGACGAGATCAGCGTCGCATGCAAGGGGGTGCGCGTAGCAAGGCCCAGATTGGTAGATGTAGTATTGGATGACGCAAGCGTAAACCATGGCGAAAGAGGCGATCCAGAATCCGGCTACGATACGGTTGATCGGAGGGAACGGAATCTTGTGCTTGCGGAGCGTGGGCATGAGCCACTGGTCAACAATGGGCAAGAAAACGATAATGGCGATGGGATCGAAGTTCTGCATCAGGTCGTTGGGAATACCGTGGCCACGCATTTGACCGGCCTGAGTGACGAAGTTGTTGGAGAAGTTGCCGTAAACAACCCAGTAGATGGGGTAGAAAGCGAAGACCTGGCAGGCGATGAGAGCACGCTTAACTTCATCAACGAAGTGGTCGTCCCAGTTGAGAACCTTGGTCTTGCCCATGCCGGCCTGGTAGGAAGGCTTAGCAGCGTCCATCTTGCGGTTCTTGATCATCATCCAGATAACGCGGAAAGCATCGGTGATGATGGATCCCTGAGGAGGTCGGACAACGTAGACCTTGCGACCGAGGACGAGGACGAGCAGTCCGACGAAGAAGACGCAGAGGCAAAGCAGGTAGGCGGACCAGAAATCAACGTCACGCTCCATGTAGGGGGTGGCGAGCAGAGACAGAGATCCGGCGTTGATGCACCAGTAGAAGATCATGTAAATCCTCTGGATAGTAATCGCAGGATCAATGATAACTTTCTCACCAGTCTTGTCGTCGTGGCCAATGACCATCTGCCTCCTCTTGTATTGATCGGCAATCAAGGGAGCGACGTTGGACTTGATACCACCAGTTCCAAGACCAATGACAATGATGGAAACGATGAAACCACCAAGTCCAGCGCCGTGATCGAGAGCAGCCGGGATAGATGTGCAGGTAAGGATGATAAGACCGACGATGTAGACACAGCAGAAAATGACGATGGTGTTGTACTTTCCAAGGTATTGATCGGCAATGATGGCACCGAGGATAGGAGTGACGTAGCACCAGAACTGAAAGAAGGTGGAGAGACCAGTGGCTCCTTGGTGACCCATACCGAGTGCACCACGACCTTCTGAACCGTCGCGAGGACGCGAGATGTAGTTTTGGAAGATACCGGAAGCACCATAGTAGGTGAAACGCTCACAGAGCTCGACGATGGCGACCAAGAAAGCACTCTTGGGAAGAGGCTCTCCGACCTTGCGGAGGGTCTTCAATTCCTCAGCGGTAGGCCTGATACCGCCAATGCCGTCGTCCTCTTGGACAAAGGAGGCACCATCAGATCCGGAGCCGGTAGTCAGCGCACCGGGCTTCTCAAGGGAGACATGGGCGCCGGCAACGTTGGAGTCGTTGATGGTAGCACCGTAAAGATGAGGGTGGTGGTCAGCGGCCTCTTGACCATGCTGGAGTGCCTCAGCGCTGTTGAAAGTGTCAGTAAGCTGTCTTGGTCTCGACAGACCCGAGTACAAAAGGGCCGAGGGGCAGGTATATAACATACGCAGTAGTCTCATGGGCGGTAGCCATGGCTTCAAAGCTCAATTACAACCAAAGACAGAGTCAATGGAAAGGCAGCCCAGAGTGAGTGTAACCTGAGGTAGAAGAGAAGGTCCGGTAACACCTGGAGTCTTAATAGAAGAACGAAGACACCTCCATTATTTAACCCACCCCCTCGTTGAGCACGCGCGGAATCCACCTGCCAGTCACGTATCCAATGGCTCCGACGTTCGCCTCTGTCGCTCAAGGGTTGTGGAACCAAGCACGCACAAGCACTCTCGCCATGACCGATGTAACGTCTTGATAGCTCTGCTCCTAACCAGATAAGCGTAGTCGTCCGGCACAAGGCTTGTCGAAGCCTTCCCTTGGCGGCTTAGTCGCGCCATTGCCCGCTCGGCGTGCAGCTAACCGATTCGCCCCCAAGCCGGAACAGCTGCAAGCACCTGCCAAATGCGGCGATTGCACGCGGCGATCTTACGTTGGTGTTTTCGACAAAGTAGTTGGTTACCACACTCTATCACGCCGTGCCGAGCTGCCGGGCCTGACCACCGTGAATGCGTACGCTGTGGTTCGCCCGTTTGCTGCGGCGTTGGACGACCCCAGCACCATCAATGCTCGTATAAAAAACCGCACACGTAACTTTAGCTGCAGTCATGCTAACCGTGCCGCCACAGAGATAGGATGGCATCGGCAATCCTGCAACCAAATAGCCAACGTATTCTATTTGCAATCCAGCTCTGACCGGTCCATAATCTTTTCAAGTCTCCAGCCTTCCAGACACTCATCTGGAAAATTTGCCTGGCCGACCCACCCCGATTGCGGAAAGTAGAAATAGTTCAGACAGTCTCTCCGGGTTCAGGGACCAGGACCGCCGAATCTAACGACCTCGGTTTCTTTCCAAACAGTCCCGAATACACACTAGTTCGGGCGACGCCGAGAGGAAGACAGAGAGATAAGCTTCTGACCCGCAGTGGAGCTGTTCACGGTCGTCTCGCCTAGACACGCTCGATTGGGGATTCAAGCCACGACATGGCCAATGGATCTGTGAGGATCTCCGCATCGCGCGCTTATGGGCTGCTTAGTGGGGAATTTAAGCGGTGGTTGGGTTTTCGATGGTGATGGACCATCTTTGCTTGGTAACGGTGACCGAGGATCAGGCGAGAGATGAGCGTAAGACGGGGGACATTGCAATCCGACATTGTATATCGCAAGTCTCTTGTCGTGGTAATGACAACCGCGTGTTGCAGGCCTTGGCCTTCATGCACATCACGTCCTTCTCCGCTGTAAATGTTACTCGGCCTCCGTCACGATATGCAATTTCCGCCATAAGCACGGCTAAGCTGCAGCGCCCAGACACGGAAGGCGCGGTCAAGCTTTCTTACCGACACACATTTACCTGTCAGCGGCGCAGTGGCGCGCCTGAACGTCGGGTCGCGTACATGTTCCTTGTATAAGCGTACAATCCCCGCGTTAATCCCGGCCCTGCCCTTGGTTATGCGTGGTGCTGGGTGCTGTGTGCCTGTCCCCAATGCTTCCAGAAGGCCACGTCTGCAGGTGCGCGGCGGTAATGGAAGATAGTGACCCACGGCCCAACCCACAGATCTGGAAGCTCGTTGTCCTGGTGCCCACATGAGCTCCATATTATAAACTTGGTATATGCTTGAAGCCCTTCGTGTCGCAGGGCGTGAGTGTGGAGATGTTGCCCACTTGGGTAAACTACCCACACGAGCGTTCCACCCCGTCAGCACAGGGCACTTGAGACACGCGACTACTTCACCCAGTGGCAGCTAGTGCTGTGTTGGAGAGGTTGGTGTAAACGGTCGAGAGATAAGGATACGAAACATGAGTCACGTTTCGCCATCACTTCTTCATTATGTTCAGCTACCTTCTACTCCTCCAATGCATTACAATGCCGTCCATGAAGATTCCATTCTCTACCCGCCATGCATAATTAGCGACCATGATGTCGCCCTAGCCTTTTGATACAAGGGACCTCCCAAACAGAAGAAACATTGACACATACAAGCGTCGGGGTACTGTAACGAAACAAATAATACACGCAGTGCCAGTGGAAAGGAAAAGAGCAATTACTTATGAAGAAGGCGCATTGGGACCGGTAGTGTTGGGGTCGCAGCATTGCTTTCCTCCACCGCAGCTGTCGGGGCATTCTAGCAGACAAGCATCAGGGCCGCCTTTTACGCTGGGGTTCTTGCTGACGCGACCGCCATCTTCCGCGCCGCTATCGTCGGAGCCATGTGCTGAATGGTCGTGGCTGGCGTCGAGGCAGAACTCGGGCTGGATGGTAGAAGAGTGAATGCCATACTGGTGGAGGCATTCGCGGATTTGGCGTGCGAGGTCCATGTAACGTGCTGAGCCCTCACCCTTGAAGTCAAAGTCGACCTGAACGTGCAGCGATGCAATAAGCTTCGTGTCTGACAGCTGCCAGACGTGGAGATGGTGGCAAGAGACGATGCCGGTGAGGTCGGTAATGTCCTCGGTGATGTCGTCGATGGAAAGGTTCTCCGGAACGGCTTGCAGAAGGATACGAGAAGCAGCCTTGCACAGGGGCAGAGCAGACAGAAGGATGATGACGGTGATGAGCAGAGACACAGCGGGATCAGCATACATCCTCCAGGAAAAGTCGGTGAGCCAGATGAACAGAGCAGTGCCAATGACACCAATGTTGCCAAGAGCATCGCCCATGACGTGTAGGAAGACACCACGCATGTTGAGATCTGCGTGAGAATGACCGTGGCCACCTGCGGATGACTCTTTCTTGGGCTGGTTGTGGTTGTGGCCCTTGTGCTGATCCTTCTTGTTGGTCTTGCCATTTGCGTGAGAGTGATCGTGTGAGCCGTGGCTCTTGGACTTGGATAGAAGCGAAGTCTGCTCAGTGGGCTCGTCGTCATCTATGACATTGTTGTCCTCGTCGTCAGCCTCGTCGTCGTGCGCGCGCGAAGACTCGATGATGCTGTTCCTGAAGGACGAAGGGTGTACGTAGATCTCATCGATGGTGGCATAGTTGCGCGAGTGCGAACGGCTGTGGCGTTTGTTCTTCTTTCCAGGAGTGGACGAGCGGCGTGTGTCTGCGTCGGATGTGAATGACACACCGTTGGACTTTGTGGGTGTTTGGGTGAGGTTTGACGGGAAGCCGACACGGTTCTGGGGCAGTACATCCGCAATGTTACCGCTCTCATCTGCGATGGCATGATCATGCGCATCTACACCATGAGAGTGACCCTCCTCGGCGTGTGAGTGCGCGTCGTGTCCGTGGGAATGGCCGCCGTGGCCGTGGCCGTGATCGTGGAAGAGGAAGAGACCGATGATGTTGGATGCGAGACCGCAAGAACCGACGATAAGAATGATGACGGGGTGCGAAACATCCTGTGGCTCGACGAATCGCTGGATGGCTTCGAGGAATATGGAGAGACAAAGCGCAACTAGAAAGACTCCGTTGATCAGAGCACCTAGAGTCTCCGCACGTTGCCACTGCTCCTGGTCAGCAGAGCCGTCGCGCACAAGCAATGGGCCCACTCACTCCGTATGTGTATGTCTTTGAGTTTGTCTTCTGGCTAGCCACCTTGACTGCCCATAAGCCGACAAGGAGCGAGATGACATCGTTCAACTGCGCGAGGGGTCAGCATGCGCCTCGGCATTGTACGTGGAGCCAGATATACGCACCATGTGGAACGAGTCGGCAACCAGCGCCAACGAGTGCACCGTATATCCGGCAATCAGCTCGACGAAGAAGAATGCCGTGTCTATGGCGAGCAGTATCATGATGCGCGTGGATTTGGAGAGCCCCATGTTGGCGGGATCGGAGCGTCCTTCGCGCTGCACTGGGGTAGTGGGTTGAGGGCGCGAGGGGTGCGATCGAGGCTTCGGGGCCTTATGTACGACGGCTGAAGTGGGTAGGGGGGCGATGTCGTGTTGGGGAGCTGGAGAAAAAGGGTTGGGCTCACGGTTCGCAACGTTGTCGCGTAGGAGAATTAAGAAGCGGAGTGGCGCTATTGCGTCAGGCCTCACCCAGTGCGACTAACGGCCCTTATTGACATGCAATACCCGAGCAGTAACACGCACCCAAAACAATGTTGACCACCTCACACTGGCAAAATCTCCCTTGTTTCCGCGTATCTGTAGCACGTACACTTCGCGCTGCTCTCAGTGCGACAACCGCGTACCGAGGTCCCTAGCTAAACACTGCCAATATATCCACAGATACTGGCAAATCTTTCCCACGCTTGGCCTCGTACAGTTACTGTGGTTTGCTCCTGCATTGCGTGCCGTCATGCTTCAGTTCCACAGTGCCACAGCTTGAATAAGGAACACGGCTAGTTGCCAACGGTCTGAGTTGGGCCCACCACAAACGGTGACATACCGTTGGCGACGTGCCTACTTGAGACATGTTCCAGCCTTGGTGATACTGGTCCAGCTCGCACATGACTAGTTCTGCATTTGTGCTCGAGGCGGGTGCGCTGACTCAACATATCTGCGCCATATTGTAGCATGTGGATCAGCATTTGTCTCTACAAAGACTGCCATATGTACTACTCGTTCCCAAAGTACGTCTTCTCGATATCGACCCCAACAATCACCGCGAATGTCCCCAACAGCAAACATACCATCAAAACCATGACGAGCCCTACTTCCCACCCTCCTGCCATCGCCTTCCCTCTCACAAGCGCCCTCTGTAGCCGCCAAAACCTGATCGCCCCTGTCAACACCACGACAATAGCCATGCAGATCAAGATTGCTGCAAGCGGTTTCCCGACCTTATAGAAACCAAAGCGCGGGTTGGGCGTAGCCGAATGCTGCAAGTGGAAGAGCTGAGCAGTCAAGATTCCTGTCATGACAAGGATAAGAGAGGTACGGAGGTAGCCTAGGAAAGTGCGTTCGAGTGCTGAGCGCCTCATTAGCTGCCGAAACATCAAAGAGTGGACAGGGAAAGGGATATACCCAAATGATCTCTGTGCGCTCCTTCGTCGATGCTCAGACTAACGTGTGCAGTCCAAAATTTGACAACTGGGTCATACCAGCGCTTTGTCCTTGCTACTTCGTCTCTACCAGGTCCTTCCTGATACACATTGACCTGTGCACTTGTTATGCTGATGTTAGAAGCATGGCGCCTGAGATCCTCTCTTGAGTCATTTGTCGAGCTGCGCAGCAACGCATTGCGCGATCGTATACTGTTGAGACTAGGTATCGCCCGCGGTTCATTCAGTGTAGTAGTTCTTTCGCGACGTACGGGTCCCAACTCCTGCGAGTAGCGCTGTCGCTCGTAGCGCACTGCAACTTCTGAGTCAGGATGTGGTTTTGCGTGGGCGCGATCATGGAGAGCGGCCGCAGGTAGACCAAGTGGTGATACAGCGCGAGGTGGTGCTGGAACGCTCATGGATCCGGTCTGCATGCGTGACACGAGAGTAGTAGTGTGGAGCTTAGGAACATAAGACCAGTCATGGTATCAACCACGTAGAACGCATGCGATGCTACCTGATAACACTTTCTTCGGAAAAGAGCGGGAGCGGAGTTATTGCTACCTGGGGGTGTGAATCGAATGGGCAGGAAGCTTTGAGTTGTGGGGATGCGTCGGCACGTCGGCCGGACCATCGCGTATGCTCTTGAAGGTTGAAACCGCTTGCTATATAGTAAATTCTAGGAGCATCGATAGTGGATACTTATTAGAATTACGTCTCTTGCTACAGTAACACCTCGTTATCGTTACATTGTCCTCGCGCCAAGAACTGCATTACACAAGAGCGAGCCCACCTACCACCACGACAGCAGCGACGTACACCTGCTCCATAACCCCATGTGTCGCTCTTGTCGCAGCGCCACTCGAAGTGCTCGAAGGAGCAGCATCTGTGCTCGATGGCGCTGAAGTATCCGTGGAGGAAGAAGAAGAAGAAGCCGTAGAAGTGGGAGCACTCGCCGATCCAATCTCATCAACATCGTCTGGCGCATCGTACAATTCATTCCCGTCACTCGTCATAGTCCATCCCAAGGCAGTACCATCACTGCTCACAGCTTTTCCACGTACAAAGCTCTCCAATTGTGCATCGGAAAGGTCGATTGTTGTCTCGAATCCTGTCCTCCTTGCCACAGTGACATTGGTCCAGGTACGTGAATCGCTCGCATTGGCCGTGCATACAACCCAGCTTTCGATCTCAGTAGCCCCGTTCCAAGAGAAGAATGCCGTGTTTCCGTCTTGGTCCCAGTGCACATCCGGCTTGGTGGACGGTTTCCCCTCCCATTGCTGGCGATACGCGCGGTATGCGTTTACAACGTTACTTTTGCCAAACTGTACGTCAAGAAGGATGTTACCTTGGTGATCCAACTCAGTGAAGAAGGGCTGACTGCCGAAGCCAAGCATGAAGTTTGTGGTTTCGTTAGAAGGGTCGATGGCTTGCAAGCTGCCTTCGAATGTTGCAAAGGTCTTGCCTTCGTTGGTGAATTCAGTAATGAGTTTGACGGTCTTTTCGTCCTGATTGACATCGAGCAAGAGACCTCGCGAGTAGCCAATTGTGTCGGTGGGTCCATTGTCAAAAATCGTCATGCGAGTTTGGTTGTCGTTGAGCCAGCGAGCATCGTGTTGGAAAGCGAAGTTGGCAGCCGGATCAACGTCAAAGTCCGATTGTTTACCTTGAAGGCGCCAGATGATGCTTCCGTCTTGTCCAGATATCTTGTAGATGGCGTCCATGACGCGTGCTGAGACTAGATAATCACCGTTGCTGTCCTTCTCGACGGAGTTTATATGGAAGTAATCCCACGGCGCTTCTTCGGATTGGCCAACCTCAGACGGTAGAGAATTGTACGACTCGTTGATTCCAACATGAGTACTGGCATTCCACTCAAAGATAAGCTCTCCAGTCTCGATGTTGACTTCCTGGAAAGTATTCTCGAACAGCCAACCATTCTCGATACCTCCGGATGCAGTCAAATCCCATGGAATGCCATGGTAGATCAAGACAAGCGCGGTATCATCAGCAGTGATATCAAACTCGTGGATATCGCCCATTTCATCTCCGAAACGGTTGACTTGAAAGTGCGCAATCTCGTCATAGCTTTGGTTGAGGATATGATATGAACCTCGTCCGTAGCCGTTCAGTAACTCTCCAGACCAGAGTGTAAGCACAGGCTCGCCCTTGTATGTCTGCGTCTTGAAATCGAAAGGTTCGCTGTAGTTGCCGGTCCATACAAGTGACCCCATGCGATCGTCTGAGAATTCTGGTCACACGAATTAGTATATGAATACAGCGTTACACGATCGACCTGACGCGGCCGAAATGCATGGCTCACATGTAAAATCTGACTAACTCCTTGGAGAATAGAGGAACGTACCAAATATTGCTGGCCAATTCTGCCCACTCGTAGGCAGACCATTGATCCCCAGGAACACAAGTCCGCTCTGCAACGCTGTTCCATTTCGATTGATCTGCATCTGCGGTGGCTTCACATTCGTGTTCGACATGTAAGTTTGGTACGGCGTGCCACTCGGATCAGAAGCTCCATAGCTGTCGAAGTCATAGCTAACAGAATCCTGTGCAGTAACAAAGGGCAGTAACAGAGACGACAGCTTCAGCAGTGACAGGCTAGCTTGGGTAGCGACTGATTGGGCGCTGTGCATCATGACGGCGCATACGCAACGATCGATTAGAACCAGATGAGAGCGATCAAAAACCAGCAATTAGGGTATCGAGAGCACAAAGAAAAGTACAAGCAGGCTGAGAGCAGGAAGGAAACACAGGTATCGAAAGGCGGCAGCCCATGATGTACCCCAGTAAGGGTGCGGCTTGTTGGATTCCCAGCTCATCTCCTCAATCCGGTCTGTCGATTGCTTACACTTGGCCCGGATAAGCAGACAAGCCACGCTTACTAGGCCTAAGACGCGTTCTTGGGCGCCCGGACAGGTCATGGGGGGATGTGATCTTCTAGATGCAGCTTGTAGACAGCTGCAGGGTGTGGGGCCGCGGATTGACATCGTGCCAGACTTTCCCATCCTACAAACCCTCCATTACACGCGCAGTAATGCTGGCAATTCGTTAATAACGTCCATACAGCAGATTTCCAGAGAACAGACGTAAGCTGGATAGCTTTATTGTGACGCGAGATGGACAACAAACGGGACTTCGGGAGTTAGGCGTGCCAACGGCTCGCGCTGCTAGTACGGCTGATTGTGCCGTACGCCACATATCAATGGCGGTTGGTGTGTCAATCATACTGGGAATATGATTCGTACGTTACCGCCACAGTCTTTCACTCTCGCTTATCGGTTTCCCTGTTTAATGAAAGATTAGTGATGGCTAGAACGGCATCATATCTCCACGCACGTGAGACAATTTCTTAACACGGCAAGCATATCGTGACGCCGCGTCACAATGAATTTATTTGGGTCAGAATAGCGTTTTGACCTCTTGGTCTGCTATGCAGACTGACTCTATTTGCTCATGAACTTGCTCGCAATGTTGAGCGCGCTACCGAGAGCGCCTCCAGAGTTACCACCGCCGCTTCCACCGCTGCCTCCGCCCATCTGCGATTTCAGATAGAACTTGAGAGCCATCTGTGCAGCCTGAGCAATGGCATCTTGCTTAGTAGCAGCCGGATCCTAAGTATGTCAGTAAAACACTCAAATGTGTAAGGTACGCTTAAGACCTACAGTCTTGCCCTCGCTTTGCTGCTTGTCGAACAGCTGGGCTGCCTGACCCATGGCCATCCCGATGAACTTGTTCTGTCCACCCTTGGCATCCTCGTTACTGCCATTGTTGAACATCTTCATGGCTTGCATAGCCGCAGCAGCGCCGACGTTGTTTGAGCTGGCTTGCTCGTTACCGCCGTGGCCACCACCGCCGTAGAATTTCTCGTGCTGCTTGACTGCATCGTCTTCATCTACATCCTCATCCTTGAGCTTGTCCTTCTTGCCGGACAGCATACCGAGGACGTTGCTAAACAGGTCGTTGTCGCCGCTGTTTCCAGACTCGCTCGAAGCATGCTGGGCCGCACCTGAGAAATCGTCCGAGGCACCACCATAGCCACCGCCGCCGCCGTAGGATGTGCCCGAAGAGTGTTGACCTCCGTGGCTGCCTGATCCGCCGTACCCTCCAGTGTTACCTCCATAGCTGCTACCTCCGGATGGGCGGTCATTATAGTCGTCACCACCTGAGTAGCCCCCACTGGGACGGGACTCTTGGCGCCTGTCGTCGCCGTAGCCACCGCCTCCAGAGTAGCCTCCGCTGGGGCGGTCGTTGTCGTATCCTCCACCCTCGTGTCGTCGTCCACCGTGGTCTTCGCGTCTCTCGTCACCCAACGCTGGACCACCGTAGCCGCCCTCCTGCGGCCTTCCATATTCTTCTCTGCGCTCACCACCACCACCGTAACCGCCAGAGGAGCCATAACCTCCTCCTCCGCCTCTCCTCTCTTCGTCACCTAGAGCAGGCCCACCAAAGCCGCCTTCCTGGGGTCGGCCGTATTCTTCGCGGCGGCCACCGCCACCGCCATACCCGCCCTGCTCGTGTTCGCGACGGTCGTCTCCACGACCACCATAGCCAGACTGCTGGTCGTATTCGCGGCGATCGTCGTTGTATGACATATTGAAGGTCTAAAAGTCCGCTTTCTTGTTAGCGATGCCAAAACGGAGAAGGATTGACTGCTGATGCTCTCACGTCTCTTAAGCTTGCTCGGAGCTATGCGACACGAACATGCAAGTAGAGAAGGTTGTAGATGATTGATGACCGTAGGAGAGCAATGACTTACAAAACGTTGGAGAAGTGAGGGTTGTATGTGGATTGAGGGTTGGCAAAGCTTGAATGTGCAGATGTGTGTTGAGGAGGACGTCAGGTACCCAAGTGGCAGCTATAGCTCTTGTCGGCCTTGGAAGTTGCTTGCCCCTCCAACCAAGGCGCTGCCCCTCACTACTGACGTACAGCACCCACTACGCGGCAAGCTTCCCTGTCATGATTCGCGCTAGTGTTACAGCAACATGCACATCACGTCACGTCGGACAATTCAACAATCAGCCGTCAGCGTCGTCAGGGTGCGATTCATGTCTGCTGCTACAAATGTAGTATCAATGCAACGTTCGCTGCATTGTGATGTCGGAAGAGAGCTTGGATCCATGACGTGACATTCACAACCAACCAACCTCATCCTATCCCACCGACCTTTAGTAGTCATCGCTCCTCCTGTTCGAACCCCCATACCCGGAACTCTCGCGGTCATTGGACCCATAGCTGTCCTCGTTCCTGCGTTCAGAACTTCCGTACGAATCATTATCGTCGCGACCCGAAGAGCCACCATACCCAGAAGAAGTGTTTCCTGAGCCATAAGTCTTGTTGCTTGAGCCGAAGTCATCGTCGTCACGGTTCGATGAGCCGTAGCTTGACTGGTTCTTGCTTCCATACGAGTCATCATCATCCTTACGGTCTGATGAACCGTAGCTGGACTGCTTGTTGCTTCCGTAAGAGTCCTCGTTGTCATTGCGGTTCGAGGAGCCGTAGCTGGATTGCTTGTTGCTGCCGTATGAGTCCTCGTCGTTGTCATTACGGTTTGATGATCCATAGCCCGAAGACTTGCTCTCTGAACCATAGGTGTTATCGTTGTCATTACGACCCGATGAGCCATAGCTTGACTGTTTGTTGCTACTGTACGAATCGTCGTCGTCATTGCGCTTCGATGAGCCGAACTCGGAGGTCTTGTTGCCAGAACCATACGAGTCGTCGTTGCGATCGGAAGAACCATATCCTGATGACTTCTTCTCAGATCCGTAAGTGTCCTCGTCATCATTCCTGCGCGTAGAAGATTCGTAGGAAGTGCTGTCGTTATCATTCGATCCATAGCTGGACGTTTTATTGCCGTAAGAAGAGTCATCCTGATTGTTTCCATATCCGGAGGATTTAGAGCCATACTCATTGTCGTCACGGTTGCTGCTACCGTAGCCTGAGGTACGGTCCTCGCGATCGTTATCGTTGTAAGACATGGTGATGAGAATTGGTGCTTGTTTGCAAGAATTGAAGATTGAGAATCTATTGTGCAGAAAGAAGTCGGAGCTTGTTGATTGCTGACGATTATGGCAGACATCCTACCTCTTTATGTACGCTCTCTCGGACGCAGACCTACCCCTCTATCACCCCGCAACACCAAAAGCAGGTTTGGTGTTGGTTCTGCCGTCTTTGCTCCATTGCTATCGCTGCGACCCCTGTGAAGCTGAGCCGTGAGCTAAGGACCGCTCTAGATCTCGGCAAAGTCCGAATGCGCAATGGTTCCGCAGCAACTCATCACCAAAAACGTCATGGTAAACATCTGAGTCTCCATCGTGGCACCGCAAAGCCACCGCACAGATATGACCGAGCAACGTACTAGACTTTCGGTGTGGCCTTTCGTAGCGCAGAACAACCTTTGCAGCTACATTAGCACGACCGCGAGCGCGCCGAAGCTGGATTTGCGGGATTAACGTAGTGGCTGAGCATGATGTACTGTGTTCGGACGTATCTGGTGTGTTGGAGGGGTAGATTCTAGATGGGCGAATAGAGCGAGAACGATCGGACACGGGATGGCCGACGGGTGGGACATCAAGCACGCAAGCGACATGGGTTGCGAACTTGATGTATGAAGGATAAGTATTCCAGCGGTTCCGGAGATGCTCAAATGAAGAGAAGCTAGTGACGATGCAGAAGAGATGAATGGTGGTTGACAAATTACCTAGGTATGTATGGTCGCGCTAATTTGGTAGTTACACGCCGGTCTTTGCACGTGAGAGATCATCCAGAGTTGAACGAACGCAACCACGGATGATCAGAGTTAGCTTCTAAACAACCAATGCTGTGAGTTATCTCGCAGGTGCGCGTTGCCCATAATGGTTTCGTTTTGAACCCTTAGCCTTTCGAGCGTTGACATCAGCTTCGGCGCCTACCATCCTCACCATCTTGACCAAGGCATTCATCCTACCACAAGTCCAGCTCTGCCACGTTCATATCTCTTGGCGTGCATTGCTAGTACGGGTGTACTTCATTAAGCCACTACAGTTAGTCCGGTCACACAATAACTCTGATCCGTCCCGAGGTCCTTTGGCTTCTTCTCTATTCTAGGTCAACGAACGTAACGGATTAAGCGGTACAGAGCTTTAGCGTCGTTGATCGTCTGGATGGTTCTGTGCGTGTAGGTGAGAGCAAACAAGACTTCAAAGATGATGATGGCGATAAACGCCACTGAGGTTCAAACGTGATGTACATTTACAACTGCAGAACGCATACCTTCACCACTTGCTGTAAACGAAGTACTGACTTCATTGTGTCATCAAGGTAGAATTGGAGTACCCTTTAGCTACTTGTCCTGTGTAGACATTGACTTCTCCTGTTACACTATTCCCTACAAGTCTCAGGTGAGGCGTTGGGCATAGTCTCTTGTAATCCACTAATAGCACACTTGAACTTTCCCACGATTGTCAGTTGACCGAGAGCTTCAGCAATCGAAAGCGCCGTCGTGCCGTCTTCTGTGACGGTAGATACATCGGCGTGCCATTCGATAAGGATATCAACAATGCTCTCGTGGTCGTTCTCGACTGCCTCAATCATAGGTGTCCAGTTGTCCCAAGTCCGTACATTGATATCGCAACCACACCCCTTGAGTCTCTTCACTATATCCAAGTTTCCACCACGGCAAGCCCGGTAGAATGGAGTAACCCCAGAAGTTGAAGGAATATGTGGATCAGCCCCATGCTCCAGCAGCGTTTCCAATACCTCCAATGCACAGTATTCAGCAGCGAAATGTATCGGAGTCATGGCCCTCGGAAAGTCCGGTTCAGAAGTTGGCTTGTTAGGGTTTGCGCCATGGTGTAGCAAGTAATTTGTCATGTAAAGGTTGTTTTCTTTCGCTGCTACACAAAGGCATGTCAGACCGTTCTCAAAATTGTGGTCTAACGAGGGTAGTTGATGGATCAAGCTTATTGCAATGCCATTCAGTTGAAGCCAAATGCATATGCATATAGGGGATTAATCGATGAAGTCAGCATCGAAATAAGTGTTCGCAACCAGATCCTGCCATCTCTTGTAACAAGGTGGTCCCTCACCAGCATCCAGGAAAAAACTCGGAAAAGGAATGGATGCGTTTCGTAGTAACCAGTAGTTTTCTGCCATCATGGCATGCTTGAACCAGTTGGCTGCTGCATATCGTCGAAAAGCGTACATATCATTGGAACCCAGATCCAGACCGTGCTCTATTGGCATATCGAAGGTATTCAACGTGAGATACTGCAGGCATAAACCAGTCATCCACGCGTGTGCTTCTTCTTTGTCAATATGAAACAAGTGGGCCGGACTTTGTCGAATGGCATGAGAGCAGAGATACTCTTGGAACGAGTAATGGCAAAGTTTTACTACACTGCGTAGTGTCCCCATTCCTTCGATCCGAACAAGAGCAGAGATAGGTTCTAAGGCATCGAAAGGATCAGTGACCACGGCGTCATGATCTAGATCGCGTTCATTGGGTTCCATGGCCAACACTTCTGATAGCTCGCAAGCAGTAAGGGGCTCAGCAGAAGTGACAAGACACCGGAACAATTTCTGCACCTCTACAATCCTCGTCGGATATCGCATCGCGATACCACATAGAAGTGTTTGATACGTGTATCCGAGTCCGTTAGGCAACCTTTGTATCATGTTTTTGATCTCTTTGTCCGACTTTGCTGTGCAAAGGTAGTCGATCTGCAACCTTGCTTGTAGTATCCTAAAATTCATTAACTGTCTTTCTAAGATAATATATGATACTTAGTAACCTTCGCATCAAAGTATGCATACATGAGAGAAGAGGAACTTACGTGCCAGCACGGAGTAAAGCGCATTGCTGTATTGCAGGCAAAATGTTGTCGTTCCTGACCTTCAGTACGCCTTTGGCGAGACGTAATCGAAGTTCTTCATTGACGTAGTGCTGAATGTCAGAGCGCATGTTCTCTGCAAGAACAACATGTGTCATAGCAAGGGTCGGATATCGCCCTTGTATACGGGCGTCGAATCGGCTTGTTAAAAGAACTCTGATATGACAGCCCACTTTTCTGCCAGAGTCGTGTATTTTCACGAGACTTTGGGCTATAGCATCGCCCTGAGTGGATTCATCGAGCGCATCCACGATAACATAAACCTCTTTAAGATTTTCCACTGAAGAACAGATCAGTGGTATGTACTCGTCTTTATGACAAGGGCGACTGCCTTCCTTGGACTTCTCTTTGTACAGTGCTCTGCCTTGTTCGAGACACAAAAACGAAGCTTCCATCATTTGCCTTACGATGCTCGCAGCAAAATTCTCGTGCGTTGTTTTCGCGCGATCACGATGATCGCAGAAGAAGTAGACGACTGCTGTAGTATCTGCGCATAGCTGCTGGATGTCTCGGATGATAGAAGCACAGAGAAGCGTTTTGCCCGATCCTGGCAGACCCGTTATCCACATTGTGCCGGTCTCTGAGTTTTTCCAATCCTGGAATTGCTTGGACCGTAAGAGCCATGTTCCGGTGTCAGGAATGTGGCGGCTCAAAGCACTCGCAAGACTGACACGAGCACCATCGGATGGCGTTGAAGAGACCCATAATACCACCTTACGTGCTTCTTCATAGTTCGTGTGGGTACTGAGGTGTCTGGATACCTCTCTCATCTCATCTGAAAGTAGGGCTTGTCCCACTTCAATACGCCGCACCGCGGACCTGCAGACCGTTTAGGCTAGATGCTCAGCATGGAGCATACATACTCACGCCGAATTAGCGTCGATTGCATTCGCGAGCAACCCGCGCATATGATGAAGTCTCTGCAATGCATCTTTTGTCTCTTTCTCTTTGAACGGCCACATCAACTTCTTTCCAAGATTCCTCGCGTCTTGACCATTGACCTGCTCGCATCTGGCTAGTGCCTTTTCAACTGACTTTAGGATTCTTCACATTCCTGGGAGGCACCGACGCGTTCGAGGGCTTGCAGCGCATCGTCCGAAGCGCTCTCAGGTACCGAGTCTGCAACTTGCTGAAGTTGTGCCAGAAGGCTGTTGACAGCAGCGGTTTCAGTCAGGAGACCTTGGATCTCGCTAGGCGCTCGCGCGACTTTGGATAGGAAACTATAGCCACCAGCGAGTAAGGCACCACTCAGCTGCACAAGCTGGGCAACAGAGGCTACTGTGCCAACGATCTCAGCCATTGCATCTAGTTGGACAGTTCGCACGCAATCGATTGCTATGAGGATGGGTTGTGTAGGAGTCGGCGAGGACAGGCGCGTTAGAGCTAAAGTTTGGCGCACAGGTGGGGAGATGCACAGCTACCTCTCTTACGGTCAGCCAATACTGCACCCAAGGACAAATATCGCATTTGAGATCCCAGCTTTTAGCAGCTTCGAGGTACTAGAGTCTTGAAACGACCACAAGGAGATTTCTAGCTGAAAACAGAATTAGCTAAAATATGTCCGACCTACTCATTCGCAAAGACCATTACACATCCTTTCACTACCTTTCCGCAGGCGGCACCTCTTCGTCTACTTCGCTCCTCTCTCGAAATGCCTCCACCAGCCCCCTTGCTTCCCCCAAATCCTCAACAAGTATGCTGACATTCTGTTTCGCCATCAGTAGAAGAGCGTCAAGTTCCTTCTTCTTAAGAGGGCCCTGGGCTGCTCTTCCGAACGGCTGAGTCTGGGCCACATAACCTTCTGGCCTATGAGAGTGCAGTAACTCATCGTCTCGGATAGTAGCATCTGAGGCACGTGAGAACATACGAGCTAGCCGACCGCGACATGCTTCGCGTCTCCTCTGGATATCGTTCAGTGTGCGCCACACCTCCCATTCGCGCTCCCAACATCCAGCCAGAACCTTGTTGCTGAAGTCTACTATGCGCTTGAGTTCTATAACCTCTTCCTGCAGGCTGAGATTCTGTACATCGAGTTCCTTGACCTGGAGGTGCTTGTTTTCCAGATTTGTGCTAAGTTCTGGAATGAGGTCTTCCTCTACGCCAACGATGCGATCTTGGAGACCGTAAACCGCAGTGTGTAGCTTTTGAACGAGACGCACATCTACTGGGGTCGTCGACGTGGCATTGCTGCGTGGTACAAGGTTGGGAAATGGTGGAGGATGTGGAGGAGCTGAATCAAATATGACATCGTAGTGGAGAGCGAGTTCGGATGGTGTCAGTAAAGAGCAGAGAAATGCGAAGACATGCTCTGGCACACGATCAGGAGGTGACGGTGGGCGATGATGGGGATCATTATTGGAGCCGTCACTAGAGCCCGATGACGAAGGATAGTAACCTGGTGGTACACCATTAGTTAGCTGAGGTGGACTCTCTTCATTACCTCCGCGTAGTGGCCAGTTGGAGTGTGGGGGAGAACAATAGAGAGCGCTACTTGAATTCGAACGATTATGATGTCCAGGATGCACGCCAGTAGGCAGTGAGTGCTCCTCCTGTTGTTCCTCGGGTTGTCTAAAGTTTTCCAGTGATAACGACCGGTTCGCCTGCCCAGACTGAAGACGGTCATGAAACTCACTCCCAGCACTTGGGTGGCTGAAATTTGGAACAAGACCAGCGTCTTTCATAGTAACAGGGTAAGAGTCCTTGTCCAAAAGCTTTTGATCAGCAGAGGTGAGACCACGTTCAATTCTTTCTCTGACTCTTGCTCTCATGCTTGGATCGACGGCTTCATTGCGTAGGATACTGTTGAGCGCTGAGTTCCATGTTAGCTGTTCAGGCTGCTCGCTCCCGATTGACAATCGAACCCCTAGTCTTCTTGAGGTATTTCCTTCAGCCTTTTTCTGTGAACAATTCGATTGAATTGGTGTGGAAGAGAAATCAGCCTGTGGTACTGATTCAATATCAGTTTCAGGCGTATCCGTCAGGTGCGGTAGAACATCAGGTGTGAATGGCGTCGGTAGGATGCATGCTGAGTCAGGTGGATCTACAGTGACCCCTTTTCTGCCATCAGAGTATACGAAATTATCCAAAGGGAAGTCCATGAAGCCATCCCATTCCCTAGTGCCAGGCGTGATCGGTCCCCTTGGTGGAGATGGGGGTCTTGGGGGAGACGGAGTCCGCATTAGAACCCGTGCTCGTGGAGCTGCAAGACTTCTGCTGCGTTCTTTCCATCGCCGCAAGTTCTCAGCGTTTTGTTTGGCCGTCAGATACTCACTCGGCACGGGTCTTGGATACTCTCTTTGCTTTGTCTCATCAACCTTATTCCGCTTTTCCCACTGCCTTAGATTTTCTGCGTTCTGTGACGCGGTCAAGTATTCACTTGGCACAGGCCTTGAACGTGGCTTCTGCTCACGCTGCGTCTTTGGACGCCTTATTGGGGCTCTGTGCACCTCCTGTCTAAGTTCTCCTCCCAGTGGGCCAGCGTAAATCGGCTCTACATCAGAGGCCAGCATAATGCTGTTGAAGAAAAGCTGCTCCCGTGGGTAAATGTGGCCCCTGTATGGACCTCTGTCGATAATCACTGGAAGCTCGTCAGGCGAATCACTACTCCTAGGCCCCACACGCCCGTCATCAAGGTCGTTCTCAATCTTGTCGCGTGCCCTTCGCCTCTCTTTCTCGCGTCGTTCTTCTAGTTGTCTTGGTGTAGGAGATGGTTCATGGATCGTGTAGTAATGAGTAGGACGTCGAAAGGGGTGTTTGAGCCGCTGGAATGATGGCATCTTTGTAATTTAGGAGCTGGAAACCAGGTGTCGTAGATGCTAGATGATACAAGAAGGCTAGGATGTGGGAATACAGTCCTCGATCATGGGGATGCATGCTTTGTTTGGCGATCCAATTTGTCCGATTGTGATAAAGGGGCGTTTGTGGATGTGTTGGCTGATGGTACGCTTCAATGACAATCGCAGAATCACGCATGACCATGGTGATGTCCGAACACATCTGTCTGCAGTGGAATTGTGTAAGCAGCCGGGAAGTGATTGCGGAGACTGGGACGAGCATGATGGAAATTATGAGAACGGACACCGTGGTGTGTTGAAGCCAAGGGGTATTATTGCCGATGGCGTTATAAATATACACTACTTGTATTGGAGTCTCTTCCAGTGAGACACTTGCTGTGAAGCCATGATCGTTGTTCGGGGTATGCAACAATCGTAAATGCGCCAGGGTAAAAGAAGAAACCGCTCCATGGCTATGCAACCGCAAGAATGCAGATGAAACGCCCCCATGCCGTGTAATCGTAAACCATAACGCCGAAGAACCTCAATACCTCTTCTTAGCCTTGGCAGCCATAGCCGCTAACTTCTTCTTTCGTTCCTCCTTCTCACGCTTCAGCCGGTTTTCCTCAGCTAATGCCTCAGCGTCTTCCTTCTTAGCGACCTTGAGGGCTATCTGTTCCTCTTCTTCGACGTCCCAGATACCACCTTCCATGTCGGAGGAAGCATCAGAGGCATAGTCTTCTTCTTCATCTTCCATGTCACTAAGTTCGTCCCAGTCTGCATAACCATCGTAGCGTCCCTTGGCCGGGTTCGGTTTTGCCTTGACGGCTGGCGTGCCGTTCCGACTTGACGTTGCAGGAGCACTCGCCGGACGGGCTGTTCCTTTGTATCCAACTTCGACAGGCTTCTTGGCTGGCCGGGCTGTGCCTTGGTAGCCAACCTCGGATGGCTTCTTCTTTTCTTTCGAGGGATCGGCTTTCGGGTCTAGGGCCCTTGAAGGTAATCCAGCAACAGGCTTCTTGCCCTTTGCCCCAGCACTTGCTTCTGCCTTGAGTGCCAAGCGCTCTTTTCTTGACAATATCTTGGTTGGCTCGTGCTTGATTGGCGGAGCGATGGGCTTTGTCGCGTCCTTCTCTTTGGCTTTCTGAAGCATAGCGAGATAGCCCTTCTTGGGTGCGGCGGACGAGGCTGGTGTCGACGTGGCAGGTGGTGCAGGCTTGGGCGTGGGCGCGGGCACAGGCGCAGTGGCCTTGGGTCTGGCAGCGGGTGCATTCGACGACTGTAGAGGCTTGCGGACGGGTGGATTTGCTGATTTCGACGATGCTGGAGCGGCGGTGCCACGGTATGGGACAGCTGTGGTAGATGCGGATGGCGTAGGTTTTGACGAGGCAGGCGACGAGGTGGCACGCGCCACGCCGTTTGGCTGCGCTGGTCCCCGAACAGCCTCCTTCCTCTGTATCTTGACTTGTCCACTCTCAACCGGCCCCGATGCCTTGCGCTTCAACTGAGGCGGCTGCGATGCGCCATTTGCCCCTCCGCTTGGTCGCGACACTGGCCTAGGGGCTCCGGCAGGCGGGGCTTGCTTGGATACGGTCGCCTGTGCCTTCGCGCTCGGGTCGATTATAGACATGATGTCTTTGAGAGACTAAATGATGCAGTCAGCATGTGAGAGCCGACGTGGATGGAGTCGCCAAACTCACACTCATAGTGGGCAACTGATAAGCGTTTGACTCAGGGCTACCGGTCGTCGAATCGATTGGAGGACAAGTTGTACATGCTTTCCGGGTAAGAATCTCCGGAGTAACTAGTCGTCAGGGACTGATCGCGCGCGCGGAGACGGGGCGAGGCGCACGGGACCGGTCGAAGATTGAAGAGGGGAGCGGCCAGAGAATGAGCGGTCGGCGGCGGCGCAGACAGGTCGTTTTTATACCTGGGCCTTGCCTAGCCCAGCCACACGTGACGAAGCGGACGATTTGCGCTAGTCGTCTTGCGGTATAGCGCAAGTAGCGAAATCCCACCAGAAGTCAATATTCGCGGACCTCGAACTTTTTCTTCTGAACGACAACCTACAGCAAGAACTTGTAGCTTCAGTCTCCGGTCCCGACGGTACGCACCACTTTGAATCTGCTTCCAGCAGCGCAATACTGACAAGCGCAGGTTAAATCGATTGAACTCCTGTTCCTACAAATCACCAAACCACAATCACAATGAAGCACCTCGCGGCATACCTCCTCCTCGGCCTTGGTGGCAACACCTCGCCCTCCGCTGCCGACGTCAAGGTAAGCTTATTACCACGCTGTTCTGTGTCTTTGTTCCAATCTAACGTCGCAACAGGCCGTCCTTGAGTCCGTTGGTATCGAGGCTGACTCCGACCGTCTTGACAAGCTGATCTCCGAGCTTGAGGGCAAGGACATCAACGAACTCATCGCTTCCGGTTCCGAGAAGCTTGCTTCCGTTCCCTCCGGCGGTGCCGGCGGTGCTGCCGCTTCCGGTGGTGCTGCTGCCGCTGGTGGCTCCGCTGAGGCTGAGGCCGCTCCTGAGGCTGCCAAGGAGGAGGAGAAGGAGGAGTCCGACGAGGACATGGGTTTCGGTCTCTTCGACTAAGCGCATCACCATCGCCAAACAAACACCTACCTTTACGAAGTATGATCCGGCCAATCTCTCGACTATCACGAGAATCATGCGCAATGAGAACGATTTTGGGAGTGTTGAGCGTGCACTGCAAGGGGCTTGGAGAAGGATACCGCGGCAATACTAGAATAGTTGCCTGCTGAGATACCCGGAATGAAGCCATGCACCTCCAAGCATTACAGGCAGGTCATCTGCCTTTTGTGACTGCGCCAAGCCTATATTATAAAGTGATTTGCTTCGAGTGTGATTCCTACATCGAAATGGGGTGCTGCCGAGAGTGCTGTACTGCCTTTCTCGCAACTGTTACGTCAACTTTTGCGGCAGGCATGTCACTCATAACTCTAGAGTAGATGCGACGACTGTGACTCTAGGTAAGAAAGGCTAGCATGGCCTTCACTCACCATTGGTGCGACTTCTAGGATATCAGAAAGACTGGAAATGGATTGACTCCGCGTGATGTTATGAATGAGCTCATTTCCCTCAAGTTGTTCCTAGATACTGGAACCTAACCTAAAGGTATACACAAACCTCCATGCTACAATTCCAGCAAGAGATTAACGGCATATACCTTCGAAGTACCATTTCCTGTGCAGTCTTACAAAGGGTTGACTGGGCAAGAACAAGCTCGTTGGTGTGCGAGGACCACTGGAGTTACTAGATGCCTTTTTATAGAGCGAGGCTTGAAAATAGATTGACAATGCAGCATTACCAGCTAGAGTCCGAGAGAAGATTGGAACAAATCCCCACCATCGAAACAATGTCCACTGTGAGTTCTGTCATGGTGGGTGGTGGTGGTGTGTGTGAATGATCGCACCTGTCTAAACCGGCGCTAAGGGGACCTCGCTTAGCGCACAGGGCAGCTACACCCGTGGACCTTTTGAATTTCGCATCGATTCCGTTGACGACCGACAACTACCCTCGCGACCCCAACGAAGTTCTCCCATCAGCTACTTCGACAATCGCAAATATGGCTGACGCTGACTACGACCCCGAGGCCGCAGCTGGTACGCTCTTGCCCTTCCAACGAGCCCTTCCCACACACCCGCACCGCTTCCCTTGGATACGTACACGCACAATGTGACAGGACATGGCTAACGAATCCAACAGCCCTTAAGGCGAAGAGGGCGTTCCGCAAGTTCTCTTACCGCGGCGTTGACCTCGACCAGTACGTCTCCCGACCCCCCGCGACTCTCCGAAAGCGATGGGGAATGTATACAGATGGTGGCGGTATTCTGATCGATATGCAGGCTCCTCGACCTTGGCTCTGAGGAACTCCGCGACCTCGTCCACGCCCGTGCCCGCCGCAGGTTCAACCGTGGTCTCAAGCGCAAGCCCATGGGCCTCATCAAGAAGCTCAGGAAGTCCAAGCGTAGGCAACACTGTCCGCACAGTTGAAGGGAGACAACTAACCCTGAACAGAGGAGGCCAAGCCCAACGAGAAGCCCGACCTCGTCAAGACTCACCTCCGTGACATGATTGTCGTCCCCGAGATGATCGGCAGCGTCATCGGTGTCTACTCCGGAAAGGAGTTCAACCAGGTCGAAATCAAGCCCGAGATGGTCGGCCACTACCTCGCAGAGTTCTCCATCTCATACAGGCCCGTCAAGCACGGAAGGCCAGGTATTGGTGCCACTCACTCTTCCCGTTTCATTCCTCTCAAGTAAACGAACTGGGTTTTGGTTGCATGGGTTCTTTCGTGGGGCGGATATGTACTTGACGACCTAAAATGAATACAGGTGTTGGGTGCATTTACTCTCGATGGCTATGACGTACACAACGATCATGGCGGGCATGAAGATATGGTGTAGATAGCACCACCATTACATTCGAGATACCTCCACACTGCTTCCTCCACTGGGTGATGTGTACTTGTTGTGATCGATGTTGAGCATGCTGGTCGATTGGATTCAATCGCTGCACTATACTGCACTGCGCTTCACATGGGACAGTGGACGTCAGATCAAGAGATAGGGCAAGTCTACAAGTTGGAGGGCAGCGGTAATCGTATTGGGTATTGTTACACTAGGAAATGCAAGTGACGTGTGCTCTCACTACCTTCCAAGGCGCATCTCAACCTTTGCAAAGTTATACAGGGCTCGCAAGAAGACCTGATAATTAACACCCTTGTTGTCTGGCAGGTGGCTGTATTGTGAGTTAGCACAGACCTCGTCATATGAACAAGACAACTTACAACATCTCAGTCAACCTCAGCTGCCACGGCGGATAACCCTTGAGTTGCACAGTAGGGCTGAACAGGATCAGAAGATCCGGTTCGCTCGAAACATGGTCATTTAGCTGGGCATCAATCAAATCAGTGTTGATCTGCTCTTGTCGTACGTCGCCCTTTTGTGCCATCTCGGCTAGTGTGCGTGTCAGGTCGACGATGGTGTCGCGGCCGTCATGTTCAGAGAGAAGGAGGACGGTGAGATGTTGACGTTCCTCCTCTTTCAGTTCGTCGTCTGCGTTCTGGGGAGGCGTATTGGGCGGGGAGTACGAGGAAAGGTGGGGTGCACGGAGGGAGAGGGTGGGCTTTCTACGAGGGCCGAAGTAGGCTTCTAGGGTCGACCAGATGGAAGCGTGGGTTTGGGGGAGATAGTTCTTAAGTACGCCTGTTTGATATTGTTAGCCAGAGCCCTACGTTACCGTGTCCTGTTCTACAGAAAGATGGTGGACTTACCCGTCCGCTCATAGACACTCAGAAACGGTATGCCGGCACTCGCTGCCCAGGCTGCTATCTCACAGACATCGTTCACTAGTCCTTCCAACCCGGCTGTACCCTGACTTCCGTCGTCTTCCTGGTAGTCCACTATCACACTGAGGTGTTTGGGCAGCTTTTCCAGGTCCTTGACGTCGTGGGCTATGAACTCTGGCGTGCGGTGATGGTACTTGAGCAGAGAGACAACCTTCCCCCTCACTAGTCGGTAGGCGCGGCGAAAACGGAAGAAGACGCTGAACAGGAGCGCAACGACGTGGTAGATGGCGAGATGGAGGAAGGTCTTGATGGGGCCTACGAGAGGCTTGCGGCTCTGTTGGGCTGCGCGCTGGCGGCGGTCGCGAAGCGCCTTCTTCCTCTGCGCCTCCTTCTCGCTGTCGGATGGCTCAGAGGGAAGAAACGGCTTCAGGAGTTCTTCGCGTTGCTCGACCGAGAGTTGCTTGCTTCGCCTAAAAGCGGCTTCTTGCTTGGGAGTCAGGCCTGTGGTAGCCATTGCGGGCGGTGTGTGGGTGTTGAGCGACAAAATGAGCTGGGCAGCCAATGTCTAAGTATGGACAACAAGGCAGTCAGAGGCCAAGGGACAGAGAGGAATAATGCGCGCGTTAGCTGGCCATGTCTGGCAGACGTAAGATGATGAAATATCCCAGTGAGGCTGGTGCATACGAGGTACGTGTGGCGGCCGTTCCTGCCGAGCGCGAGCCAAGTATAGACGCGTAGCTGCCTGCTCCGCCATGGGCTGAGGCGTCATTACGCGGAAGCTGTCGCAAGTACAATGAGGCTGTAGGAACTCAAGCTCATTGTTTTGCATCTCTGTATACGTCCTGCCACGACAGGATTGGTGGCATCATAGTGCATGAGGTCACCCGTTGTCCGTTCGGCTGGAACTGCTGCGATTGCGGACCAGGGACCGAGGCGTGGGGTGCGACAAGCCACATTCGCGACTTGGGCATGGTGCTAGCCAGGTCACGACGTGCAGATACACCTGCAACGAGAAATATCTACTCTGTGCCATGTCCAAGTGAGAAGACAACATACGCTAGCAACACCTGGCAGCTTGATGCTTTGCGCCAATCTAAAACACCAGCTCCAGGGCATTCGGGGCGGCATTGGCCCGCTGGGTAGCTGCGATAGCCGCCCGTAATACAATACTGCAGTAGTACTCAACCTCCAAGGCGGATTCCCTCGAATCTCCTGTAACGATGCAGCGCATCAGCTCCGATGGCTCGTCGGTACTCACTCACCAGACGTCGAGGACATCGATACGCGCACCCCAATTCACCCTAGAGAAGTTCACTGTAAGCAGTCGTACAAGTTCAGGGTTGTTTTTACATTGACTCCCGCAGAGCAAAGATTTCCTAGTAAAAGACTTCATCGAAGACCTCTCCCAGATCGCCGTACCTGCGACTCGAAGATCTGGCGGCGCCGGTGGCCAGCAGACATTCGACCCGAAACCGCTCATCCGCACCTTCGAACATGCCCTCACACGACTCAACAGTCTCTCCGAGGACCTGGAAGAAAAGGAGTCTGAGCTGTCAACAGCAGTTCGCCGAGCAGAGCTACAACACAACCAGAATGTCGAGTCGCTAGGAAGGAGACTGGAGGCGGCCATGGACAGGTTCCAACGGCTAGACAGTTCGCTCAATGGTAGTGACGAGGGAGGGTCAGACACTGGAGGCAACGTCGCCATGCGCATCGGTGAGCGACTCGAAGAGCTCGATCGCCAACGCAAGAGAGCCCTAGACGCAAAGTTCTTGATTGAATGCTGGCAAGAAGTCAGCGAACGCGGCGAACTCATGATCCTCGAGGACCAACGGAAGAACGGCGACATAGTACGATGCGCCGAGATTGCACGCCAGCTGCTGCGCATCAGCACACGTCTCGATCCCGAGGGCAGCCAGCGAGTCAACGGAGACGCACCGAATGACATGAAGAGGAGAACGGTACATCAGTCAAGACACAACACAAAGGAGGTCATTGAGAAGTTCTTGGAGAACCTGGAGCAGGATCTCCTAAGCAAGTTTCAGGAATGCTACGCGCGTCCAAACTACCCTGGCATGCGCGACTGTGCCATCGCGCTAAAGGGCTTCAACGACGGGGCTAGTGTCATTGGAACCTATGTCAACCAGCATTCTTTCTTCATTGACCGCATGCAGTTGAATGGAGAAGAGCTGGCGACGGATGTGGAAACTTGGGATCGCCTCCAAGATCCTGATGCGGAACCACCGGGTGTTGAGCCTACGCTGCAATCTCTCATTGATGAAGTCAAGATCGTCGTCCAGGACGAATCTGCCATCATAAAACGAGCCTTCCCTTACTACGAGGAGGTGCTGATCAAGTTCCTCGAGCGCATCTTCCAGCAGTCAATACAAAGTCGGCTGGAGATGGTGCTTGACAAAGCAGGAGAGCTATCATCACTCGCCTTCCTGCGCTCTTTGCAAGCTTCCAGGAGCTATATCACACAATTGGTAGATGATCTAAAATCACATGGGTTGACAGAGCACCCAGAGCCTGCTACATCTGCGGTCGCTGCTACCCTTGACCAGCAGTTGGAGGAGCTTTTCTCCTCTTACTTCATTGGAGAGAAGTATATTGAGCGAGAAAAGAAGAACTTGGAGGAACTATACTCCTCGCTACTACTCAAGTTCACCATCTACCACTCGCGGCGCAGCAAGATGCCTACATCGTACTTTGGATCGCTGGCTCAACGAGGCAAGGAGATGGCTGCATCCGCTCGTGACAAGTACATGGAGCGCTTGGAAAACACAGAATTGCCCGCTAGTCAGAAGGCGACCCTGCTCCGCATTGCTGGCCTGAAGGAGGATCAGCAGGAGAAGAAGGATATTGAAGTGACGGATGAGGATGGCAAGCTATCGCTACCAGTCGCCAAGCGTATGCTCAAATGGCTGGCAGAAGGTGTTGGACGTGGACTCGAGCTGTCGCCTGGTAATGAGACACCCAAGGATGTGCAAATATTGCTTAATCTTCTACTACGACAGATGGGCGAAATCTACTTGGAGACTGCGTTGGACGCGTAAGTCATGTATTCCTCAAACGAGTACACAACTAACACGAATGCAGCGCACAAGATCATGCCGTTTCGCAGGAGAACTCCAAGACACCCCCTGATCTCACCCACCTCCCATCGCTACACGCCATTACCACAATCCTACATCTTCTCCAGCAAACCACGACAACCATTATCCTCCCTCTATGTACACCCAATCTGACTATTCGTCGGGAGATCGAAAAGTCTACCAACAACACAACGTCGACTCTTGAATCGAAACTGTCCAACATACTCAATCTCACATTGACAGCATCGCTCAATTGGGTGAGCAGATGTTTATCTCAACAAAAGAAGACCGATTTCCGACCCAAGGAAGAAGACCTTATGGTAACAAGTGAAACGCAAGCCTGCCGCGACGTCTCCGCATTCCTAACTCGTGTTGCCTCACAAGCTTCTGCCGCGCTCTCTGGTCGCAACCTCTCCTTGTTCCTCGCTGAGCTTGCTCGCGGTTTGCGGTCCCTCGTTCTGGCACACCTGCTAAAATTTTCCATTTCACAAGTCGGTGGTCTTAGTGTTTCCAAGGACATGAACCGTTATGTTGAGCTAGTGAGAGGATGGCCCACAGGTGACGAGCTGGAGCCTGGAGCGATGGATGTTCTGACGGATGTCAGTACGCTATTCATTATTGGACCTGAGGCGCTGAGGGATAGGCTTAGGGCTGCGGGTGGACAAGATGCGCAAGAATTGAAGGGTTTCATTGCGAAAAGAGACGACGTTGGAACTGTCGGGGTGCAGAGCGTGCTTAGTGGCTTGTAGGGTCTTTACATCTTCAGGAAGTTCGCATGATTGTATCAAACTAAGTGTGCTACAATTGTGTCCTCCCGGGGTTTTATCTAGCAATATCTTAGCTTTGCACCTGGTTTCGCGAAATAGTTGCACACGTGACTTTCCAGCGACTTTGATGGTGGTATACACAGACGACAAACAATTACATATATATGGGGCGCAAGCGTTGAAAGATTTGTTGATTTGATAGCACCTGATGGTCAGAATCCATTGATTCTCTTGTAAAGACGGCAATTAATTCGTACGTTGGATCATTATGTACTTGGCATACAATACGAGCTGCCCTTGGATTTGATTTCTACACCAACATTTCACTGGTTGTCATACTCAAGGACGAATCTACGAAAACCGCCATCATACTCCTCGAAAGCCCATGATCGGGCTTCTACTCTGCACCAATTTGGCTGCCAGTCATTCCTGCAGTATTGACGACAGCCTTCCCTCGTAGATCGTCTTTAGGCTTTGGAGTACTTACTGATTATGGGGTAACAGTAGCTCTTAGGGTAAGCAGATATATCCAGTATGATCAGTTCACAATAACCTTCTATTGTCCTACGCTCATGAAGAATGCCCAAATTACCAGTATACCTCAAACTCTACCTCCTTCCTTTCAATAACCGTCCTCATATGCTCGAAACATTCTGTCGTGGCAAATGTCACTTCAACACCACTCCGATCTTACGTTTCCATCTCCTTGCTATCCTTGCTGACCGGCAACTTAACCGAGAACATGGCGTGAGCAGGTGGTAGACACTACACCAAAGCTACCCCAGAGTCCAAATGTGTAAGCCTAGGATAGCTCCATAGAAGCTTTCAAGTGATCAGGTGGTAAGCCGCAATGGTGGAGGCACAAAGCGTGTACAAGCTGTGATAAATATCTCAAGTGCATTATTGGAGGGATTCGGGCTCACAAGTAGCCGAAAGGGTGGAGCAGATTTGGGGGTGGGCGTCTCATGGCCCAGAAAGGCTTAAATTTACCAATACCAGTAGCCCGCAATTAATAAATTAGATCACAGCCTCTGTTCGGTTCAAGTACTGGCACATTGTTACAGCTTTGCTGGTTTTGCGAATGCAAAGAGCGACCTTCCTTTCTTTTCCGGATCTTGCCAAACCCATCCACTTTTACCAATAACTTCTCCTGCCCCACTAGACATTTGTAGCATTGTGGTGTTATCTCCATGATTCGCCAGGAAGCGCCTGTTATCGTTCTTCAGGCGACCGATAATGTGGCCTCGAAGCGGACTGCCGTCGCGATTGAACTCTACAGTATATGTCTCGACAACAGCCTCACCCTCTGGATTGGAAGCAAGCTCCGGCGCAGGAACATCGGTGATCTGTGGTGGAAGTGGGTTCTCTGTGGGATAAGCTCCTTCTTTCCTAGGCTCTTTCGATAAGATCACGACGTACTGATAGCTCAGAACACCGCCATTGCAGAGCACCAGTCCTCTCCGACCTTTGCCGCCTCTCAGCTGTCTTGTCATCTCAGTGAGCGCGTGCATTGAATAGTTGTTGCCAGCCCCACCAAACGACGTCAGACCGCCAAGTATCGTCAATGGTTTGTCACCACCAACAACAGGTAGCCCTAGATGCTGCGCGGCAATTTTAGGAACGATCGGAAAACACGAGTAGATGTCAACGATATCCATCTCTTCCTTGTTTACGCCAGAAACCTTCAAGCTCGCATCAATAGAACGCGCAATGCTAGGCGAGCAGTAGAAGTTCGGTCTTTTCCAGAATTCGTCCGCATCCTTCGTTCCTGCGCCACCAAGTGGATATATCCATTTTGACTCTGATACCCCTAGTTCTTTGGCGAAAGAAGTTGAAGTAAGAATAATGGCAGAGGCGAGGTTGACCGTGTTGAAAGCATTCATAAGCAGGGGATCTGCACGGATCTGATGTAAGCGGTCGTTCCCAGAGTAGAAAGAAGGATGGCGTACAAGGATGACATATCATTCTGTTCCTTTTCCCAACCGTCCCAATCTCTTCTTCACTATTTGAACTTCCGTAATTCCATGCATATTCATTATTCTTCGCAACTTCGGAAAACTCGGCATACAACTTTGCGCTCTCTTGGTGGTTTGCCTTTGGTGTCTGGCCGCGATGCGCACGGAATGCGTTCTCGTAAAGTGGATAAACATGTATTGGTGCACCAATCCTATGAATAGCGCCAAGGTCTTCGCAAGAGTCAGTAGAGGAGAGTGTTTGCCAAAGAGAGGACACTGCACTATTTCCTAGGTCGCGGCCTGTTGGAGTGAAGACCGAATCTACGGCTTCAGACGGCGCTGTCCAGCCTGGCGGAGGAAGCTTCTTTGCAGCTGCGCATGCTGATACTGGGTACAGTTAGTGATGGTGGAAAGAAAGAAAAGTAAATTGGCACGTACACGAAGCTAACGCCTCACCCCCAGTTACAATCGCAACTTTACATTCGCCTTTCGCAATCCGTTTCGCCGCTTCGTCGAGGAGCTTCCCTGGCTTATCACCTCCATGCTCAGAATATCTTTTCCACTTTAGTTTCTGTTCAATCCCCAGCTTCTCTGCCAGAAGCCCGGGCAAGTCCGGGTATGGCCAAGTCCATGTCTTGACGACATCGACGCTGTCGATCGCTGACTGGAGATCGGTATTCGAAGTAGACGAAGTGTCGCTGATGGCCTTTTGAATGGCTTCAAGCATCAATGTTGCGGGCTCTTTCGCGTCCGTGACGGCAGTTGAGCGGTTCTTGATGTCGCCAACGCCGATGATCACGGGGATGTTGGAGGACGGCATATCGATGTAGGAGACGGACTGCAAGGCAAACGTGTCGATACTCTGGCTACCCAAAGCACTTTCTAGCCATGATCATATACTACGCGACGGAGGCGTAAAACACGCTGCAATTCGGAGAGTCATGACTGGCGTGAGGAGTTACATTTGCCGAGGTACAACGCGCGGCGCGAACTACGGCGCGACTATCAGGCGCTGCCTATAATCTGCTTACGCTGTCTTCGCACTTTAGTTGTATCACAATTTGGAACGCATGCATAGAAAAGTGCGAATTGCATATGGAGAGAATGAGGTCGAGTGTGTTCTAGCTGAGGAGATGCTGAAGGTACGTACCATTCAGGGCAATCGACCTGGTGACATCGTATATGATATGATGCAGGTATGTGCATTTAAACAAGATCGGTATTGTCACAAGACTGTGTCGAGGTGCGGGCATTTCGATATCCAGTCTGTTAGTTTTAATTCGGTTCACGTACGGACATTCTAACAGATTGGCATGAAAATCTACTGTATACAAAGGCTTTCTGAGGCCACAGCCAGATTTGGTGCGGCGCCGGTTGCAATATTCCAATCTCTCCATGCAGCATACAGTAACACGACGAAAGCCTGTCCCTCAGGGTTGACGCCTTCCAGTGGCGTCCTCTGACCTTCATTGAGAGAATTGACAACCGGTGCTACAATACCAGTCTCTTCGTCTATATGACGGCTAACAGCTTCTAGCTTCGTTATTGCCCAATCCGTATATCGCTTTCCGAAAAGGCTAGGCTCGAGGACGGCCATTCTAAAAGCTGTAGCAGCCATCAACGCTGTGCCAGCGACCTCTGCGAACCAGGTCTCATCATCGAGATAGTTGCGCAGCAAGCCCACTGTATCGGTATCAGCTTCCATGGCGCCATCGAGAATGCCTTTGGTCATCTGCAGTAAGGCATTCTGCTCTTCCTCGGTTCCAGACACATATCGAGATTTCCGTAAGGTGGCCAGTACCCTTGCCATTCCAGCTGCGGCCCAGGCATTACTTGTACACCATGCACCATCGTCACTCTTCACATTGCATGCACCCGCATCATTGGCTATGTGTTGCCAGTATCCCTTTCGCGTACCGAGAACTTCGTGGTATAGCTCACATTGCCGGACACTCTCCTTCACCATGTCTATATCCGCCGTAAACGTACCATTATAGGCAAGGGCCGGCGGCACCATATAGATAAAGTCGGCCCACAAGGAAGGGTACGCATCGCGGTGTGATACCGCATCATTGGAGAATCTAGGCGTAGTCGAAAGCAGGTCGTGCAGTTGACGGCTTACTGCGGAGAGATATAGGTTATCAGACACGGCGAGGGTTGCTGATCTGGAAAGGAGGAGAGCTGGGATGCAGAGGGATGTCGGATCGGACGATGAGCCTAGTACTTGCTGTTAGCATACGCCCGGTCTTTATGACGTGCCTAGTGAGTATTGAAACTGTAGGACATACCATTTCCTTCACACAGTCTCTGACTGTTGGTCCGTATGAATGGTTTCACATATTGCAGTGCTTCTACATCCTCGACCCTCAACACTGGTATCTCACCGCCTGGAAATGGGTCATGGAAAACGGTAAACTGAGAACTTCTGTATTCGAGGATTGCTTCGAACACCGTTCCATATTCCCAGCTATGCGACGCAGTCTCTCGCGCTTTATCTAGCACCTTATCGATCAGTATTTCTGGAATCATGCCGTGTACTAATCGATCAATATCTCTACACCGGTGATCAGAGTTGATAGTTGCCTGGAAGTTAGGAGTGCGTGAACAAATGGCTGGGACAAATGAAGTTTTCGGCGGCTGCGTCTGGTGTCATGACGCGCGCCTTCGCCTCTTGCCGCGGACAAAAGCTTGGTGAGGGGTTGTTCCTTCTTCCAAGCTCTTTGCCGAAGCTTCAACACACGCAAGACAACAATGCGAGTAAAACAACATGTCTGGCGAGACAGGATTGAGGGGGGAGAACCTGGCAGATTACTGTAGCTTGCATGGATAGGCACAGAGCTCGAGTTGACGTGATTTCTAAGGGATCAATTACCCCAGAGCTACCTTATGTCCGAGGAGTGTCGACTCAAGAGGTACGCGCAACGTCTTTAGTGCTTTCAAAGGAAAGCATACATAGGTAGAAGGGCCAGCATCACGAGGCATTTCCTTTTATGTGCGCGAGGCTACACAATCAACAATCTTGACTGGGAACGAACGGCCGCGTAGCGTTGTTAGGCTGACATGACCCGATGTTGACAGCTTAGTTTTCTCGAGTATTGGTAGGGGATACCAATACGAACAACGTTGCTGGACCGAATGCTCATGAGTTGCGGTACGTCCTAGGCAACGGACCTTGTTTGTCTGGCTTCGAAGCTTATCTTTTGCGACACAATAATATCCATATGGTGCAGTTCACGGAGTGAAGACGAAAACTGGAGTTGCGATCATGTAATACCGAATGGTGGTGAAGGTTCGTCCGGCACTGGGAGTTTAGCGCGAAGGATAGTTCCTCTACTCCGGAATCCGGATACCTAACTAAAGCTGCTAGACTGATGTCTAGTATGACAGTGGGTCGCGCCATGTTTGCAGAAGCCTAAGATTTGATGTACCCACCAGAAGACCCGCAACAGATAATATTCCAAGCGACGTCCAAGCTCCCGGAATTCTCTCTGGATGAAAGTGTTACGTTTTTAAATCTCTGCGGTGCCAGAGCTGAAGATAAGAGTATCAGATGCAGTGATAACGACGCAGGCCTGATCGTATTGTACGCCCAAGGTGAAAATTTTCTAAGCGACTTGCAATATCTCGTTCTACTGTGCATGCTTCTTCACAGCAGATGCAGTCTTGGTTTGGCAGTGTTGGCAGCTTGTCCTGTGGATATGCAAAATCCACAGCTCAATGAAGCACGAACCGCCATCCCCACGATCCCCGGATTTTGCAGTAAATTGTCTGTCTCCATCCACCTCGTGGTGAACTCCATAGCTACCCAGACCCATTTCGCAAACCATCGGCGGGTATTTCGTGCGCTAAGACTTCTAGTCGTATTTCCAGAAGCTTGTCTAAGCTCTGGGCGTGCCTGAATTGAGCCTCATCCCTACGGTTTGCGGCTTTTGTCGGCTCAGTCCCAAAAACCCTCACTCCGCACACCGGCCCGCCCCCATTTAACTCTCCAAACACCAAAATATGAACAGTGCCCATGGCGCACGGGAGTAAAACCGAAGGAATGCGCGACGTGCAGGGCGAACGCCATCAGGCAAGTTAAGCACTGTGTTGCAACCACTACAGCACAAGAGGCGATCTTCCCCGCCTTTTCACGCGGTAGTTTGCCATTACCTAACGATAATTGGTTCCCCAGACTCCCCATTGCTCATGGTTCTGACAAGGGTCTGGGCTGATCGTCCCATACCATGGACAAGACTTGGCCACCGAGCCAGCAGCAGTCCACGGGTACCACATCGGAACCATTCCAAACGTGGAGTATACCTCGTCGTGCGCCGGGCCATACACCACATGTGAAAAATCTGCTATCATAGCCGGCGCATCCTTCACCCGTCTTTGACATTGCTTTCTACATAAGCAGCTGACATCCCCGTGTTGGGATCAGCAAGATTGGTACCGACGCAAACCAAGTCTCCATCATCTCGCAATCTACCTGGGCGTCATGCCGAACCACCACATGGCTGACGAAAAGCCTGAGGCTGTGCCGTATGGCTACGAGGAGAACCAAGTTGGCTTCGAGGAGCCTTTTGTCCACGGCGCTGCTACTGTTGGAGGTGAGACTGGACGAGGAGGAGATACACACCGTGGTTTGAAGAGTCGACACATCCAATTCCTGTAAGTCCGTGTTCTTTGACGTCGCTAAACTGCATGCTGACACTCCACCAGCGCGCTAGGCGGTGCTATCGGAACTGGCCTGTTCATCGGATCTGGATCTATTCTTGCTCTAGTCGGTCCTGCTCCACTCTTCATGGCCTATCTCAGTATGATGCTTGGTAGGTTGTGCCTGTACGAAATGCATGTGAGAAAACCACTAACTTCGTGTCTTCACTTCTGCAGTCGTCTACAATGTCATGAACAACTTGGCCGAAATCGTTACCCTGCTTCCCATGCGTGGTATTACCATCCCGTATTTCATTAAGCGATTTGTAGACCCTAGTCTAGCATTTGCTGCCGGATGGAACTACTGGTATGCATATGCCATTCTCGTTGCTGCCGAAGCTACAGCTGGAGCCATCCTTCTGGAGTATTGGGAGACGCCTGTTCACAACGCTGTCTGGATCACCATCTTTCTTGTGGTGGTTTTGTTCCTTAACATTGTCGCAGTCGAGGTTTTCGGAGAAGCAGAGTTCTGGTTTGCCTCCATCAAGTTCATCACCATCATAGGCCTAGTAATTCTGGGCTTTGTTATCATGTTAGGTGGCAGTCCTAATGATCAAGGCCGACTTGGATTCAGATACTGGAACAACCCGGGTGCTTTCAAACCATACATAGTGGAAGGAAATTCCGGTCGTTTCCTGGCGTACTGGACTGCTTTCGTTCGCGCTGGTTTTGCCTTCATCACATCGCCTGAACTGATTGCACTTGCTGCAGGAGAGACCATCGCCCCTCGCCGTAACATTCCCAAGGCTGCTGGCCGCTTTGTTTACCGTCTGGCCATTTTCTACGGTTTGGGAAGCTTCATCATCGGAGTCATCGTTCCATCAGATGACGACCGTCTCCTCAGCGGTAGCTCCAACGCTTCGGCCTCGCCCTTCGTTATTGGTATTCAACGAGCAGGCATCCAGGGCCTGAATCATGTTGTCAACGCGGCTGTCTTGACATCAGCCTGGTCTGCTGGAAACGCTTTTCTATTCTCTGGATCCCGTGTCTTGTACGGTATGGCTCTCAACGGAGAAGCGCCAAAGGTCTTCGGCAGGACGAGCAAGAAAGGGGTGCCATACGTGGCTGTCCTGGGTACTTGGGCCATAGGTCTTCTTGCTTACCTCAACGTCTCCAATACTGGTGCTCAAGTCTTCCTGTGGTTCTCAAACATCTCCACAATCTCCGGTTTCATCGCCTGGATTGTTGTTATGATCACCTACATCCGCTTCCGCAAAGCCTTGATATTCAACAACTTGCTCGAGTCGCTTCCCTACCGTACGCCATTCCAGCCATACCTCACATACTTTATCCTTGGTGTTGTCTCGCTACTGACCCTCACGAACGGATTTCAAGTCTTTGTGCCAGCCAACTGGTCTGTATCCGATTTCTTGGCCGCCTATATCACTATCCCCATTTTCTTCGTTCTTTACGCAGGCCACAAGATCTACTTCAGAACCGCCTTCGCGATCAAGGTTGAGAACATTGATGTTACGACTGGTGTGCGGGAGATGAATGAGCTGTGTAAAGACGATATCTCTGGTGCACCTGTACCGAAGAACGTCTGGCAGAAGATCTGGTACTGGATTGCGTAGAGTGGTACAAGGGGAGCATGTACAACGTTTATAGCGTACGTGTCTTTGGGCTTTCTTTAATAGATGCCAGCCATCAATGAGATTGTTACGAACCTTCAAGTCGGGTTATCTGTTTTTGTCCAAATATGACTTATCTTATGACTAGAATACCAGGCCATAATCGGTGAGTAGTAGACAAACTGTAAGAAAAGCCTCATGTACTCATTGCGGTTGTCCATGATTCCTCCTTACTGTATCTAACTTGCGATATCACGACCCCCATGAGACGTAATCGTGTATATATACAGAACGACTATGGACGAGCCTTCTTTCAAACTACTCAGCTGGATTTGAGAGATCAAGATGCCTGGAGTTTATCGGAAAATTGAAACATCCCACCCAAGAGGCTTTGTGAGGCCTAACGCGTGCTTGCACCCTGGCTCTAGAGTTTTTGCGTATATCGGCAGTGACCATACACGCCAACTTACCGCCACTGTACTTCTACCTGTCAGCGTCTCCGTCACTGATTCAGAAACTAGAGAGATCCTTCCAAGTTCAGCCATACAAAGACGAGGGTGCTTTGGAAACATACGACTATCGCGAAGCCTGTACGAGACGGCATGTGACACCGATGACTCTGCATTGTCGTGTAGCTCTGTTGGAGATACATAAGACACTAAATCAATGAGGAGCCTTGCAACAGTATCTCGCCAGAACGTGTGGTTGCGTGGAATCTGTGAATTTCTGGCGAAGAGTACCTGGCCAGACGTATGTCCACGACGTTTGGATACGCTAAATTGCGCTCTCTCAAAGCCGTCCATCGACGCATATCTCAACAATCATATTTAGAGCTTGGAACAGCTCCACTCAACTCACTGAGGGTAAAATCACTCTCCGTAAGATGGCATGAGCCCTCAGATAGACGGTTGCTCGTGTTTCTAGGCTCTGCTAACACATGCATAGCGGTTAGCTCCGCCATTTATGCTTGCATCGAATTATGATTCAGTAGACCTTGTGCATAATCCGGACGCCCCGCATCTTCGAGCTCAAGCGTCGTGCCCGGAAAGCTCTCGCCTAAATGTCAACGTGAAGGATGCGCCATTCACAGACCATATCAAGATCTGTACCTTCTATCAGGCGGCACGAAGCGAGCTTTAAGCATACTGAGAACGAATTGGCTCTACTCGCTTAGCTCGGTTAGGGAGCCGATTTGATTGATCTGATTTGATTGTGGCTTAACGCCCTATCTGTTGAGGGAGCTGAGTGATCGGGCGTTAAGCATCATGGCACTGGGCATATAAATCATGAAGACCTCATTTTGCTCTGAAACAGCCACACTGACTAAGTTCTGGGATGTCGCATAGATATTCCTCAGACCAGGGTGCGTCCACGTGGTTGCGGCTCGGAAGTGAGAGTTTGCGACAGCCTGCATTGCTCTTGTCAACAGCTGTATGATAGGCTTCCCGTATCGAGAGGAAAAGAACAGACTGCCGATATGAATCCAAAACCTTCGATGCGATTGATTTTTCCGGGCTTTGTCGGTTTCGTGGAAGCGTCTAGATGACTAGACTGACGAAGGACAATAGCTTCAGGAACCTGGCGACAACAGGGTATATGTTACACTTACCGAGATTGTTTCAACAGGTCAGAAGTATCTAGACATGGAAACATACGTAACATGACTCCAAAGCAAAAATGGGGGAAATGATGATCGCCCTTCACCGGTTCAAAGCCACACGTTTGTACCGTTTCGCTTGGCGTTGCCAAATCCTTTACAGATCAGCGAGTCATGAAACTGCATCTTCCGTAGTCCAATGCTATCCAAAGCCGTTTTGTGACAGCTCGCTAATGTACCTTTGCCCTTGCCATCACATTGCAGCCTCACCCGGATCGGCTGAAAATATCGCCGAATCAACAACAACCGATTGATGCTTCAGAAGTGAACGACGTTGATGAAAGTTTAGAGACAATGTTGAACGAATCTGCGAGAACCGTGTTCAAGAGAACTTTGATTAGGGGCTTACATCATGTCATTCATGTTACCGTCATCACACATGTGCTTACTTACCACAGGATTTCGCAACCATGTTTAGACATGGGACATTCTCTGAGGATCGCCTTGAGACATGAGCTGCGCTGTTCTGTCTCACCGCTGGCGAGGCTGAGCTTTGTCCGACCAGATGCGCATCCAGCTAAATTTACCACGCTTGTGAATCTTGAGCTGCGAGATACGCAATGATGCGAAACTAGCCTAGTCCTGGAAAACGGTGCTTCAGTCTGGCCATAGGAAAACCACTTCTTCTAGGGCATAGAGAGCTGGTAGCAGTAGCTTTCATCAACCACTTCCTCCGGTTTTGGATAGCCGGACAAAGCATCGTCGAGATTGCGCAAGCGTAAGGTTTTCCAAAGCAGCACGGGCCGCAACGGCATGCGCACGTCATCGGCCGTAAAGTTCATGCTTTCTGCACGGTGGAAGCGCTTGGCTTTAGGTGGTCGCTTCGTTGCACTAACAAGGTCATCTGTGGGGGCGGAATACGTGCCGCCAAACCACAACAACGTTGCGAGGTTGCAAGGTTGCAAGGTCTACCCACTGCAAGAACCAGCCCGTTAGGCTTTACGATTACTTGCGCGTCTGCGAGCGACTCGAACATCTTGATTCAAGAATCGATCTCTCTGTCTCCAGTGTCGCGCTTTGACATACGAGAGAAACTCCTAACAGCCTCAGTTGTCCACGTGCAAGGCTTTGAAGGGCTTCAATCATCAATCTCACCGCCAATTTGACCAAACGACGAGTGGCGAGGCCAGCCCTCTCGAACGAAGATGGTGTGTACTGATATGCTTGAGTAGTAGCCGGTGAAGATATCGGAAAATTGTGTTCTTTCGTGATTTGTTGTCAGTACACCCTCTTTGCGCACGATTGTTGGCCCGGAGAAAACCGCCATCGTTGTACGTACGTCGGTTTACGGCGAAGGATCCTTCATCTTCTTACGCCCTCAATCCTTCCTAGTCATCGTGTGGATCGTAAAGTGTCAGGCGGTAATGCAGCTGTGAAGGTCACAAGTGACGTTCGCGCAAGGCGAGATCTCGTCCAAGATATATATCCAGTAAGGCCATGACTCGCAGGGCTCGGACTACCCTAATTATCCATTCCAAGGCGTTACAGCCTTCTCCTGATCTTTTGCAATCCTTTCGCAACCTGCCCAGTCTGAACCAGGATTAGAAATTTCCCGATTGGTTAGTCCAGAACTAACGAACGCGTAGAGGATCTCGACCTTCGAATAGGATGCAGGGTATCCGATATCAATACTCAAAACTATACGGTGATTTCGTTCAAGACCCAGAGCTTGCAAAGTTTCGTCGATATCTGGATTACTGGTCTTGGATGTTATACAATGAGAATTGGGAGATCGAGCAGAAGATCCGAGAATGCAACGAGATCGTCGCAAACATTCATAGTGTACCTCGGACTCGCAGCGTCTACACGTTGATAGACTATCCTCAAAGCTACGTGAAAAAGCAGGATCCAACACTGGAGGCGAAAATCGAAGACTTGAAAAAGTTGATCAGGCGATACGGTCGGTCACATTCTACTCGTTGCGCTTGGCGATATGCTGACCAACAGTGACACAGGAAAAGACCTTACCCTCGCCCACGCCATTGCCAACTTGCCTAGTCAGCCCGAGATATGGGCTAGACATTTCTCCGAGTATACAGAAGCATTTCAAGATGGTCGTTTCGGGCCGACAAACGAGGATGCTACCGTATACAGTCAAGTCCCCTCGCATGCGGATACTTGCTCCCTGAGAGCCAGCGAAGTAGATCAGCAAGACCACTTAACAAGCTTCGCAATCCGTCATCTCAAATCGATCAACATACGCCTGCGAAAGTGGATCGCTCGCGGTTCAAAGGAACGGTCCGAGGAGGAAGGAGCCGCACCAGAGCAGTTTGTTGGCCTCGAAAAGATTGTTATGGTCGCCAATGTGTTCGCTGGCATCTATGTTCCTGTATTCTTTGCCGCATGCCTCGGGGTTCTCAGCAGTATTCAGTCTGAGAAATGGCGCATCGTTGTGCTCGGTGCATTTGGATTGATGCTTACCGCATTATTGATTTTGTGCGTTCCGACGTTAAAGCGGAGTGACATGTTCGCAATTACGGGCGCCTTCTTTGCCGTGGGTGGAATATTTGTGGGGGCAAGGAGTATGGATTGACAGTAACGGATACTATAAGGTTGGTGTGAGAGATGGGGAGTGATTGCGAGTGGCGGTTGTGACGTTGCTGAGGCTCGTGCATGGCATCGGGCCTTTCTTTCACCCTTGCGTACCAAGGTTGACCTACCTAAATATAGATACGATGCATCCATGCTTGAGTACTTTCCCGCGTATACCAAAGAATAGGTCTGCTCTGTACTCATGTCTGCCACTGTTTAGAATCAGGAGTCGACTGTATTAACTCAGGTAGGTACTTTCTTTTATTTAAATACTTCACTCTGGTTTGGAGTCGTTAATTTCCTGCATTCTTTGTCATCTCATTGTGCACGCGTCTGTGCCGGAAGCATAACTCTCCGCACAATATTTATCCAACCAGGCACCATGCAGTGTGATAATGCAGGTTGTAAGTCCTTCAGTGAACCTTGACTTTACTGCCGATTTTCGACTGACAGCACAGGGCCGGACCAAGTCATCTCTCTCGTTGATACAAGATAATCATAGTTAGAGGTCTTAGACGTGTAAGGCTGCCATTTGACGCTCAATACCTACGCCCTCATAGCACAATCTACACAATGGTCGATTGGGTGATGGAACAGGAATCGAACAACTATGGTAGATATCGCTAATGTCCTAGAGAGAACCACGACCGATCGACAATCTCTGCCAAGATTTCTCCTGCGCGACCGTTTACATGGCATCCGATCGGGCAACGTCTTAAACTTATCATGGCGGGGAGATATGTGCACAGGCATCAATGCGAGCTGGCAATATTAATTATCACCATTGGAGGGCCGTCAGATAGCGGCACCCAGGTCCAGCTAGTGGAATGCCTTAATTTACCCAAATATTGGTTAGAATCCCATTGCAAAGCTCCAAGATAGGTCCTCTGTATTATCAGAGCCGCACGCCGGGCCGATATGGTCAACCACAGTGACTAACCGCTGGATTGTGTCTTTGCTAGTTAGCACTCCTTTGTCAAATCCCTAGAGCTCATCTTCAGTATATGTACCAATCTTCGAGCCACCTAACTCTTTATCACTTTTCGAAAACCAACGCCGACTACATCAGAAAGCCTCAACGCGCGAGACTCTTAGCTATGACTAGAGTGCCAATCAGCCCACCGAAGCCGCTTCGTGAGTTCAGATTATCCCTCCAGACAGTCATCCATTAATACTTCGCCAGCTCCAATTGTGATAGTTGAGCAGTGATCGAGGGAATGATGCAGTGTGGCTCTCGATAGCCACTAATCTCCAGTAAACATTTGGTATATCGCCAGTCTGTGCAAATCGTTCACATCCCAGAAGATTGCTGACATCTCTAGTCTAGTTCTCAGCTAGTATCTTCCTTCACACCGCCACTGTTATCGTACACGATTTTCTCGACACCGATTCAGTGGTTTACTATCAGGGACCTACCAGGGTCGGATGTCATTCATCGATCACAATATACATTCTATCTGGGGACGTCATGATGGAGGAACCATGTAAAGGACTACGTCGCGCAAAAAGCAAATTCTCTAGACATCTCCATATGTTAGACAGACGAGATATCGACTTTTGTTACAACCTTTAATGCAGCAGAGGTTCTACCACGCTTTCAGCAGCTTGTGTTCTATGCAACAAACTCACAATATATCGGCCTTTCACTACCAAGAACATATACACGAGCATAGCAGTGTGTGACCTTCCACATTCTCCCTTCTACTGCTGGCTTGTTTTGTCCCTGCCAATCCCTCTAACGAGTCGAGTGAGTAAGACCCACTCCAGCTATTGTATGCTGCGCATACAGTATGTTCTTGCCGAAGCACAGATGGGCAGATCTACGAGGCAGTAGTACTGTCATCGAACAGACCCATCTCACATACTCTGCGCCCTGCGCTTCAAGTCATTGGGTTCCGCTCCTGCATGTCGAAGCATTCTGCAGCAACTGCGGAGCGAGTACCGCCGTACGAATTGTAACTAACCTACGCGCTAAGGGTGTTCTTCCTCCTGCCCCGGAGTACTGACAAGACAGAGAACAAGATACGTCTTTACGATGCGAAGTCGCTGCTGGATAATTGTATCTCAGATGAAATGAGCTTCTTTGTAGTGACTAATCCGGGCGGTCGAGATAAGCAATTCCAACGTTACGGAAGCGTCCGCTGTTGCATTCCCGTAAGCCAACGGTATGGTTTGTTCAGCGATTTATGCGTAAGGATTCGTGAGATCGTCGCGTGGGTGCGGTTGGTAAGGGATTGCGGTACTTGCGGTCGGCAGATTGACGAGTGCGGCGAGGTAAGGTTCAAGCAGCGCAGCCGTTGTTCAGGAATTGAGTGACCGTTGGAGTAAGCCCTGTGCTCGTTCTTAGTCTTGCTCATCAACTAAGTCATACATCATATTAGTACGACTTATGCATACCCTATAGAACCTAGACGGTGCGCATGGGTCCCGTACTTACAAGACTTTGGAGGCGATGTGTGCGCACCTTGAAACGAAAGATGCGGAAGACGCGGTATGAAGATTAGAATCGAACCCAGGTATGGTGTGACATTCATGTGAGAGGTCTCGTTGCGTCTTTCACACGTAACAAGAAGCTGACCAAACAATCGACGCGCCTTGCCGGTGGCCTTGATCGGCTTCCGGGCACCGCAAGCGTCGGAGCTCTACACATACCCCAGATGCCACATCCACCTCTGCGTCCAGGCAAGGCTGGGTTGCTTGTTGAGTTCTGCGTACGGAACCCCGGACACCATAGGATCCGAGGGTCACTTCTGTTTATGGACTCACAGGCATCATGCCCTCTAGCGTGCATGTAGAAAGAGAAGTGGATGCCACTATGGAGGTGTCCGATCTCCTTTCATGGAGACCCCACGGCTAGGGCGAGTCCCTTGCGATCGGTAGAGTGCATGGTCCACCTTGCGAGCAGCAACGGGCCTCGACTTTTACCGGCGAATTCTCAAAATCCTTCAACCTCCTTCTGGGCGGAGATTTAACAGGCCTGTTAAGCGAGATTGGAGGCTTTTCTGGCACACAACAGCGTCACCAGGACAGAATCCGAAGAGGCGGATGTGGACGGCGATGAGTTTATCTTGCTATGTATTGGCAGACTCCTGTGAGATGTTGGAATTGATTGGCTTTGGTAACACCGACAAACGAATACTGTTCCACTGGAGATTTCGAAATAGTAGACCGTTGGCCCAGACGATCCCGCTATCACTTCTCAGCACAACGGCGATCATCATCACCGTATCTTTACCCTTGCTCTCGCTTCTTCCGAATATTGTTTCACCGGTCAGATCTCTGACTCGCAATGACAGGTCCGGTTTAGTGGCACGTCCTCCGAGGACCGCGGTGTCCCGCCGCAAAAAGCAATGTACGCCTGCGATCGTGAGATGCTTAAGGGCAGCCGGAGGAGGCGCCTTGGACGCCCTGATGGTTCGACGGTGTGGTTTGATGTTGGCTAGTCGTTGCAGTGGGCTGTTGTTGTTGTTGTGTTGGAGGCCTATTCGAAGAGTCGTGATAGAGGATTGACGCAGCCTCGTGCGCTTCATGCGCCTGTCGCATGTCCTTTTCTCGCTTTGCGCACTTATCTGCGTATGTATTGCCCTTCTCCAAAGCTGTGCGGTAGTCTCAGTATGGATCCAAGAGTGTGTTTGAGAAGAATGAGGTATCCGTACCATCCTTGTGCCATACGATCGTAGAGTCGTGTGGCTGTGTGTTGAAGGACATCGTCCCTTTATCGAGCTAGTTGAATTTGATAAAGTTCTTGTAATACGAATTACTGAAGGCTGGACAACTTGAGAGGGGGGGCTAATCCAAAGGTTTATAGTCTGACGATGTGCGTTACCTGTCCGCCCAAGAAGACTAGTTGTGCGAGTTCTACGTGAAATTTCGATACGCGCAGGCGGCATGCATGGCCGGTCAGCCTCAAGCAGTCAAGGCACGATGCTCCGTCCCGCAATAGCTCCGAGTGGTCTCGCGACCAGCCAACGCAAAGTGTCTTCTTCATAGTCCAGGGCTTCTGCGCGGCAATAGCAAAGGCTCCGGAGACTGCTTCGACTTCGCATCGTCTCAACGCTCAATGCCTTCGTACCACTCAACAGCCACCGCTCTAGCTTGGCAGCTAGTCACTGAACGCAATCTAGTCGTTCCGTACCCACGTGCGTTGGGACTCCGAACTTTGCAGTGCACTGTCTGTGTGCCATTTCCCTTCGGTATTGGTAAAATATTACCATGGCGGCCAATGTAGGTCTAGCGCATAATACCCTAGGCTGAAATAGGCCGCAACTCAACTCCAATCGGATTCCTGCCTGGTCCGAATGTTGCTAGTTGGATAGCTCAGATAACATATCGTTGTGACCTAGCAGTACTTATTAGTTCTATGTTTCGAGAAGTTAGCAAAGTCTGTGTAATACGGCCTCCGGTGATAACTGCCAGCACCGCGCCAGTACGTACTCTTGCATGGTGACCATGCCCAGATCGATACATACCCTGCTGCATGCGGTATATTTGCTCAACGCGTAGCGGTCTGGATCGATTGACGTTGTTCGGGATTGTCGTTGAGCAGCAACGTCACAAGTACGGCACATACCCTACATCATAAATAAGTCTTCAAAAGAGAGATAGAGGTTCTACATACGTCGCAAGCATAGATATGAACTGCTGATTACGAAACGACAGACTACAAGCCGTTATGGTTACGGATGTAATAACAACCCCTGCGATGCTGGACGCACGTCCAGCTGTGAAATACAAGGACGTGACGGCCGCATATATGAGCAACGAGGCTGTGAGATTCCCGATCGTTAATGTTATTACCTCAATTCTGTGCTCGCTGAAATTGCGGCATCCAAAGATGTCCAGGGGTTTTTTGGACCAGGTCAAGAGCACCCAGAGCCAGTCTGGAAAGTACGGAGCCCACGAGACAAATTTATCCCGGAAAAACCTACTTATCGTACTGGGACTTGATCGATCTACGACCTGATATATGTCAGATGCATGGCCCTCGGGATCATTCTGAGAGCCCCAAATCGCAGCATCAAGTCCCAAAAGATCATTCCGGTCTAAGAAAACCTGGAAGTCACGAAGCTCCGCAGCATCGTAGCCTTTACCAGCAAGGCGATTGAATCTTAGAAGGGCCTCCTCTGTGTTTGGTCAATCTACGTCGACTGCAGCAATGATCTGCTTACCATATTCCCTCAATTCATTCTGGAGCTTCTCATATAGTCTGCCCTGGGTCTTTTCTCGAACGATGACAGGTGTGTTGTATTCTGCGTCGATACGGGCAAAATTCTTCAAGAAGTCCGGATCGAACTGAGCATCGCGATCTTCAAGATGCAAGAGGTCTTTCTCCATCCCCATCAACCTATGCTGACGATAGAGCAGAAGGCGGATCGCAAGCGCGGAAAATCTTCGCAGATGTAGATATCTGGTGTGTTGCGATAAAAAGAAGGCGAGCCTGGGATAACCCTCATTGTGTAGTGTTGGATGATTGCCTGGGTTCGCTACGGCTCGTGGTGCCGAGGCGGGTGTTTGCTGCAATGTCGCGTAATTGGCTACGGACGCCATTTCCCCGACGAACTGGAGAGAATAATTACGACTTTTGGAGATCCGAGGAATGAAGAAAAGCCGAGAAAGTGGTTGGGATGCGAAAACAGATTCGCCAAGAGACAAGATCTTGCTAGGAAACGATAAGAAAAGTGCACGTCTGGAGAGATGCTAAGACAGTACTAGATAATACTGCCCAAAAGCCTGAAAGTAACAAAAGATGTAGATCGAACTTCGCTGAGTGGGTTTGGGTCGACGCGCCTCTGCAGTATTGGAATCCAACGTCGCGCTGTAAGGCTATATACCCAGCGAGCCACAAAGATAAACTGCATTATCTGCGTAAATGTTCGCCTGTCAGATGCTAATGTAGTCAGCTTTGGAAGCATGAAGACAAAAGAAACCGTCGCTGTGATGCTCAGCATTCGTCAGAATTCGGTCCCCGGACGATCCACAAAAGAGGTGTGGTGCTTAACTCGCGCTTATCGACAAGTTGTCTCGGGCTGCAGCAATGAACGGTGTTTGCTGATTTGATTTTCGTAGCTTAGGTGCGGGGGCAGACGCCCATATAGCTGCAGTCAAAGCTTCAAGGGTGGTGGAGTTGCAAAGCCACTGGCAGAAGGCCTGCGCCCCCGACATCAAGGAGGAATCTGTGCAACCACAACATTAATTGAAACCCAACAAGACGACAGACACAACGTGTATATTCAACACATGCTGAGAATTGAAGCGCCGTGAAGGTCATATGTGTTCTCCCTATGGCAAGCGCAGCTCGCTTCTGAAGATGATGGATGGCTGCGGTAGGTGTCCGGAGTTTCTGGTAGGAATTCCAAGGATAAATAGAACGTTTCTCGCCGGCTCTAAACGTGAGACAGTGAAGCCTGCGATATGAGGGGGTATGGCGAGCGCAGGGACGGCGGTAGCCCACTAACTGCTCATCATCGACACCGAGGATGTGAAGTTGCAGGCGCCGTTCGAGATAATAATGGAAAGCTCGATGTGATGTCGCCAGACCATCTGTACGCTACTAGTGGGTATCTAAGTAGACATGTGAGTATTTGCAAACTCGTGGTGGCCGATTTGCCAATAGACGGCAACTAGCATGCGAAGAACGAATGATGTGCAGCGAATGTGGAAGAAACGCAGTCATAACTGAGCTGCAAGAAATGGTGTTGGGGTTGGTCTACTCTTCGAAGCAGTTGCACTAGCACTGAGTGCTGGGCGGTACGCTAAGGCGGAACGAATCTTCATTCGGGCTATCGATCGTCTCATTGCAGGCACGCCCTTGACATCGGGCAATTTAGCAGCATGGTCGAAGTTTAAACAAAAGAGATACGCAAACAACAAAATCGTATTGGCGTCCACTCCTGCATATCGGTTTCCTTCTGGAAGAGAAATCCAAAGCCTCCACCACGATCTGATTTGATGTAGTTCACATGTAATATAGCGATGAAACGCTATCACATTCATCAAGTTCGTTGACAGGAGGTTAACGTCGATCAAAAAATGGTTGTCAAGCCTGTCGCGAGCAGTTGTCCTGAAGAATAACATAGTAGTAATACTTTATACCGTACCCGTTATGTCGGCTCACGCCCTGACCCTACTGTGCTTTCTCGTCGTGACCATCATCCTAAAATCATCTGTGTACATCTGCCTCTTGGACTCCAACTCGGGTGTCAGACCGATATCACTAGGGACCACTCACGTCGAAGCCCCGACTACTTAGCGCTTAATACTAGGACTGAGCCTGGGGGTATCATTATCCTTTCTGTCTCTCTTACTCTTCGGCTTGAACCCAGCACACGCTTGGTGCCATGTTCAGTCGCCGCATAGAACGAGTGCGTTTGGCATCATCCTGGAGCTTCAACAAGCAGAGGATTAGCCGTTCAATAATCTCCTCGTCCCCTGCCACCTCTGCCCCTTCCTCTTCCACGCTTCTTGCGGTCCCAGTTGCCCCTGAAACCGCGGCCACCTTGATGACCGTTCCTCTCGTCACGCTCACAGTCCTCCTCCTCTCTTCTCATCATCTCTCGTTCGCGCTCTATTCGCTCGGCCTCGAGCTCCTCGGGGCTCTTTTCCACACGGACCTCAGGCTTCTTGAGGTCGGCAGGAAACCTCGGGTGTGCGCCGTACTTGCAGTTCTTGCCCTCGGGACAGAAGCCGCAGAGGTAGAAGGGACAAAGCTTCTCCTTCTTGTTGTGTTTGAGCGCGCAGTATGGCCCAAGCGGACAGAAGCCTCTATCGTAGTGTGGGCATGAGGGGCGCTTGGCCTCGGGGTCGATGTGTAGGTAGAGACAGTCGTCTCCGTTGGAGCACGTCTGTGTCCGGGCGTAGTAGGAGCACTCGGGCATTCGTCGTAGGTTGTACTCGTGAAGGAACTCGCATGTTTCGCCTTTCTTGCATAGGCCACGCAACCAATGCTTGCATACTAGACTGAGCCGTGTTAGCTTAAGAGGTGGTATATGCTTTACCACTAGATTCACATACTTGTTATAGGATGAAGAGACATTATGTTTGTTTGGGCACCTATTGCCATCTGGGCAGTGACCCTGGAGGTATGCCTTGCATACCGGACGGTCAGGGCTAAGGCCAAAGCGATATTCGCGTCGCAGAAACTCGCTGAACTTGAACGTGTATTGTGGTTGCTGGCTTTCCACGGGTTTCGGTTCGGATGCTGGCGTTGGGGCGGAGTTCATAACCTCGGTCATGGTGGCGCGTTGTAGACGGATACGCTTCAGCCGTCTTATAGAAGTGAGCGCTACACGATGTGTATAGAGAGAGTAAAATTGTGGCTCTACGCTGTTGATGTGACGTCGCAAACGCTAGAAGATGCGCAGCATCACTGCCAAGATCCAAGGACGCGAGTTCACGTGGACGCTAAGAGAAGATGCGGACTTCCAAGGTTCTTTGTTCGACACGGCGATTACCGTCTACTCCCGTATCCACAACTGCACCTTGCCAGAAACGTCTTACATGGCGGCTACATCCCGCTTGATTTTGACTTACCCTGATCTACCCACTGCATCTGCATTTCCAACGTGCCGTCGAACCGATGTTTACAGCTGATGCAACCCTGGAACCCCACGCATGGAGACGCTCTTCCATGTTTGCTTCACTATTCACGGCCCGTCGATACGCTTTGCAACATGTGAGCGTCTTCATCGATGTGTTCGCAGCCAGCCATGATCGTTTCCGGATTTTCATTCCATGCGGGGCTGGTTTTGCATTCGGTCACTACTCCTGCAACATGGTGTCTGATGCTTCTTGGCTACTACCTAGGTATCTTTCTAGCCGATTTCGCGATGCCTTCTCCCCACAATGTCCGGAAGAACGTTTCTGGTCGTGTAATTAGCAGTCAGTATCCTACCTGTCACTCTGCAACCCACTGAGAAGCCATTTCGGCTCAGCACTGATCTTGCTTTAACAATCATCTTCGCGTTACCATAATCTTGCATGGGGTAGAGTCGAACCATTTCGGGTGGATTCGAGCAGTTTGCTCTTGAAGCACTAGGGTCCACATTACGACGCCGGAATATTCAGGAAACTGCAGCTTCGTTCGCACCCCAGGCCTGCCTCCTACGATCAATGATGCTTGGTGGCACAACCTTAGTGTGAATCCGTAGCTCATCAGTTGCCAAACTGGGCTTCACCGTCTAATCTGTAGTAGAGCCGCTATAGCAAGTCACGCATAAGAGCCTTCGTTCGTTCTAGGATGGCTGCGCGGTACTTTGGCCTTGAGGCGATCATCAAAGACATTGCATCACCGATGGCTTCTGGCGCCACTATTGATAGCCTTCCATTTATATTTACATACAAGCAGGATGTGTTCCAGAATTGTTGTCGACTACCTGAAGTCATTTATTCGCCTTCCTTCTCAATCATCTTCCAAGTTGCACAGATAATCGGTACATGTAGCTCCTGCCATTGTACTACATGCACACCTATCCGATCCTCATTACCAAGGCCATACCTCAAGCCCTAACACGACAAAGAGCTTCCGATATCCGTTCAGCCTTCACCCTTTACGATCCGGCTGCCGGCCTTTACCTGCAGGGTGTTCTGACGTGCAGGAAGCTAGCCACAGCTAAGCCATAGCTTACGACGACCGAAAATGAGCCGACACTACTTCAACCCACCTGATCACGACACCACCTTTTCCACACCGCTGCAAGCTATGTATTGGAACGGAGTTTACTATCCTAACTGGCGCATCTATCGCGATCAGCCACCTGTATCGCTGAACTACGATGTCATTTCGCATGTCTTCTACGCCTTTGCCTGGTACGCTAATGACTGGAGATGGTTACTGAATACATGGACTAACATGTCAACAGGGTAAAAGACGATGGAACTGTATATGTAGGTACATCAGGTGTATCCAAGGTTCCCTAACTGACTCACTCTACAGCTAAGTGATGAATGGGCGGATGCTCAAATCGATGTCCCAGGCACTGACGACATTCCTGCAGCAAAAGGATGTCTTAACTCTTTCGCCCTGTTGAAGCGAAAGTATACCCGACTACGGGTTGTGCTATCTGTTGGCGGCGGTGGGAAAGGCAGTGAGCCTTTTGCGGGTGTTGCTAGAGACCCTGCCTGCCGTGAGCGTTTTGCTCAGACATCATTGGCATTGGTACAACAATTTGGTATCGATGGCATCGACAGTCAGTATATTGATTCAGAATGGCGATATTTTTACTGAACAGGCAACAGTCGACTGGGAACACCCTGCAGATGCCAGCCAAGGCAGGGATTACATTGCTCTTCTGGCCACACTCCGTCAGTACTTGCCGGCGCCCCAATACACCCTCTCCTCAGCACTTCCAGCAGGCGAATGGGCCCTTCAGCATATCAACCTGGCGCACGCTTCGCATTATCTGGACATGATCAACCTCATGGCTTATGACTACAGCGGGCCTTGGGTGAAAAAGTGTGGTCATCAAGCTCAACTATTCACACCACACATTCCGCACAGTCCCGAAGCCGCAATATCCTGCCACTCAGCTGTCTCCTACATGATGCAGCAAGGTGTCCCAAGACACAAGATCGTCATGGGTGTGCCAGCATACGGCCGAAGTTTCACCGGAACCCGTGGTATAGGTCACTCGTTCTCCGGACAAGCAGGAGAGGAGGGCACCTTCGAGTACCGAGACTTGCCCCGTCCGGGTGCGGAAGAGCACGTAGACGAGCAGCTGGGCGCAGCCTACTGTATTGGTGGTGACGGAGGGCTAGTCACATACGATACCCCGCAAACTGTCAGAATGAAGGCCAACTATGTGCGACAAAACGGACTAGGTGGACTCTTCTATTGGACCGGTACAGGCGACGCAAGCTCCCTCACTCAGAAGGATCGCAGTCTGGTGTATAATGGCTTCCTAGGTCTGTTCCCGCAATAGAAGCTACGTGGCTGTAACTTGAGATTAGGTAGCATCCAAACATATTGATGCGTCCTGTTGTGTCTGAAAGCTGCTGTTTGTGCTCCGTGTGTGTTCGGTGGTGATGTTGCCCTACGCAAGGGCTACTGTAGCGCGACGAGCTTGGACCCTCAGACCCTTGATTGAGGGCTGGGGTGCGTGGGATGTTGTCTCGTTGCAGCATGAAGAAGATCGCAGTATTGCCGATAACACCACGTCGCACATAGTGCTTCCCGAAGAATACGAGACGTGCCTCTCTTCGCCTTGGACCCTGAACGTGCCTTGTCCGCCGCTGCAACGATTGCAACCGTGTACCGCGGGCGCATGCGATTGATGCGGACTCCCGCCGAACCACATGCCTGCACCTTCCACCTCGCTGGAATCTAGTACGCCGTCCCAAGGTCAATCACAGGCATGGATCCGGCGCTGACGCTCAATGCAGCTGACTACGATCCCATCGACCATCTCAACGCCCTCTTCTCCCACCCCGCCACGCTCTCTTCCGTCTCTGCCACCTCCGACGCCCTTCGCAACTACCAGGATGACCTTGACCAAGACATTGCCGGCGTTGTCGCCTCCCAGTCTAGCTCAGACGCCGACAGCGTCCAGCGTATACAGGCTGCAAAGGCAGAGCTGGCTGATCTCTTCAAGAAGATTGAGAGCGTCCGGGAGCGGGCCATGCAGACCGAACAGACCATCACCGAGATGACTGCAGACATCAAGCGTTTGGATAGCACAAAGAAGAACCTGACGCTCTCTATGACGGCGTTGAAGCGACTCCAGATGTTGACGACGGCCTACGAACAATTACGGAGTCTGAGCAAGTCGCGACAGTACAGGGAATGCGCACAACTGTTGCAGGCTGTGATACAACTTGTGGCACACTTCAAGAGTTATCGCTCTATAGACCAGATTGCGACCTTGAGTCGCAATGTGGCGGACGTGCAGGGCGAATTGCTGGAGCAGGTCTGCGAGGATTTCGAGGTGACATTCGCCAAGGGGGAAACGGCGTCACGAAAGGCCATGCTCGCGGAAGCCTGTCTGGTTATCGATGCGCTCGGGGAACATGCTCGCACCCGGCTCATCAACTGGTATTGCAACACGCAGCTGCGCGAGTATCGCCAGGTCTTCCGGGGCAACGATGAAGTGAGCCACCCATGTTCGCTCATGGTGATAGCACGCTAATGGTACCAGGCTGGATCATTAGACAATATTGGACGAAGATACAGCTGGTTCAACCGGATGATGAAGACATACGACGTCGAACATGCCTCCATCTTCCCGGCCTATTGGCGGGTGAATGAGATGCTGGCCAACTCGTTTTGCGAAGGAACCCGTGAAGACTTCAAGTCCATATTACAAAAGTCTGTGCGGAGAGGCGATGGGCAGAGTTTGGATGTCGAACTGCTTCTTTCGTGCTTGCAGGAGACACTTGACTTTGAACACAGTTTAGAAAGGCGGTTCGCTAATGAGGTTTGTGAAGACGGGCTATCATATCGAACTACATGCTTACTTTGTGCAGTCTCGCTCTTCAATGGACACAGTAGCCTCCAAGGACGACCGACCGCATGGCTTTAGTCAGGCCATCTCCGAGGCTTTTGAACCCTACATGAGCCTCTGGGTCGAATCCCAAGACAAGTATGTTACACACACTTACCTGGTCATCACGAGACTGACTTTGTAGGCAACTCGCCAATCTCATACCAAAGTACCGGCAACAACCCCTCCGAAACCCAGAAGAGGATTTCTCCCCTCAAGCTGTGATACCCTCATCAACAGAGCTGTTCCAATTCTATCGTTTGACGTTGGCACAGTGCGCTAAGCTTTCGACTGGAACGAGGTTACAGGAGCTATCCATGACCTTTGCCAAGTACCTGGATCAGTACGGGCAACAGGTGCTCTACTACTTTCTTAGCGAGAAAGCAGGAGCTCAAGGACCTTCCGTCGAAGACGCTGTCCTCATCCTCAACACTGCAGATTATTGCTATATGACCTGCAACCAACTGGAGGAGAAGATCAGAGGCCGCATAGACGAGGACTTTAAGGAAAAGGTTGATTTGCAGAGTCAGGCTGATGCCTTCATGGGTATCGCTAGTGCCACAGTCCGAATGCTCGTTCGAAAAGTCGAGATGGCGTGCGAACCTAGCTGGAGGGAGATGCGAAACACACCTTGGGCAAAGCTCGAGAGTGTTGGCGACCAAAGTAGTTATGTGGCTGAACTTTTGCGTAGCGTAAAGGAAAGATCTGGAGAGATCCTGAAGCATCTCCACAAGCAGCAGTATGCGCGAGCTTTCAGCGACAACCTTGTCGATCTTATGGCTTCCACGTACATTGCGAACATAATGCAGTGCAAGCCAATCTCCGAAGTTGGAGCGGAGCAGATGCTGCTGGATTCCTACGTGCTAAAGAAGGGTTTCACGGAGCTCCCTACCCTCAATGAGGAGCCTGGTACAGCGCCACCAGCAAGGTATGTTACTCAAGTCAGTTCCGAGTCGCGCCGACGCACTACTAACTATGCCAAAGCTTCATCAAACGCGTAAATCAGTCCATGTCCAAGATCGATCCTCTTCTCAAAACGTTGCAAGTTCGTCCTTCGCCGCCAGAAGCCCTCGTGCAAGCCTACCTTATCCATATTGCCGACAAATCCGACACCAACTTCCGCAAGATTCTTGATCTCAAGGGCATCCGCAAGGCTGAGCAAACTCAGCTTCTCGACCTCTTCTCTGCCTTTCGTGCATCGCCCAACCACGAAAACCTCGTGCAGAACTCGCCTTTCCTTACGCCACTGCAGATTCAGACAGCAGGTAGCGTTGGAAGTACGGCAGGAAGCGTCATGGGCACGATGGGAACGCCGAGTCTTGGTGGGGGCAGATTCGACGCAGCAGGCTTGGGTAACATGCTCGTCAATGCTGCAAGGGATGGTGTTGATCGATTCGGTAGTCCTGCGCCGGGCCAGCAGCAGGCCGGAGGTGCGGATGGAGGTGCGAACCTGGAGAGTAATTTGAAGAATATTGGCAAGTTCTTCAGGAGGGATGTGGGAGGGTTCAGAGGATTTGGACGGAGTGAGGACGGACGATAGACGAAGTTGAGAGTGATATGCGCCATTACAGTTGGGCAGAAGATTGAAGCAGCAATAGACTTACATCAAACGCTCATGATCTTAACACGATCGGGGTATCATAGTTCAATAGTTCATGTTCCGCATCCGGTCCCCGAGTCGGCAACTTCAAGAGGAAACGAACAAACCATCATCACTTTGCTCTTCCTCCCTCCCCGGATCTCTCATGTAAACATCATCACGTCCAATCAGCCCGTCCCCGTCACTTATCACCATGGCCTCTCTTCGTCTCCTCCTCAACTCATCCTGAGAGCCACCGCCCATTCTAGGCTGGACGACATCCCACCTGAACCCATGGTTTGGCAACAGGGAGTCGTCTCTCCAGACACCCATGTCGCCTAACAGATTGAAGGCCAACTGCGCGCGATGCAACACCTCTCCATCTGCACAGTACAGATCCTTGATGAGCAGGTCTTTGGCGGACTTGGAAGCGTAGAATCGCGTGCAGAGGATCTTTGTAGCCGAGGCGCGGATATCGTTGTTGTGGCTTGTCGCCAGTGTCAAGAGAGAACTTGTCTTGATGGCATCTTCTTGGTGAGTGGGCGGGCCGGAGGGGATGGTGCAACGTTGTTGCGGGATGTTCTGTGGGTTTCGGATCTCGGTGAGGGTGCGCATGTTTTGGAGGCCGTGGGAGACTTGCTGGACGGCTATGAATGTGAAGACGCCTGGAAGATGGGTTAGTGGGGCTGGGTTAGTCGATGGTGAGAGGGGTCTGTACCGAGGCCGAGCCAGAGCCAGTGGTCGGGTATGCTGGATGCCATAGCGAGGTGTATTTGGTCATGGCGTGAGGCATATGGCGACGAGGCTTGGAGACATGCTGCCGTCGTGAGTGCACTTGCGCCGTGACGGCCGTCGCGCGTGAAAGTGGGGAGCGGGCTGCAGGGATGTGGCGCTAGACAGGGGCCATCCATGCCGAAATCTTGGTCTGGGAAATAATTTCAAGCCGACCATCTCGTGTCGTCCACGAGCTCTCTCAGCGCCGAATATCCCATTCATAGGTCCCCAGGCCTCGACATAGCTACAGACATGCCGCCCTCACAGCTAAAGCGGCTAAAGGCCTCGCTCCGCGAACAAGGCATTACCGGTCCGCAGAAATCCAAGAAGCAGAAGAAGTCGCAATCCAAGAACGCCGACCACCACGAACGGAAAGCCTCTGCGCTCGCCTCGATTCGCGAATCTTTCAATCCTTTCGAGTTTAAGCACCTTGCGCGCCCCCACAAGCATGAGTATGTCTCTGCGCAGGCCGAGAATGCTCCCAAGAAGATCCTCGGTAGACCCGGTGTTACCAAGAGCGCAGGCGAGGAGGCACGTAGGAAGTCGCTGCTTCCAGAGATGCATCGCAAGAACAAGGTCGGAGGTATCCTCGATAGGCGAATAGGTGAAGATGACCCGACAATGAGCCTGGAGGACCGTGAGATGGCGCGCTTTGAGAGGGAACAACAGCGCAAGAGGGGCGGAAATATGTTTGACCTTGAGGATGATGCTGACGAGGTTGAGCTCACCCACGGTGGACAGTCTCTCCGTTTCGACGATGAGATTGGAGAGGAAGACTATGATGCGGCAAGCATTGCTGGGTCAAGTGACGGCGAAGATGGCTTCCTGAAGAAGAAGAGGCGGAGAGACGATGAAGACGGCGACGCGGATGGCGATGCGGCTGCGGATCAGCCAGAGAGGAAGAAAAGCAAGGCAGAGGTCATGAAGGAGGTCGTGGCCAAGTCGAAGCAGCATAAATACGAGCGTCAAGCACAGAAAGAGGACGACGATGAGCTACGAGACGAGCTTGACAAGGACCTCAATGACGTGTTGGCCGCTCTGCGGGGACACATCAACAAGAAGCCCGAGCCCGAGAAGCCCAAGGACACCCAGGTCAACGAATTTGGCATGAACGCCGACCGTGCTGCACTTCTAGCTGGAGCCACACAGCAAGACAAGGACAGAGAGTACGATACACGTGTGCGCCAACTGATGCAAGATTCGCGAGCGAAGCCGACAGAACGAACAAAGACGGAAGAAGAGAAGGCTAGAGAAGAGGCAGATCGCTTGAAGCAACTTGAACAGAAGCGCATGAAGAGAATGCACGGAGAGCCTGTCAGCGATGACGAAGAACCACGCAAAAACGGTGTCGAGGAGCTTGATGAAAACGAAGATGACGACAGCCTACCAGACGACGCCGCCGAGTTCGGACTAAAAGCGCCAGGCCAACTGAGACCCGACGGCGTTGAAGACGAGGACGACTTCATCATGGACGATGACCTCGTTGCTACCGACTCAGAAGCCGACATGTCCGACGATGAGTCTGATCTTGGCTCTGCAATCGACGACACAATGGCCATGGACGAGGAGGACGCAGACTTCTTGAAGCACGTTATGCCGGAGCGGAAAGAGCAACCCAAGGCTGTCAATGGCGTCCTTACTCTCGGTGTTGAGCCTTCGTCCAAATTGGCGTTTACTTATAAATGTCCGCGGACTCACGAAGAGTTACTGAGTGTCTTCAAGGATGTTACTCCCAACGATACCTCCACTGTCATCCAGAGGATACGTGCGCTCTACCATGCTGGGCTGCATTCGGACAACAAGAACAAGCTTGCCGACTTCGCTTGTGCGCTCATCGATCATGTCTCCTACCTATCAAACCAGACGCCAGCTGTGTCCTTGGCTGTGATTGAAGCGATCGTCCGTCATATCCATTCCATGTCGCGGTCATACCCTGTGCAGATTGCTACCAAATTCCGAGAACATTTGAAGCAGCTTCAGGTTTCGAACGACCCAACATCAGGTGATCTGGCTCTACTTTCTGCTATTGGATCCATCTTCCCCACTTCCGATCACTTCCACCAGGTCGTCACTCCCGCCGTCACCCTCATGGCTCGCTGGATGGGACTTACCTCGCCTGCTTCTACTACAGATATTGCAACGGGTGCTTTCGTTGGTGCGCTATGTCTGCAATACCAAAGACTATCGAAGCGATACATTCCTGAGTTTGTACGCTATACTGGACTTGCCCTCAAATCAGAGCACGCCACGCCCGCCCTCCTGGCAGCGCACAGCAAGAACGTCATCACTGCCGCCGAACTCTGGAGTGCCTCATCCGCGTTCATCGAGATATTCAGCCCGCTACTTGCACCCCTCAAGTCCGCAAACCAGACGTCTACCTACCAGAATCTCCGTGCCCGCATATCCCTTGCACGCTCCAAACGGCGACCCCTTCTCCTACACCATCACCGTCCCCTACCCATCAAGTCCAGTATTCCCAAATTCGAAGAATCCTTCGATCCCAACCGCCACTATGACCCTGATAAGGAGCGCTCAGAGGCCAAGAAGCTGCAGAAGGAGTACAAGCGCGAGAGGAAAGGTGCACTCAGGGAGTTGCGCAAGGACGCCAACTTCATTGCGAGAGAGACGCTCAAGGAGAAGAAGGAGAAGGACAAAGCTTACGAGACCAAGTACCGGAGGCTTGTGGCAGAGATCCAGGGTGAAGAGGGCAGGGAGAAAAATGCTTATGATCGGGCGAAGAAGGCTAGGAAGAGGGGTTAGATGTGAAAGTGACTTTCAGCGAGTGAGTACTGCTGGGTGTCGCGCATTGGTACTGGCGCTGTCGAATGGATTCGTACTGAAGACAGCAGCATTGATGCATTAATCATCTGCTGCCACTTCGTGATGTTGGCGTATATCAGTCGACTACAAAATTATTTTTCTTGGCATCGTTTTTGAGCATTCGATCAATAACTTTGTGATTGTCGCCGTGATGTTCATATACCTTTAGTAACTTGATTGTGATGAATTCTATGGTTGATCGTAATTCAGGACTCACCTTGACCCTTATGCACCGCTTTCTCGTCAAGTAGAACCTATATTTGCCTCGTCTTATAAACATTGTCTGCTCACAACTCCCGTTGGCCTTCAAGCAAACCCCCCACACACCACTAGTCCTCTACTATTCACTACCTACCGATCACTGTTCACCAAATCAAGATCGGGATTATGATAGATGACTTCACACACCCCAGAAACGCAGCGATACGTGAAGCAATATACGCTTCCCCACGATGCAAGATCTGATGCTGATTACTACAGTATACTTTGCGACCAACGCAAGTCACTGCGTCTTAGCCTGCCGGCTGAGGGGTATGATGCATCTAAGCCGAAGGGAAAAGTTCGAGTCTTCTGGAGCAATGAGCTCGTTGAAAAATCAGGTGTATAGATTTAACAGTCCAGACTTTACATCTTACTTCTCGAGATCTCTGCATGCCGTTCCACTTGCAAAGACTGAAGCACTTCCTTATTTTATCAACAACAGCAATAGAAAAAAACTAGGAACGCTGAGATCGTAAGTCTTCTACTGTGCTGCAGTCTACAACAGCATATGATCAGGAAATGTAGTTAACTAATAACAATGCATTTTTTTGTTGTTAAGGATCATCGGTCCAGAGATGGCATATTCCTATTTCGCTCCATTGCAGTAGGTGAAGAATAGATCTCGGTGCTGTTTACTCGGCCAACCCTTGCAGAGAATTGCTGGGAGTGATCCTTTTTGATAGACGTTGTACATAGTAGACCCATGTAGGAGCGGGTCTCAAGCGGGCACGTCTACACGCGTTACAACATTGTAGCGTTCGCCTAGATTGGACGGACGGATTGATCCGACTCGACTCAGCACTGGATACTCTTGGTGGAGGTATCGTGTCGCGCAAATCTTTAAGGTGGGCAACCGTGTGGATGCGAATACGTAGGACTGAGGGTCAGCCAGGAGGGGAAGTCGGGGAGTGATGACGCCGAACGCGCGAGACTAGCTTGATGTAGATGCAGCACTTCTGTGGAAAGCAACCTATCCGTATCAACGGAAGGATTGAGCCTCAAACAGAGCAACAAAGTTAGCCACCCGCTCTTGAAATCCAGACACAAAGTATCGTGAAAACCCATTCAATGGTGCTGAGTTGGCGTATAGAATTGACAATGGCGGTATGCACCTCTTGTAACTTCGTTTCCTAAAAGGACGAGGACCCCACGTTGAATGGCGCCTGCTCGCTTAGTAAAGACCAGTTTTCCCCACGTGCGGCTGCCATCCTGCAAAGAACCTTAATTGAACCCACAAACTTCTCCTACGCAGCGGATCTAGTATCGGATCGATCACGGGCGCTTTGTGGTGTTCAGAAACGGTTGCCCTGGATTGGATGCAAGTTCCCGTCGAATCCAAGTGCCGTCTCAACGTATCCGCACAGCCGGCTTTCCCCAGAGCATGACGTCAGAACTGACTTTTCGACATCACGAAGGCGCTCAACAAAGACCCCCCGAATTTAGAAAATCCCCCCTCTTTTGATTGGAGGATACTACGTGCAAAGATATTGACGCACGTAATGTAGAGGCGTCGAGCTGGCTTCTGTGCTCAGCAGTATTGCAAATAGCAGAACGTCAAATGAGGTTGTAATCACGAATGCTCTAGAAGGATCCGTTTGTGCCAATTATGCCACAGCTCAACCATTCACCAAGCTCACTTGGCGTGCTCGCACACCGAAGTCGACATCTTTGCTCCCGAGCACGCAATTCAGGCCATACCTTTTTTATTGGGCACTAGGGCGAACCGTGAGCGACCATCACATCCTTCGCGCGCCATCCCTGTCGCCGCACCCGCATACCCTTGCAAGCTCGACCCATCTGCCATCAGATTGAAGCCGGTACCGCGGCGAAAAGCGTCACAGTCGCTTGAACTTCGTTAGATCTGATCGGCATATCAGGGCAGCATTATGTCACTTGTCAGAACCCTCCACCCGGGCGTTGCTTGGAAATACCCCCTACCTACCTCGAGCCCTCTACCATAGCAGTGGCCTTATTGCCTCGACATCTCCCCGACTGCGCGTCGACCAGTAGCCTACATCGGATCCCTTCAAAACCAATTCCGATCCAGTAACGGAAGCGATCACGCAATTTTCTGCCAGGTCAAGCAATTCGGAGGCGTCTTGAAGGCTTCGGTCCTTCCCACATTCAGTACACTCAAGCTTCCCAAGCTATCTCGACTTCGAAGCTCACAGGGCCGATCCTGCAGCCCAGACCGGCATCGCGACACTGCTATTCGCTCTGGAGAGACCGCGTGCGTTTCGCTCCAAGCCATCGATTGCTTGCGCTGTGCTTGTGCACGCCTCCCAGGCCGTTGGTCCTCATAGATAAACTTTCAGACGCCTGGCAACTCTTGTCCTTGCTTCTGAAGCTTATTCGGCCTTGTCGAACTTGGTACTGGATTTCAAGCACGTGGCCCTCCAAGTGCTGAACCAGTGCATTTTTGCTCGAACGCGTTGAAGAACTCCTACCCCAACGATGGCTTCTACAGCCAATAAAGTCGGCCACAGCCTGGCAAAGGTCTTAGGCATCGACCTGCACTACCGGAACGAAACTGGCTCAGAGCGCGTAACACGAGGCGAAAGCGTTTTCACCATCGACTCCGCAGATACATATGTTGAGGATGAACCTACTGCGAAAGAATGGATTCAAGACACTCTTCCCAGTGGACCCGAGTTCAGAGAATATTGCTACAGCTTGTTTCCGTTCCTTCATTGGATAGGTCGCTACAACGTACAATGGTTAATAGGTGACCTTGTCGCTGGTATGTCAAGCTATAGTTTGATTGTCTTGTATAGCTACTAACTTTCGCCAGGTATCACCGTGGGTGCTGTTGTCGTCCCCCAAGGTATGGCCTACGCAAAGCTTGCTGAGCTTCCTGTCGAATTCGGATTGTACTCTTCGTTCATGGGCGTCCTCATCTACTGGTTCTTCGCTACCTCCAAAGACATCACCATCGGACCCGTCGCAGTTCTATCCACAGTCACTGGCGGTGTTGTGCTGTCAGCGGAAGAGAAATTAGCCGGTCAGGGCATCTCACGAGACATGATCGCATCCTCGTTGGCCATCATCGCCGGATCAATCGTTCTCTTCTTGGGTCTTGTCCGTATGGGCTGGATTGTGGATCTCATCTCGTTGCCTGCAATCTCAGCGTTCATGACTGGTTCCGCGCTCAGTATCGCTGCTGGACAGTTTCCAACCATGATGGGTATCACAGGTTTCTCGACTAGGGATCCCACGTACAAAGTGGTGATCAACTCGCTCAAGTACCTTGGACGAACTAACCTTAACGCATCATTCGGCCTGACTTGCCTCTTCCTTCTCTATGCGATTCGTTTCACATGCGGTCAGCTCGCAAAGCGATTCCCTACCCGTGCGAAGCTGTTCTTCTTCATCAACACTTTGCGAACGGTGTTTGTTATTTTGCTGTACATTCTGTTCAGTTACCTAGCAAACCGAGAGCACAAAGCCAACGGAACTAAGCCAATTATTACCACTCTTGGAACTGTTCCACGAGGTAAGATGCTCCTTAATCTTGATCAGATACATCACTTACAACTTCAGGATTCCAACACGCTCGCGTACCCAAGGTCACAATCCCCATAATCAAGTCGTTCGCCACCGAATTACCGTCTACTGTCATCGTCCTGCTCATCGAGCATATCTCCATTGCCAAGTCGTTCGGACGAGTGAACAATTACGTCATCAACCCATCGCAAGAGCTCGTGGCCATCGGCGTGTCCAACTGCTTGGGACCCTTCTTAGGAGCATACCCCGCAACTGGTTCTTTCTCTCGCACTGCCATCAAGTCCAAGGCTGGGGTTCGCACGCCTTTCGCAGGTGTCATTACGGCCATCGTAGTGCTTCTCGCTATCTATGCACTTCCGGCTATGTTTTGGTACATTCCCAACGCCGCACTATCGGCAGTCATCATCCACGCAGTGCTTGACTTGATCACACCACCAAACACCGTGTACCAATTCTGGAGGATCTCACCACTTGAGGTCATCATTTTCTTCATTGGTGTTCTGGTTACAGTCTTTTCCAGCATCGAAAACGGTATCTACGTTACAGTTTCCGTATCGGCAGGCATGTTCGCTTTCCGTCTGTTCAAAGCCAAGGGTCGTTTTATGGGCAGAGCCAAGATTCACTCCGTTATCGGCGACCATCTGTTGGACCCGCATGAGGAAGACAAGATGCCATCGCCCGGTTTCAAGCAGAAACCAGCAGAGGGAGAGCACTCCATCCGTGAAGTCTTCTTGCCTATTGATCACAAGGATGGATCCAATCCAAGCATTCAGCTAGAGGACCCTTACCCAGGTATCTTCATCTACCGATTTAGCGAAGGCTTCAATTATCCAAACGCAAACCACTACCTCGATCAACTCACCGACATCATATTTGCGAAGACGCGTCGTACAAATCAAGCGACGTACAACAGACCCGGCGACCGCCCATGGAACGACCCTGGCCCTCGTGGAAAGGAGGCTCAAGTACAAGACGATCGACCTACGCTGAAAGCCATCATCCTCGATTTCTCATCTGTCAACAACGTCGATCTTACTTCAATCCAGAACCTGATTGATGTAAGGAATCAGCTTGACAAGTATGCGGCTCCAGACACAGTTGATTGGCACTTCTGCAACATCAACAACCGGTGGACCAAGCGCTCTCTTGCTGCAGCGGGTTTCGGTTACTACACTCCCGAGACGCCTGACAGCGGCATAGCGCACCGCTGGAAACCCATCTTCAGTGTCGCCGAGATCGGCGGTTCAGACTCGGCTGCTGCGCAAGCAGAAGCACGCGAGAACCTCCTCGCTCAACGCGCACTATCGCAAGTACGAAGTCACGATATCGAGGCAGCTCATCCAGAATCGGGTGACAGTTCGGAGACCGAAAGCATAACAAAGCAGTTGGAACACAGCAAGGCGTACGGACATGTAGAGGCTGGTGATGCTAGGCAGAGGGGCCGGATAGCGGTTGTTCAAGGGCTGAACAGACCGCTGTTCCATGTCGACGTAACGGCTGCGCTCAACAGTGCGTTGGCCAATGCGCAGAGAAAGAGTCACTAGATAATTTTGTGGTCTTTCGGTAGTGATAATGCGGCTTTCTTTCAGTATTTATATATATTGTCAGTACATAGAGATGATATCTATTGGCGCTCGGCTAATGGCCTAGAGTGTTTTTCGCGTTCAAGAAATAGTTTTATCATTTGCATGCATCGTGATGCAGGTGCGCAGTCTATTGATGGATGCCTAAGGTGCTGTTGCAGATTTAGCATTCACATTCAAGCTCGTTACCATCATAAATGTGAGAAAGCTTAGTAGAAGATGGTTTGTGACATTGTCATTCTATATAGACGATACTCGTGCTTCTGCTACGTGGGTATATGCACCGCATCATGCTCCATATACAAAAGAATCAACACCGTGTTATGCCCTGCCCTGAATCATTTTCTTTGCCTCGCTCCGTACAGTGAAAGCAAAGTCCCGCGCCTTGTAGTTATATCCGGGTGCTAGCCAGAGAGTGTCTGCGCATACTTGAAAGAACCGCTCTCTGCCATGCATACGTCCATGTCCCTGCTCCCTGAATTCCCGTTGCTAGGTATCTGATGCCGCAAACATCTAGTTGTACGCTTCAGCTGGCAAAGACTCTCGACTTTGTGCGAAGAGAGCGCCTGCTTGCTCGATGTTCCACTGGCCAGCTTCCAGACATTGAATGGCATAGTCGCGCTTGAGGTTGGTTTCGCGCTGAACATAGAGGATCATCTCTTCTTTTCTTTGCTGCTCCGGGTCGATAGTCGTTGGTATAGGTGTTGGTGTGGTGGATGATGGTATTTGATGTGCGTTTGCTGCGTTGTTCTTTGCCACTGCTGCGTCAGGTCGAACCTGATTGCCATTCAAAATTTTGAGTTTAGGAAACCAAGAGATGATCTCATCCTCCCAGTTGGGTGTTGGGAACGGGTCGACAATGAGGTGTTCGACGTTCCTGAAGCGGCCTTTCCAAGGCTTTAGCGCGTCCAGCGTCGCAAAAGCGTTGTTGCTGAGATCAAGGTTCTGGATGTGGCGGAAATGATTGCAGAGTTGGTAAACAGCGTGTGTATTTTGGAGGTTATTGCCGGCGAGTGTGACGCTGTGGATTGCTTGCTCTTTTGCTTCTAGCGTCTCAAGAATGGCATCGCAAACGATCATGAGGGCAGGGAAGAACTTCTTCTGTGCACCTTCTGAGGCAAACATGCCAGATTGGAGGATCTCTTGATCTCCGGCAATAGTCGAGAGGTTTAGTAATTTGTTGGCTGCATCGTAACGTCGTCCGAGGAAGCCTTCCATAAGCGCGTAGGATGGATTCGATTTCAGCTTTGCAAGCATGTCTTTGTCGACTAATGGTTCTCGTGAACGGTTTTCATGCTGGAAACTGTTTGGACCGCCCCTGAATCCTCCTCTTCCTCGTCCCCTTCCTCTGCCTCGTCCACGTGAGGAGTCACCATCAAGCATCATCTGATCGTCATCGTGGTTTTGTGGTGTGAAAGAAACGCTCCAGTTCCCGCGTCCTCGACCCCGGCCCCGCCCCCGTCCGCCTCTTGGTTGATCGTTCATTTTTAATCGGAGTACGTTGGTTGTGCTGTTGTAGAAGTGTAAGTGAGCAAGGCCGAGAAGGTGAAACCGTCTATAAAGACCGAGGGTCCGTGCGCCGCCAAGCCACGTTTTCTCGCCCTCTGGCAATCGTCATTGGTCTGACGTCGAAGGTTCCGTGGATCGTGACTACGGTTTACTGTTGTCGTGTCTTTACCTACACCTATTAGCTTGCACAGATAAACTCTACCTAATCACTAGTTGTTTGACTCTGGATCCACACAACAGCGGCCTCACACTTTCGCCCTTCGTAGCGTAGCTAGGCAGCAAGGCAACTAGGCAGCCACTGTGACGACAGCCTGAAGAAACTCAACCTGATCAGCACTACACTCGCTACATACCGCACTCCATAGTTCTTAAAACAAAGGCATCTAGGTACAGTTAACCAAAAGGTGATAGCAGAAGTAACATGATAGAAGGCAAGACGACTGGTTCATAGTATGACCGAAGGCGATGTTCACGTAAATAGGCGTTCCTTGTCAGATATTCGACCTAGATAATACAGGGTTTGTTCGGGGAGAATTTCCGTCCTTCTACACCTCTCCATACCCACGCCGCCCACGTCACTCTACCAGACATGTAAAGATGAGTCAAGTCTTTCCAGAGATAGCCTGCGACGCCCAAAACTCCGAACACGAACGCGCGTAAATGCAACAATGAGAGGGTCCATAGAAAGACTTTGAGGGGAAAATAGCCATCTACTGTGAATGGATCTTCTTAATCCTGTTCACACCCTCATACAGTGCCCGGTCCACGGCTGCAGCGACGGTGAGAGTACCACCAATTACGGCGCAGAGACCGACGAGGAAGCCAGAGAAAGTCTTCTCGCGGACTTCGCGATTTATGACCTTCATTGGTGAAATGTCCTGTGGCAGATATTAGTGATCAGATTTAGGGGTCAAGGGAAGGGAACCGCAAAACTCACATAAGAGAAGAAAACGCCGGGAATACCTCCCCTGGCATGGATTCTTTCCTTGTGACCCTCCTTCTCATCGGTACCACCCTGGAGACTCCTATGATGACTAGTAACAGAGTACTGGTGCGTCTCAATACTGCCCTTATATGTAGCATCAATCGTGGCGCCGAGCAGCTCATCTTGTTTACCGGGACGACTAATCTCCTTCTCCCAGCCGAGAGGCAGGTAAGCGGTCGACACGACCTTGATGAAGTACATGTAGTTGTATGCCTTCTCGTCGGTGTGCTGCTCGGTGTCATCGAGAGGATTGATGTGGTGGTTCGACCATCCACCGGCGGCTGAGCCTTGGTGTTTCCTCTGCATGTCTTGGACGACCATATCGCTGAGCTGAGGGCCAAAGCGAAGCTGGTGGACCCGATGGGTAAAGGTGTGCGCGTACTCATCCTTGAAGTAGTTCTCGAGATCGTGGACGTGCAGGTTGCCGTTGGAGAAGGACTTTCCAGGAGCAATGTGGAAGTTTCCGACGACCTTGTTGACACGGACACTGCCCTCAAGACGACATCCTTCCTGGCGTTGTTGATCGAGATGTTCGGCGTAGTGCTCTCTCTCGCATTGTTCGACTCCCTCTCCACGGCCAAAGGACCATGAGATCGAGGCATAAGCATCGCGGACTTCGTCGCAGGTGTTGCAACAGCCAGGTTTGATTGCGTTGGTGGGGGAAGGGGCGCCGTAACATTCGCCGCAGTAGTCGGGGGCCAGATGTGACGCTTCGTCAGCGTGCCTGGAGTCACTATCAGCACTCTGTTGCTTCTTGGACATGCTCCTCTATCCAAAGCACTCTACAGACTTACAGATCCAAAGCCTTGATGTCGATGACTTTGCTACCCTCCTTCTCAGGACTTAGTCGAACCTTGTTGATACCGTGCGTGACGCCCATTTGCAACTCGCCAGATACATCCATGACATCGAGAGTGAGTAGTTCGCATGGCACTCTTGGAAACGTTACGTTCAGGGCAATCTCCATGCGTTCGCCTCTGCCCTTATCGACCACCAATTCTGGCCGTACCGTTACTCTCCTGTAATCGGCCCACTCGCCCCACGTTAACCAAAAGACAACCAACAAGCTGACTATGGTGACAACCCCACCGGATGTTGTGCGCACGCGCGCATCTTCGACCGTCTTGGTAAAGGCATCGAGCCTCGTGAATCGCGATTTCGCGGGCATGTTGACGGGCTACCGCTGTAAAGTAGTTGAGATTGTGGGGTATTGCTATGACGAATTGTACCTTCTACCAGCGTGCTCTGCGATAGAAAGGGAGTCTCAAGGTAAGACGGCGGGGGTTGCAACCGAAAGTCGTTCGGGATATGGTAGGAGCTCGTGCCTGGAACGTGGAACCAAGTTCACGCGCACTGCAAACGCAATTGGCGTTTCTTCTGGGCAACGACGAGAGTGAATGAATGAGTGTTAGCACAATTCGTGCCAAAGCCGCACTATCATTGTACGAAGAAGGGAAATGGTGAGCAAGTTCAACGCGTGGACGCGGCAACGCTCCGGCTGAAACTAAAAGGACAGCTAACAGCATCTTGCGACCGAACACTAGCTCCGAGCGCTGCGCCGCGCTAGCGTGCTTCTGGTAGGTGCGCATTCCGAGCACGTGGATGCATTGAGCCGCCAACACCAGGACCTGATTAGCACATATGGGAGAGTGTTTTCAACATAACTGCACAGTGGCTCAAAATAATTTCATTACGTCTTGGAAGCGGTGACCAGAGAGCTCTATCATAACGCTGTTCGAGGGCGATCCGATCGGCGCTCTGCAACCAGAGAAGCATATAGATAGCCTATGAGGCGAGAACGTTCCTGAGCATGCTGTTGAAACCCTCGCTGAGCTTGTACAGCTCCACGATTGCCGGCTTTTTGGGTTCGCCAGCCTTTCTCCTAAGCTTCTCAGCAGCGCGCGCTCGGCTCTTGCGCTCGGCTTCGATTGGATCTGCTACATCTGTGTCGTCCATGTCTTCTGAGTCGGTCGAGTCGCTACCATCATCATCGAGTTCAAGGTCTTGGAGATCCATCTATATCCACATCAGTACATGAATGCAATGTTGTCAGAGCAAGAAACGTACCGCATTGAGTCCAAAGTCACTCGACTTGAAGCCAGCAATACCGCCCATAAGCGGGTCAGGATCGTCACCACCACTCGCCATCTTCTGTCTGGTCTTGTCTGAATGCCACTTCTTCCGCGCCATTTGCCACTTGATGAGACTGTTGATCTCGCGAATCGCCTTGTTCTTGTCGACCAAGTTTGAATCCATACCACCCTGGAAGAGTGCATTCATGTCGAGCTTGCCGCCACTTCCAGGCCCATGGCGTAGGAAATCCAATATACCCTCTAACCAGCCCATGAGCTGGTCAAAAAGACCATTGTCGTGTTTGTGGACCTCGTGAACGAACTTGTAGAAGTTACCCTCGTGACGAGCGCACAGATCGATAAAAGCTTGCACGGTTTGATTGGGGTCTGCAGAAACTTCTTGCCGTTGGCAAGCTTCAATTGTCTTAATGGTGTCATCGGCGAACATGGCAAAATCAGTAATACTGTTGTATACGTTCGCGGACTTGTAGACACGGACAAGTGGCTCGTAGAAAATGGTGAATAGATCTCGGAAGAGTTGGAGAGTCGTGGGCTAGAGAAACGTCAGTTATTCGTTCCAGATATCGCTCTCCTTTCCAGCTTACCTCTTCGATGATTTGTAACATCATCAACTTGTCTCTTTGTCTTAGGCAGAGCTTCAAGTACTGTTTCAGGTGCGCGAAGAGCTCAGCACCTGATCGCATCTCCTTTTCGACCTGGCCGGTCGCGTTAGTTGCTGTACTGACACTGCTGCGGCTGCTAGCTGTTCTACTGAGGCGGCGCGATCTCACATTTTCGACCGCGTTGTTCCATGCAACGTAGGCATTGAAAACCTTCTCCACTTGTTGCGAAGATAACTCTGGTTGGAAAAACTCAGAACGTAGTATAGTCACCACCACATCGACGTTATCGCGCGCAGCTTCCTGTCGTATCGCTTCCTTAACGCCCTCGTCTGCTTGTACGTATGCTTTGATCTTGTCGCAAAGCACGTCATCCTTGATCCTGGTAGAACCGAGTGTATCGATTGTCTTCTGCACAGAGTTGACACCATCATTGATGGCCATACCAAATATACGTTGGAGTAATGATCGAGCACCGAACGGTTGGGCAAGGAACAGATCCAGGACTCCACTCATGACTGCGGCAGGGTTGGCTATCCTAATGACGTTCTTGAGGACACCGTATGGAACGAGAGAGTGTATGCGCTTCGCTTGAGCAAATAGCTCGGGGGAGTTGTCTTCCGCTAGGAACAAATGGTAGATGGTAGCAGCCACTTCTATCCGTAACCACTCTGCGAACTTTTGGTACTCTGGCTTGAGCTCTGCGATCGTGTTCTTGACCCTGATCTCCTGGAATAAGTGGGAGAGTCCATTGGCTTCTACAATCTCTCTCCTGAACTTCTCCATGTGGATATCAAGCTCCGCTGCTCGCTTGCGTGCAACTTCGTAGAACTGCCTTTGCTCTTCTATGCGCTTCTTGTCCATCTCTTCTCGCCTTTGAATGTCTTCCATCTCCTCCTCGTTGACCTCTATGGGATCGCGTGTCAGAAATTCAGCCATGGCACTCGACTGGGCAATGCGCTCATTGTGTAGAAACGATCGGAGGAAGGCACGAAGAGAAACACGTTGTTCTTCCCTGTATAGTTTCCGAGGGGCCTTGTACGCCGAGTAGTCCGTCGAAGCCCTTGGCGAGCGTCTTCCTAGCGATGTTTGTGAGGCGTTTTTCTTGTGTCCACTACCAAAGATATAGCTGCGCAGACCACCACCACCACTATTCTCAGGTTCAGGAGGAGGTGGCCCTTGGGTAGATCCCGACGAGATAGAGCTTACATCATCGTCATCAACACTTGACTGTAGAAGCCCATCTTTTGCATTCTTTCGAGGTAACGGGGCGAGTACTTTGCCGGGAAGTTCGAGACGTATGCGCTTGTGTAATTGGACGAAGTCTGCGTATCGACGGCCAATATAGAAATCTTTGTCTCCATCGTGCTTTACTCGTATGAGGTACTCCTGCAAATGCAACATTAGACTCTGTCCGTTTTCAACTTGCATTTCTACTTGCCGCATGTGTGTGATACCGGAGATGTCTCTTCACGGAGGTTGTCCGGACACCTGAGACATTGACGTCCCAACCGTTGATAGAGTGGCCGCTCGGCGTGTTCATGGTGAGTCCCTTCTCGTCCGCTTGTCTATCTACGATTTCCATTTCGGCAAAGCGTATTCTTTCTTCGTAACCTGACGCGGTAGGAATACCAGATACCATCATTAGCTCGACCAATTTCTCGGCTTTGAGCGCCAACTTTCTTCTTTTGGTCTCTTCCAACCGATCTTCCGAAGATGAGATGTCTTTGCTCGCAAAGGACTCCAGAAACTAGAACAGCACCCTTGTCAGTTGCATCTCTACCTAGTATGACCTCATACGACGTACAACTTGGAGTTTGTCCTGCCAGAACTCCTTCTCCTTGGCCTTGTCCAGGAAGGGGAAGTTGCGAACATGGTTTACGAATATGTAGCGGAGGAGGGGCAGTTCTGAGTCTTCTGGCGCAACTTCGCCGGCATCTGAGCGAAAGGGCGCGCCAAAACGTCGCAGCGCTGTAGGAGAGGAGAGTTCGGCGATTTCGTACTTGGTTTGCTGGGAGATGAGTTCGCGCTTGAGATCTGCGCATCTGTCAGTATGGCCAAGGGCCCAGGGATGATGATGTATTGCTTACAGTGCTCTTGTTTGCCCGTTAATATAGACCCTTCTGGTGGCACGGACACGGTAGAGAACTTGGAAAAAGTCGTGTCATTGCGCGTGGGCACCGCAGGCCGCGCCGGCTCGCCAAAGTTCTGTACTGAGGGCTGGGGATTCATCGTGGTGGGCTCGGTAGCACCGTTGAGCTGAATGGCGGGCGGGGCGTCGAGGTTGGCGGGCATACTTGAATTAATAGCAACGTAAGAACACGGGCTAGGGAGCCGCGAGCCGAAAGAAGGAAGATAGGGTGTAGAATTAGAAGGAAAAGCGAAAAGCAGCCTTTAGGGTCCCTGCAGATGAGCGTCGACGCGTGTTGTATGACGCCGGAATAGCACCTCGTACTGCCTGTGGCTGCGCCTGAGGCTGGTGCCCTGCGGAGACGCGGGCACGACAGCAAGGACAAGAGATACGATGGGGCTGCACCGCCCGTTCCTCTGCTCAAAGTGGATCACCTCAATGCTTGTCGGCACTGAAGCAGAGTCGGGCGCGTAAAGGATTGTGGCTGAGTGACGCAACCCGATGCCTTAGCCCATGACGCAGAGGCCCACGAGGCCGAACGCAGGAAGGAACGGCATCGCATCTCTTGGCCGTGTTCGCGCTTTGTCTCCCATCTCGTTTCCTTAATACGCGCGCCGTATGCTGTCAACCTATACGACACAACCAAGTTGGACAGACAGATCACCCCTCCTCGGGACGGCGCGTAAGATTCGGATACAATTTGAATCGGACCGCTTCGGCTCGCTTCAACTCACAAACATCGCATCGCAGCATCATGCATCGCTTACAAACGTCCACTTGGCGCACTGTCACTAATGCCTAGCAGGGAAACCTGACGTCGAACACGTTCTGGCCGCGGGCCAAGATGGCCGATTTACTGGCTGGTCACAATCTCACATTGAAAGAACATGCTCGGTCCTATGATTTTGAACTGCAATTTGGTTAAGTTCTACATCTGCCTAGTTGTACAAGATACAGGCCCATGGGGAAATGTCTCTTCGTGCCAGTCAATGGCAAGAATTATCCTGGGACGCCGACCTACTCCATTCCCAAACTGCTGCCGAGGTATTCTGTGGCATTTCGGCAACAAGAGAAATCAAGTTATCCACCCTAACGCCAATCCACTGAACATCTTACACTACAGCCACCCATGCTTTGCAGGTTTGAGACTCAGTAGTTGAGCTCTCCGCTGCCACCCCCACCAACCGCGTCCAAATCCTCGTAGCTCTTGATGGAACGACCTTGCACAGATTGTACAGGGCCAGGTCCGCCCTCCCCGTATCGCTGAGGACCCTGACGGCTACCACGGGGCGGGGGTGTCAGCCGGCCACCGTTGACAGCAGGACGAGGACGACCATCACGAGATTGGCGATCGTAGGGTCCAGTACGGCTGTTGAAGCGGTGGCCGCCCCGTCGCATGGGTCCGGCGCGGTCGTCGTGGGCAGCATTGGGGTCCCAGGTGCCGCCCATAGCAGGATTAAACATGGCGCCCAGGTGCACCCCATTCTGCATGCCATTGTTTGCCATTGCCATGTTCATGTTGGCCAGGTTGAACCCCCGCGGCGTTCCAGTAGCCTGGACATGGTTGCCCATTGGGAAGTGACCATTACTATTGGCATCACTACGCGATGGAGCAATATGAGCAGGGTCGACAACATAGCTGTTAACCAGTCGTAGCTGTATCAGGTTAGTAAAGAGGATTTTTCTAATGTTTCATGTCAATACTCACATCCTTACGCAATTTTTCTAGCCACTCAGGATGACGCTTCTCAACGTGCTTTTGCCAGAAATGCTGCCCCTTGAACAGCTTTGTGCACTCCGGGACCTTACAGCGCCACTTGGATTCGTCCTCTTGTTTGACATGGCGGGAGAGTTCGTCCTCAATGGCCTCTTCCAGAGGTTTGCCACCGAGCTTGCGGATGTCAACATTCTCTGGCTCAAGCAGCTGCAACAGCTTCTCTTCATAGGTTTTAACCCAGTTGAAAGCGCGCTGGAGTTGTTGTTGGTTCTTCGTGCTCAGCCGCATTGGCTTCCGCTCTTGCACTGGGCTACCACCCTCACCATTCTCAGCATCACCAGAAGACTCTTGCTTCCTGTACGGGAATAGGTCTCCGGTAGCTGTGGCTCTCGCAGTTGCCTTAGCAGCAGTTGTAAGGCTGGCGCGTGGTCGACGAAGATGACCTCCAGCGCACTTGCGAATCAACTCGTGAACTGAGTCACTCTCAAAAACACAGAAGAAACAGAAGTTGTAGACTCGTCGCAGGTACTCGATGAGAAGATCAAGCTTCTTCTTCTTGGCCAGCAAATCTTCGTCATCCACTTCATCATCGAAGGCACCCTCGTCGTCTTCCATGGTCTCATCCTCACCCTCTTCCAAGTCCTCGGGATCACGCGCTTTCTGGACAGGAACCGGGGCATTGGCTGGGGGTTGCAGCCAGCCTTTCGACCGCAGAGCTTCAACCCGCTCTTCAATCTTGCTGACACCATCGACGTTAGCAAAGTCTTCCTCGTGCTGCGCCTTGAGGTCAGAGTCGAGCTTCCTAACAAGTCGTTCGGCAAGCTCGAGATCACGCTCAATCCTCTCAGGCGCAGAGAAGAGGTCCCACAATGCCTTTTTGCGCGGCGCGGCAGGCGGTTCATGGATACCAACGTGGCAGGTGAAATTGCCCCGTTGATCATCAATGACTGTTTTCCCGTTGAGAGCTTCGAGAGCCTTGTGAGCGGTTGTAAGGGGACCCTGCGTAACTTCAAGTTTGTCCTCGGTAACACCGTCTTCAGCCTCCTCGTCACGTCCGTCACCACGGTCATCAATGACCATTGGCTGCTCATCGCTTGGGTTGAGAATGACCCAGCCAATGCGGTGGCACTTCTTGAGTGGATTGGGGTCACTCATGCTCAGCCACTTGAAGCCGCCGGGGCCTTCTCCCAGGTGTTCCTTACAGAACTCCTCAACCTTCTCGCGATTAACGGTAGGCGCGATTGTTTTGATAAGTAGCGTAGGCTGGAACGCAGTCTCATCGCGGATCTCGCCGCCTTTGCAAGGCAATAAATCACCTACGCCCAAGACCTCGTTGGCAGCCGTTGCTTCGCCCTCCTCTTTCTCGACGATTCCGCCGGCACCGTTCGACTCATTCTTGTAGATGCCTTCCAACGTGAACTCGTCAAAGTAGCCCTCATCTATCTGTCGCTCCCACTCCTCGTAGATGCCATGGCGATATTGACGAAGTTTCTCTTTGAAAGCCAGATCATAGTCTGGGTCATAACGTTCCTTGAACCACTCTTCATTCTTATGCTTGTCCACAAACGTCTTCGCCATCTGTACTTGCAGCTTCTCCTTGTACTCGTCGTATGCGGCTTGAATCTGCTCGCGCTCTTTGCCACGCTCCTCTCGGGCTTCACGTTCCCCTTTGAGACCAGGCTTGCGTCCGCCGTTCTTTGCGCGCTCCTTCTCCTCCTTCATGAGCTGCTCGACACGCCACCATTCTGCAAAGTAGTTGAATCCGACCTGATATTCGAGGTGCATGGGGTTTGGAACGGGGTTGGTGGTGAAGGTCGGCGCAAAGTTGTCCTGACCAGGCACGTATCGATCGATGCCTGCTTGCACAGGTGGAGGTGAAGAGCGTCGTCGGTTGCCGTCCCGTCGCGGTCCATCGTAATCGCGCGCGCGATCAGGCTGGTATCGGTCGATGTTCTGGGGTGAGCGCGATCGTCGCCTGCCTGCCCTACGGTCTCCAGAGCCTTTATCACGCATGTTAGCTTAGTTCAATCATACCACGATCTCGATCCGAGTCGGTGTTTGAGGCTGAGGTCCAACAGGCGTAGCATTCAATCGTGTCTGCAGATCGGCCAGAAGAGTGCTTTCCTCGTTGCTAAAGCACGCGCAGTCACTCCGCGCTAGCTGTGCTTGGCAGAACCGGCCGGGAGCAAACACGCGGCGTTATTTCGCGCGACGGTGAAGAGGCAGATCGCCCTCAGTTCAAACAAGAGACCTAGCTTACCTGGGGAACGGCGTCTGTACGAATCGGCAGGCGGCCTAGAGTCCTCACGCGTAGCACTGTGATTCGTCAGCGTCACACTTTGCGCATCTCCTTCTGCATAGACATACGTATATGAGTCCATCACCACTGATTAAAAGCCCCGGAAAGGATTTTGAAGCCACAAGTGTGTCTCGCGAGACCCAGACGGGCAGTCGTGTTCAGGTGTTTCGGAAGGAGTGTGATGAGGCGAGCCTCAGCACTATACGCGTGATATTCGCTCGTTCTGACGCGCAATCTCGCCTGGAGTATGCGCTGGGTGGCGGTGGATGCTCGAGAGGCAATCGGAGCGGGTAGCTGTTTGCCATGATGGCTCGGTCAGAGAGAGGACAAGTAAGGGACAAGATGACGGAGAAGGAACGTGATTAGTAACGAGGAGGAAGAAGTAGGTAAGAAGTGACAAGGAGCCGGCACGCTCGACGCGATTGATCGCACCCAAGCGGCGGCGCAAGAAGAGAAGGTCAGAGAGGCAGCTGGAGGGAGGCTGGGCGCAGGGCCACGGGGACAAAGCTGTCGGAGCTATGGAGATAGCTGTACAAGAGGAAGAAGGGGTATTACGAACAATGGGCAGCAAAAGGACGAGAAGGTGCACTCACGATGTGCTAAAGTGACTCCCGGGCGGAAAGATGCCTGTGGAGATGGAGATGGCAGAAAGAAGGGTGAGGTTGATCGCGGAGGGCTGGCACGGCTGAGACGGGGCTAGTGCCGGCTGCTCGGAAAGTGGGTCGACGCGTGCGCTCGTGAACTGTCCAGGTCCCACGCCTGATTGGTGTGCCGAAAAACGGGATGCGGAGTACAGGTACAAGACATATTCCATACACTACCTAGGTACCTGTCGCAGGCAACCTTTACCTAGCAGCTGCGTACAAGCATCGGTACCCATCGCCACCATGACGAGCTACATCCCCTCCCTAACCCTCCCCAACTTCGCCTTTGAGAACCCTGCAGTAGCCATCCTACTGCCAGTTCTGTGTGGAACAGCCACAGGATTTGCCATCAGTCGTAGGTCATACGTGTTCTTGTGTCTGTATGGAAACATAACATCGATGCAGCGAGCGTGTCTCAGACAGCATACCGAACGCTGAAGCAACCTCCACTACACCCACCCGGTTACGTCTTCGGACCAGTATGGACAGCCCTCTATGCCACCATGGGCTACACAGCCTACCGCGCATACACCATTGGTGCCAATTCCGCTAACCCTAACACTGTCGCTTTGGCTAAGGTATGATGATTCCTTGTCTTGCTGGTACTGCTCAAGCTAAGACAACCCAGCACGGAGCGACTCTCTACACTATCCAGCTTGCCTTGAACCTCATGTGGACTCCTCTCTACTTTGGCCTTGGTAAACCTATACCCGCTACAGTCGACATTCTCGCTCTAGGTGGAACTCTCGCCTACCTTATCAGCGTCTGGGGACAGGTTGATCCTACTTGCGGGTGGCTGCTCGCTCCATATCTGGGCTGGGTTAGCTTTGCAACGTATCTTTGCGTGAGTGTTATCTCCTTGTGACATATTTGAGTCGTCGGAAGCTGACATTTGTGGATAGGCCGGGTCAGGCTACCTCAACAACTGGGACTTCAGGGCCATCACGAAGAAAGAGTAGAGAGAATGCTGCAGCGAGTGAATACCAGAATGTGTCTATCTCAAATCTACTTGATTGGCAAGACAGACAACTCTTTATGGGGGATGAGCACGCGGATATATCGCCGTGTCGTTATAAAATGTATATTATAATTTGCCGAGGCTGCATTGTTTCATCACAACGCTAACAGAGCATGTTTATCTTCATGGTATCTGGCACGGACCCTCCAGCGTCTCTGTTCTCTCATGACCACTCTCATCGTCCATCTAGTCCATTCATTGAAACGATCTCTCGTCGTTGCTTTCGTATCATCTCCCTCTCCCCTAACACAATGGAACGTCTTTTAAGGCTGGCGCAACGGTTGTCGACCACAACTACTGGTACGGAGAAGCGCGCCGTACACATGTGCAAAACAATTTCGAACGATACCATGTAGGTAGTTTCCATGGAACGGACTGCTTTCCAGATCACACTCACTCAGTTCCAGTAACATAGAGACCTCGCCTTTCTTCCAACTGCCTGCTTCTGTTCGAAAGCGGATATACGGATACGTTCTTGGTGGATCGCAGATCCGGGTCTGTGATACGAAGAACTGCAAGAGATTGCATAGATGTCGTTCCAAGAAGCGGAAACTCAATTGCCCTGCGTACTTCCACCTTCCTAGACGTCGTCTTACACTACTCGCGACCTGTCGTCAGATACATTTGGAAACTATGCTCTTGCCATTTTCTCTCAACGAGTTCGATGGAGACCATTGGGACATTCATCTCGCTGTCTACTATCGCCTTACCGATGCTCAGGTGAGCGCTATCACGAATATACGCATCTATCTCGGGAAACTGGATGTACAATACAAGCATAGCTTGAAGAACGAATGTGCAATTACTAAGCTTGGCAGTGATTTGACCTCCACCCTACAAGCCTTAGGTCGACTTCGTGGACTTCGCCAGCTTACTATTGAGTGGACAAGTTGTCATAGTGGGGTGCAGGACTGGCTTACAACGAAGAAGGTGGTATTAGAAATGGCGAAGAAGGAGCTCGGGTGCGTGAAGCGCACTCCTGATATCAAAGTAATCATGGTAGGCTGCTAGTGCTACAACGAGTCTTGAATTGGTGATTGGAGCCTTGACAGACGAGGCGGCGGATCTGAAGTTTCAGGGCAGCCAGCATACAGGCAAACAGGGCATGACGGCAATGACACTGATAGTCTCGCGGCGCTCACTGGATAGTGGGTTACACTTTCACCAGCATGAGCTTCAGCTAAGCTCAATAGCACTCTTTAGAACTAGACATAATGCAGTATCTTACACCTCCCTGCGGAACTTCGCAAGGCCGTCTACGAGTACACGTCTGCGGAAGAGGACCTTGGAATCCATTCGCCAAATATGGAACCCCACTACGGACTCTAGAACTGGTCATATGCGCCATCCAGGCCGCGTACATTACCCGAGACAGTACCTATAACTACTCCTCACTTTCCGTCAAATTCACGCCGAAACCAAACTACTCCTCTTCATCTCAAATTCTCCTACGGGCAGTCGATTAGATTTGAGCATTCAATTCATGGAGGAGAGATCAAGATTCATTTGCTGTTGAACAGCAGTTGGATTTTACCGCGAATTACATGTCGTTACTTTGGTGCAGCTGCGAAGCCAGCAAAGAGGCGGTTAGTTCGTATCGTGACGACATAAACTACCTGCAAAATGGAATGACGCTCTTCTACTCTCTCTCACAGACATCGAATGCGGAAGCTTCTTGCCCTATCATTATGGTTTTCCTTTTCCGGCCAGCATCCTACAGGACTGTACGCGTCAAAGTACATAGACAATCACTTCCACCACGATCATGGATACTGCTAGTATTGAGAACAAATACATAAACGTGAAACCCTCCAAGAAGAAGGGGCACTATTCTCATATCTGCGGAAGATATATGTTACCAGACAGACATGTCCACGGCTTCTGGTGAGACACATCATGCACAGTGAACAGCGTATTTGGGTGCTTCATTCCGGGAGCGTGCGGTCGACACATTTGATTGCAGTACACCAAAACATTAAACAACTATTATGCACTTTTGATTCTGTGTAGTCTTTCCGCAGGAAACGTCACTGATCTCTCCACCTACTGTGGCTAGCACTTTCCACACCGTCCTTCTTGTTTACCGCCCCACTTTCCTCGCACATGCTCATCAGCGATTACGCAACCTTTTTTCCTGAGCTTCTTACTATTATCACTCTAAATTGCTTGTATCCAAGTACGCCTCTACACTCGCTATGTACTCCCCAACTGTTCCAGAACGTGTACAATACTACGACCGTAGCATCATGCTTATGGATCGCCTCGCAGCAATGTGAGTACAGAATTGGCCTGCCCTGAACGTATAAACTATCACTTTGTTGGACCCTACTAGAAGAATTACTACGCATACCTCTAGGGTACATCTTGGTGTAGTACATTCTCATGTACTACCCGCTAACTAGAACATAGCTCACAGCGGAACCATCGAAGGTGCCCCCTCCTCCGTCTACCAGCAGAGCTTCGCAATAAAATATACGGATACGTTTTCCTCTCCCACCCTGTCCGCCCCTTCCGCGAGCATAGGGAGTGGCCCCATTGGGCATACCCTAGGTCGCAGTTGAACCTACTTGAGACGTGTCGTCAGATCTACTTTGAAGCCAAGCTCTTCCCATTCGCCCTCAATGTCTTCGTCGGCTACGCAGAGCACGTCATCGAGTTGTTGCTTACAACATTCACGGCTTCTCAGACAAACACCATATCTACTGTACGACTATATGTTGACGCCTTCGGAGTCTATAGAGACGGTAAACTCCCAGAGATCGGACTCAATGCCTGGTTTATCGAAGAACTGGGGGACATGTGTCAGCTCGTTAGCCTAAGCGAGGTGACACTGATCTGGTTTGGCAGTGACATTGAAGTTGTCAGAGAGCATTTGGAGATGGCTGTGTTGACGATTTTCAAGGAAGCCGGTCGAGCAGACATTAAGATTTCGGTGCGGTACTTTGACTGAGGTATTGAGATTGGAAGATTGAAAAGGGGAAACTCAAGTGTTATGGTAAAGCCGTGATATCTACGTGCATCTGTTATGACATGAGTCAGTTGCAATTATAGAATAATTACCAGCAATCGTGAACACTATATCTGGATCTCACCATGTTACCATCGAAATCGAATCCTTTACCGTTCAATTTCGATGCTTGTAGTTGCATGTCCAAGTCAATGACCACGCTCGATTCAGAGCCCGTGTCCAGGTGGCTAAGACTGAAACATACCTTGTCTTGCGCAGAAAGTGCAAGCGCTCTCGGACGCCACGTGACGTAGACCCTGCCAAGAAATTGATGTCGCCTCGCGACTTGTGATTCTTTGTTGCCCCACGCTCTGCTTTAGTAAAACCTCGTCTGCTGTACGCTGATAACTACCCAACGACAATCTCAAGTGACGCTGCAGTGATACTATTGCGCATTACTAACAACCTCGAATCATAGATTTCTCGATCAAATAGTGCAAAATGGTGTCGCGCGACCCACCTCCGTATACGCAAGACCAAATCGCCGCGATGACCTCACCGGAGGAGAAGATACGCGCCATGGCAGAGCTCAAGAGTAGGTATAGCAAGAAGTACTGGGTTAGGAAGATAATGACAACTGGGTGTTAGGCTACATTGCGCGCATGAAGAAGGAGAACGAGCTCAGGTCGAATGGCTACTCTGGCTCTGGTTACCGCAACACCTCCGGCACCTTCAACCACCATGAATCCCCTCATTATCCACGTGGCAGCTATCGCGGCGCTTATCATGGGGGCAGAGGTAGAGGATATACACCATACCATCCCTACTCGCGTCCCTACACCACACCTCACTTTGCGCATAGCTCCGTCGCTGTCAACGGTACTGGCAATGCTATCCAGTCTCTCAAGGTAAAAGAAGAGGAGGATCTGCCGCAGGCAACGGCTGATGGCACTGTCTCCTCTTCAAGCGATCACCAGCAGCCCGAGTCACGGAGACTCTGCGCCATATTCACATCCACAGGTATTTCGACGAAACGACAATTTCGGGATCTTTCCTTACCCTTTTGCGCTTCTAACATATGGACAGGTCAATGTTCCCGCCCAGCATGCTACCTTGTTCATGACCCAGACAAACAAGCCGTCTGCAAGCCTTGGTTTTATAAGGATAGTTGTGCCAAAGGAGACTACTGCTCATTGCCTCATGACGCGTCGTCGCACAACGCGCCAACATGTCTTCATTTCCAAGCAGGCCGATGCACCAAGGAAGACTGCCGCTTTGCCCACATTCGTGTCAATCCTACGGCACTGAACTGCGTAGCTTTTGGACGTATGGGCTACTGCGAGAAGGGAGACACCTGTGCGGAGCTGCATGCGCATGAATGTCCCGATTTCGCTAACACAGGAGACTGCTACTACGGTGAGAGCTGTCGCCTTTCGCACATTCGTCGCGCCACTCGGATGAGGAAAGCCACTCGTGGATCTTCCCCAGCCCACTCTCCTTCGTCAAACTCTCCCGGTACATCGGATACTCCTGACGAGGGCATGGATACCGCTCAGGACGCTCCAGAGTGGACGACGTCAAAGAATGCAACCCCTCAGACGCCTCAGCAGTTTACCCAACAGGCAGACTTTGTTGCCTTTGAGACAGACGAGTAAGCACGGCCTATCGCTGAACTGGTGATGCCCGGACATGTATGTGCCCCCCTGCTCAGATTCCATAACGGTCCTCCCTAATTCGAGTTTTCCAAAGTTTTGATCCTGCGAGTTTCCGATCTGGTAGGTCCTTGTCATGATTGTTTCTGGCTCATCTTGACTCTTGAAGGTTCGGAGCTTTTCATGGCGTTTAGGGTTCTTTCGATGATACCCCTCTCACGATTTCTTGCCTCTTCTGTCTTTTCATCGTTTCTATTCGGGCGCAAGCTCTCATTGATGCCATACGCATATCTTGTGTCCAAAAGCGATGCTTGACGACGCTCGGTGGATTTTTTGCGGAGCTCCCTGAGGTTGTTGTTGGTTTGCTGATGGATATAGTCGTCCTCACAGGACATGTATTTGAAAAGAGAACAGAAAAAAGCATGTAAAGAAAAAGAATGAATAATCCAGACTGAAGGACCTTCTTCTGCCTGCTGTGACCATGCCATGAGGTTGTGCATTAGAGACATTTGATAGTCATGTCCATCTGCACTAACGGACGTTCAAACATGGGCGCATCAGTAGCGTCAGGTACCATTATTTCCTGGGGATCAGACACGCCCTAGTGCTGACGCACTCACAGAAGGTCCGGATGGCTTTTAATGTCGTGTGCATTCTGAAAGTAGTCCTGATATAGTCTTACCCCATACATCAATCTCGTACCGGAGCAAAGTTGTACAGTGCTGATTGCTGCGCTTGATGGCAGCGTTGCGTCTGACATATGCGGCGCGCTGTGGAGGCTGAGGGGGCTGCGGCTACTGCTTGGCCCTCGTCCTACAGAGAATCGAGGCGTTCAATTCGACAGCCCGCGCCGGCAGGACCATGAGCGCTTCCACGTTTGCGATGAGTCTACGGAGATATAAGAATACCCTCAGAATTGAATAGTACAGACGACACGACGCTCGCTCTTTATTGCGTGAGGCTACCCTTGAATATTGTTAGGTCTCCAGCCGCGTACCCCTTGCCTTCGCTGGCAGCGCGAAACTCGACGCGACAGCCCATTTTGCGCAGCACCATGGCGCTCAAAGACTTGCTGAAAAAGAAGGACAAGATCAGGGACGAGGGCGCTACTCCCATGTCGCCTACTGGCCCTACCCTGTCTCCTGATGTCCCAGAGTTCCAATTCTTCCGCACCACGACTTCGACGCAAGAAACCATCGAGCCGCCTAGCTTCCCCGGCGATCCCACGCGCGATTCTCCCCTATTGTCGCCCACTTCGAGAGGCAAGTTTGGCAGGTTCAGAAGTCGTAGCAACGCTTCGTCTCAGGGATCGGCGACTGGGCAGCATGATAACAAATTGGCGGAGCGGTTACACTTTGGGCGGAGCAGGTCGAGTAGCTCGATAAACGTGCCGGAAAATCTACCAGAAGTAGGAGGCGACGGTGTCGCACGAACGGAAGAAGAAGAGGCCAAGTGGGAGACGAGGGCCACGGTGCTGGTCACCGAGGGTTTGCAGCACGGATCTAGTCAGCCCAATACACCAAGCTACGAGCCTACAAGTCCAATGTCACACGGACGACCGACGAGCGCTAGGAGTCGCAGTGGAACTGTCGGTGCACCTGCGGACGAGGTATGCATAACTTCGGAGAGGAGGGCAAATATTGGTCTAAGCTTTGCATAGGAGAACATCCAGGAGGCTATCCGCCTGCACGAGAAAGGAAGTGAGTAGTCACACATGGAGGACTGCCGTGATGAAGCTGACAAGATGACTAGATCTTGAGGCTTCCACCGCGCTTTTTGGCAGACTGGCAGAGCCAACCGGCGCAAACAATGCTCTAGCCCAAGTTCTATATGGTCTCGCGTTACGGTAGGTTCAGCGCCATTGCTCGCAGCTTGATATGATCAGAACATACCCAAATATTGCCCTGATATCTGCCCAGGGCATTACTGACTAGAACATAGCCATGGCTGGGGGTGTGTGCCTCACCAGGAGCAAGCTGTCCAATACCTATCCATGGCAGCGGCGAACAGTGCTGAGGTCGAGAAGTTGGCCCTTGGGGCCGGCATGAAGAAAGGCGGCGCAGCCAAGGGCGAGCTTGTGCTGGCCATGTATGAGCTCGCAAACTGCTTCCGCAACGGCTGGGGCATCAAGAAAGATCCCGCAGCTGCGAAGCAATACTACGAGACGGCTGCCAACTTGGGTGACACAGATGCAATGAATGAGGTAGCCTGGTGCTATACCGAAGGTTTTGGTACGAAGAAGGATAAGGTAAGCAAGCCATGTCGCCCTCTGCTACCGCCCAAACACCGTTGTCCTGCTGTGTACGACTGCGTCACCGGTCAATGTCGACCCGCCTAGATGTCCATGCGATAGCGACGCGAACGGTCAGCTTGGGGGTCTTGTACAGCCTCGACCTCAGCCATCACGCGTAACATCCACTGAGACACTGCTTCCCCTCGTTATCCCGCCTCACTGTTTGGGCAGCACTGAGAGTGTTCGGCTGATGCGGCAGGTATGCTAACTACGCCTTGCCAGTTCAAAGCAGCTCAGTTCTTGCGCCTTGCGGAATCCAAAGGGAACAAGACGTTAGGCAATACTTGGTAAGTACCATACAGTATTTCTTTCATTGCCTTCTACTATCGACACAAAGAGCGAGAATATACCGGACCGAGGACCACCTTCATGCCGTGTGGATGGAGCACATGGTGGTCACCACGAGCTGCCATCACGTTGACCCGCGCCATCCCGTTCCAGCCGGTGTTGCATCCTCAATCAATTCTCAACACCAAGCCACCATAGCAACCAGACATGATCCAACAATCTAACGCACGGCGCTGCCGTCCGAATCGGTCAACCAGTTTCAACGCGCATCTGCCAAGCATAATCGATTGGCCGTCGACGCACCGTTTTGGCTGTCTTCCTCGCTTAGTCGATGCGGACGCCTAGACGGCCCTCGCCCTCACCCGCAGCAGGACCTGTCACACTTACTGCCAGTTCCCCGCTACGCACACATGATGGCATTCGCAAAGAAAAACTTGACCAGTAGCACATTACCCGTTTGGCACAAGCCTCGCTCTCCCATTCCAGTAGTGGGTAGTAGCATGCCTCCAGACCCGTTGTGTTGGGTGAATAGTGCATACAAGCTTGTCTACGGGGATACACGTGGCGTGTCGTCGGTGGCCTCGGTTGCGGGCCAAAGAGTAAGCGGGATGGTAGCCAGTGACGACAGAGTTGCGCATCGTTGTTGTGTGTGTGTGGAGACATAGTCAGATGGTGCATGTTCAGATGGTCTGAGCAAAGCTGGAGATTGAGTTGCATTGATGGCGCGACAATGGTGTATGCTGAAGAGAGACGGGGATTTTTCGTATGACGGCTATCGCGACAATGACGGCAGCCTCGGGACGACTTCCATCATCATTATCATCACCATCGCGATCTGGATCTTATATCGCAGTATTTTCGGCATCCCGTCGCTTTTGGTCTGGACTGCCTGGATACCGACGATATTTTCATTGATTGGCAGGATGAGCAACGTGCTGACTTGTGTCTCTCTATAGGATCTGGAAGGACAAGTACAATCCCAAATAAGGCGCGATCCGCAACCCGCTTTCGGACAACCCCTTCCGTCCCGGTCCGACTTTAGTATAACAAACTTTACCCCGGGAGTCATGAGGATGGTCGTGTGAGAAGAAAGAACCGAAGCGTGGTCCCTTTCCCGCGCGGGGAAGTATTGTTTTTTCTTCGGAGCGTATGTTTTGCATAACGTTATTTCCAATAATTCACACCGCTTTTCTGACCTATCATTTGTTTCGCTGTTCTTGGATTTTCCCGTATTTTCCTTCGCCATAATTATTGCCTGGCTCGCGCTATCGTGTTGCTGAGGGTGAGGGAGTATTGACTTTAGTGGCGTAGCTGAGAGACCGTCATCTGGATCTGGGAAACTAAGGTCTTAATGATCCATACAAGGACATAGTCTCTCTCAACACGATAGGCTATGTTTCCGCTTTCAGAACGTGGGGAGCATGTGGTGTGGCACAGCAACGGGCTTGTGTCGTAGTACAGCAACCCGTCTTTTTGGGAAGGTTGTCAGATCAAGTTTAGTGATGGTGTGTGTATCTCATCTTTGTGTGACAGTCAAGACATCGTCCCTCTGATAACCCTCTTTTCGATCAGATCGTCTCTCCTAACTTCCATAAGCAGCACTTCGTATGTGCACCATTGTACGGCTAGTAGCCATGTGGTACTAAGCCACTCACATCACTCTTCCCTTCCGACAGTGTATCCTGATTCTCATAACAGGCGGTCCGAACATGAATCATCCATCATCCATCATCCGCATTCTCTGCTGCATTAGTTCCTTATCCATCATGTTTCACCATAGCTGCAATCCACCTGCACCCAGATCCTGCATACGTGGGGCTGAGCCACCTTTCTTGCTGCGATTGATGACGAATGTTGTCTTACGCCCCACTGAGTGGACTGTGGGCCGATAACTTGCATTTGCATGTTGCAGAAATGCTGGACCCTGTGGTAAATCGGACGATAGGCGTGCTTTCCATCCGGGCTTCACCTTGTAGGACCGGAGTGGGGGATGTGCGTGTTTTAGTTTTTTGTTCTGCGTGAAGGAAGGCTGTGAATAGGTGGCTTGCGCTGGCTCGTTACCAGAATATACTCGCGTGTTCACTAAGCAACATGAATGGTTGTGCAGTCATGGATGCGCTATAAGCGATATGTTATGCACAACGCGGATCAAATGTGAAGGATGCGAAACCCGCTCATGGCGCGTGTGCCTTCCATTATGGAAGGGTAATCCTTTCATTGACGCTTCGCGCGATGCGAGGTACGCGACAATCAGCCGCACCGTGGGTCTCTGACAGAAAAGCCGCAAGTGGAGAGCTGGGACATGCAGAGAATGCATCACCACAAGTGGGCGCGGGCTGGCGTTGTCAGATGCAAGAGTCTCGAACATGGGAATCAGTGGCGAAGACACAAAGTCAGGATCATTCAAGGGAAGCGATGTAAGCGCTGAAGGAAGGCAATCCGATAGCATTACTTGACTCGTTCGCAACTTCTCTTCGCCCAATAGAACGGCGATAAACACTAAGTACAAGTGACTTTGTTCCCGGTCCATGCCAACCAATCGAGCCTTGCCAGACAAGGCTCTGTGACAAAGGGTCGCAGAAACGGCCGCGCTCAGTGACGCGACAAGGGAAAAACGTGAAAAGCTGGTATCTCAAAAACATCGCGGACGGGAAAGTCCGAAAAGGGGGGTATTACGAAAGGTTGTAGCGTGAGCGGTTATCGTGAGAAGGCGTAAAGGTCGTAGTAAAAGTTATGTTAGTCGTAAGAGGAGAGCAGGAAGGGGAAGGAGAAGGGGAAAGCAATCGTCTCTTTCAGCAGTAAAACCAAAAAACTTGATCATCATCGTCCTCCTCGCTCAGATACCAGAAACAAGAATGCTGTCAATCTGTCTCGCTCTCATGCCATCATATACAATCGTCGGATACATGTCCCATGTCCTTCGTTTCGATGTCTCTCAATATCTCGTGGTAACGTGAAAGGAAATATCCAACGCTCGCTACGCTTTGCAGTAAATACAAAAGATGATGCCAACCGCAAATGTGTTGCGCGCTAAACCAGTCTGATGCCAAAGGGGAAAACCACAATACAAAAGAAACAAGAGCAAAAAGGTAAATAGGTCAAGTCGTGAACCAGGTCTCGACATGGAAGGAAAACAGCCGCCATGTTATGCTCAAGCGAAGTAGGGTACCTGGTGAGGTTGGCCCGAAATTCGACGTTGCCGTCCCATACTGTAGAAGACTGGCAAGCAGCCAGAGCTGTGGTAGAAAGGAAAAGGGCGGTGCTCATCATGAGCGCTCAAAGGAGAAACGCGCAGGAAGAACAAGGATTCCAGCCGGACCGTGATGCAACTTGTGTCCCTACAAGCACCCCTTGTGTAGGGGTGCGAAGAAGTGAAGCGCTATGCTGATAACCGACGAATGCAACTTGGGAAACTACAAAGGAGAGGTGGTGGTTGGTAACGATAGTGGTGGTGTGCTATTTAGCACTCGACTTTGGTGCCGTCAGATGTACTGGGTCGCGACATGGCAGCAGACTCTTCGACGATGCGCTTGAACTCGTGAACGACCTCGGGGGCGATCTTGTCCCAGAGCAGACTGCGAGTGTAGATCTCGGCAGCAGAGTCACCCTTGCTTTGCTCACGCATGGCGGCGAGGGTCTCGGCAAGGTTGCGACGATGCGAAGGCTGAGAGCCAGGGGACAGGGGATCGCTGAGGTCATCGCTGGTCATGCTGTAGCGCGAGCGAGTAAAGTCGAGAGAGGTCATGCTGTTGTACTGGTCGGGCGTGATGGAGAACAGCTGCTCATGCTCTTGCTCCTTGGTGGGTCCAGTGAGATGAGAGTGCAGTTGGTCAAGATGCGAGCCAGAGATACCAGCGAGTTCAGAGCCAGACATGGTTGTCTTTGGCCAAGCCATGCCGGAAGGCGTAGGCTCGAGACCAGTGACGTGGCTGGCAATGAGACCTTGCTCACCCATGGCAGATGACACACCGGCATCCTTGAAGATGCTGTCGAGAACAGTAGCGGAAGCGGCACGGACCTCGTCAGGCATGCGAGGAATGGGAGGCTGAGCGCTACCGGACTTGCTTGCGACAAAGGCACCGCAAAGTAGGAGCATAAGCAGAAGACCAGAAGCGACGGGCTTGTCCTCGTCCTTGTTGCGGGATACAAGAGAAAGTTCTTGGTTCTGCTGGGGAGTGGCCTGGTCGTCGGAAGCGAAGTCGTTGACGAAGATGTAGTTGTCCCAGTCACTGTTGCCCATGTTGAGGTTGTCCATCTCAGAGGCAAAGTCGGTGAAGGTAGAGCTAGGTGCAGCAGCCATGCCGTTGCTACTAGCAGCCTCGAGGCGTTCAGTAAGGACAGAGACCTTCTTGCGAAGCTCGCCGGTTTCAAGAGTGTGGTTGCGCACAAGCTCCTCCTTGTCGAACTGGAGCTGGTTGACCATGTGGTGCATCTCCATGGACTCGCGGTGCCAGTTCTCCTTCTCAGCAACAAGAGCGTCGTACTCGATGCGCATGGCAGCAAAGTCATCTTGCATCTGGCAGATCTTTTCCATCCACTGCTTCTTCTCCTCTTCAAGCTCCTCG